TTTTGACAGCGTCTTACGTGTTTTGATGCGTTCCCGAGTGTGATGTGAATTTGAATAGGGTGTGTACAAAGACTAGCCTGTCAGGGAGAGAATGATCCAGACTGACAGAGAGATGATTTAAGTCTGTCGCCAACCATTCCCTTTCAAATCAGCCCTTGAATCACACAACACACACACACACACACACACACACACACACACACACACACACACACACATAAACACACCCACCCACCAGTTCCTCTTCTTTGAGTGACTACACTCAGAGATAGCCATTGCATTTTAATTCATTTCCCCCAGGTTCTCTGGCTGCAGTGCTGATCTGCTGATCTTAGCTTTCCACAATCACTGTGTTTCCTTCCCTCAAAACCTGAATAAGAATCAGACCAAAGTCAGACAATACAGAATACTCTACAGTATACATTTACAGAAACAAATACATTGTATATTTTATACACAGATTACAAATAATAACTATATAACAAAATGCTGCCTAAAACGCTACCACTTCTGTGTGACCAAAAAGCTTTGTGCAACATTTAAATGTTCAACATTTTACATGGAAACATTTGACAAAGGGGATGAACAAACTAGGGATAATAATAATACATATATCCTAATATTAATTATATTATAAAATGAAAAAAAAAAAAAAAAAAACACTGACTGCAGAATACACTCTGGAAGACAAAAACTAGATTAATAACACAGATTAATTTATGATTCTGGAATCAAAATTATTTGTTCATTTTTAGCATTTTTGAAATTATTCTGATGGTAGGAGTGAAAACTGGTGCAGAGAATTACACCAGACAGTTTAGGCTTGTGTATCATAAAACACCTGTTATAGAATCAACTGCGACAAGCCTTACTCAGATTGTCAATACTGACACTTTGTAAAACACTCACAAGCAGCCACCTCTGACTTGCTTTTTATTTAAACCTTTTACACTGAAAGTCACCCCGTGTGTGGGTATTCAAAGGAGAAATACATATAGACTGGTTGACTAAGCGGACAGGCCTGTTCCTTGTACACAGTGTATTGCCATAGGTCAAAAAAATGAAAAAAGAAATTTTCCTTTCAGTTAGGTGGCTCAATGTGGGCGCATGAGCACAAAAGGCCTCTCTCCTCCAAGTAAACTTGAATATATAGTGTTTGATTTATTGGTTTCCTCAGTGATGTAGTTCAGTTGGTTTGGATTAGAGTACATGAAGAAGAGCTGACAGACAGACAGGGTGGAAATCAATTGGAAAATTCATTTTTTCCAGTAACAGCGGAGCTCTGTGCTTGTGTCTTTGTGTGCATACACATTTAAACATGCTACAAAATATTACTAACACACTCTAAAACACACTCTCCTATTTAAGACTCTGTCATTGTCATGGACTATGGTCTTAGCCTGCATTCATTTGAAATTTCTTTACTGGAAATTTAGATTTTCCACCAACTCAATGTAAACACATTAATTATTGTCAAAATGAACATACATCCTTCTGACTGTAAGTATTTTTTCAATATAATTCAATATCAAATATTTATCGATTCATACACTAACACATGATATGAATACAGGAAATCCAATCTACACAGTGTATGTGTCTGTCTGCCTGTGTCCTAGTGACATTATTTTGGGTGTTCTTGCCTACCCAGTGAATATCATATTCTATTTCTGCCAATGGATTCTGTTACACACTAGACCTTTACATTACAAAAATGTATTTAATGCATTTAACGCAATCAAGCCAACTTTGACCATAACCATCAATCATTGTGCTTCCTCTTAATTGCATGGGAAATTCTTTACCTTAATGCTAAAATAACAAACTGTGTGGCACTGGTTGACAGTATAAAAAAATATAGTCTACTATGATCAAAAATACATTAGGACATTATGAATTCATCGTATATTTTACAGTACATGCCAATATCTTCTCAGTTTTTCCGAGGAATGTATTATAAAGTATTCATGATTACCAAATCACTTCAGCTTACTTTCAGGTTTGCAAATTATTGTTATGTAATGATGTACATTGTAAATATTGAAGCTATAACCATGTACAATATTAGATCTCCCTAAAAGTGTTGCTTGCAGTGAATAAAGTGTTGTTTGTTTATTGGACATGTAATTCAGAGCTGACCTGACATGCACCATAAAAGTGCAGCCATACAGAATATACTCATTGCATGCACAAGTTAAGAATTACTTTGCAAACAAGATTAAAACCAAACTTTTCCTAAGGTCATAAGCAGCATTCTGAACCACGGACTGTCACAGTCTTTCCTCCCCAGTGCACCTGAGATCTGCTGCCTGGTTCAACAATTCACCATATCAGAGACCATGGCTGCTGCTGCTATAGATGTGATAAGTCAGTCTAGCAAGACTGTCTGGATATTTCTGCCCTGTTGGTTCCAGAGTACAATGTGAAACTGAAATGAGATGTGCTCACTCTGCATACTATCAATCTGTTGTATTTCTGATTGAGTCCTCTAGCATATCTTCTGTATGGAAAATTACATGACTGAACTCAGGTAGTGTTGTTTAGGTGTAATCAAAAGCTTTATGTGTTAATCATTCAGTAATTATGCATTTCGCATTAACGAGTAGTGTGTACATTGAACTTACAGTAAGATATTTACAGATTTAAAACAAATCCCTGTCTTTTTTTATTTATGTCCTCCTCTCCCAGCCCAGGTTATTTGCAGCAGGTTCAGTCTTTGTTCTTTAGCCTGCTACTCTTCATGAGGCTGCTCTCATGTTGTGTTTCATTAAAGCTGAACACACATTTTGTTCTCACTGACAAATGTTCTTTTCCTGCACTGTCAGAAAACTGAACAACTATTTGATTGTGGTTCATAACTGTTATACAATCACCTTGCCCTGAGATGTTTGTGAGGTAGGAAGTTTAGTATTGGAACACTTCTACCTTGCACATGCAATCATAAGAGGCAACAAAAAAGCTAGTACATGAGATTATGAAAAATTGTAGTAAAAGTTGTAGAAGAAGGTACTGAGAACTGCTGGACTCACTGCTTTTTACCTTTTAACTATATAATAATGTGCTTTAGAAGAATAACAAATATGGCACTTTTATACAGTGGTATCCATTTCCATTTAGTGCATATTGACTGCCATAGCACCGTGACTGAAATGTCTGAATAAGGTGGCTTAGGTGTACACACAAAAGGATGCTAATGGATTTTTGAGACACATTTTCTGTATTGCATGAACTGCAATAAAGAGAATGTTGTTCTTCAAGCAATGCTGGCAACATTGTGGATTCTGAACAACCTACAGTGATTAAATAACTGCTCCTGTACCTGAGCCATCTGGCTCTGTTTTCATGTTGTATCACTCCCCCCTCCTGCTGATTTCCACCTGCTTTGAAGGATGTGCTTGTTCCTCTGGTAACCATACCTGTTTTCCAACCAAACTGCACGCAGCTTTATTGGCTGATCACAAGGTTATCTCTGTACACATTCAGTAAATACAGTGTTCTTGAGCTTGTGTATAATGTTAGGCTGTGTTGTTTACCACACATATGGGGAATTACTTACTAAGGAAGGAACACTGCAGGGCAGGATGTAATAACAAAATCACCAAGGTTTAAACTGCCATCTATAAGCTTTAGAGAGTGTGATGATTGACGATTAGTGGGAATGATCGTGTTTGCATCACAATTTTCATTTTCTCTTTTATCACTTGATGGGGTCTGGACTGAACAAACATTTTTCTTACATCTGGAGAACAGGATTTGTAGGCTAAAGTATCTGTGCACCTCTACAGTACTTTATTATAATGGTGTTTTGTCACACATTTTACCTTTATCCAAGAATTCTAGCTTCTGCAATTTAGATATTGCCTCTAGCCATATTGAAATTTTGATATTTCACTTAATTGTGCAGCCCTAGTGTGCAGTATGATACATATTTATATTGTTAATTTATACTGTGTAAACAGTGGACACTCCAACTCTTCATGTTGCCACCAATCACAAGTAGGCTAAAGGTGTGTTCACTGGATAACACAACCCAGCTGAATGGAAAGCACAGACATGTCTTCTCTGATGTTGAACTGTATGCATTGAACTGGTGTATTGGTTTTGTGCTCTGTTTGTATTGACTTGTGAAGCACTAAGTGATGCTTGCCCTCGAAAGGTAATATAAATGAACTTTACTGACGGTGCTTGCTTGCCCTCTAGCAAACCTGTTGGAGCCTCTCTGCTCTTGTAAACACATGAGACCAGCTACCTGATAGCTACCATTCAACTGATGATCACTTTGGTAGGTTGAAGATTGTGGTGTTTTTTACTGTGTTACACTAAGAGGTATTTCTAATATTAGTCGATTACATAAATAAGGTAGACAAAACAGAAACGCCTCTGCAAACAGAGCATCATGGTATAAACTGAATGAAATTAAAAGGTTGAATATTCACATTGGTGATTTGAAAGACAGCTATTTCTGACGATTGGCACTTTCTGAAATCCTTTTTGTGACAACACAGAGCAGAGCCATTGCACCAGTGAGGAACAAAGCCAGGCGCCCACAGGATTTGCCCTTCACCTGTTCTTGCACGGATGTTTTGCTTTGAACCTGACTTCCCCGAGGTGGGAGGAAAGGCACAGTAGGGGGTGTGTCAGCAATCATCAAGCATCACAATACACTTTTTTTCCAAATCCAGTCGTCCTTTATAACCGGATTGGACTTTGCACCACCTGTCTGCTTATATCGGGCCAGTGGCACAAGTTGCCGGTAGCTTTCTGTGCTATTTCTTTTTTTTTATTTCTTTTTTTTAATTTTTTTACTGAACACAGAACAGACAGAGGCAACAATCAAAATGCAGTGTATGCTTCACAGTGTAATTTAATTGTGATTGTTGTATTTCTTGTCCTTCCCACCACAATCACTGACACATTAACATGTACTGATTTTGCCTGCATTGTGCTGATATACCCATAGTACCTTTCTGTACACTTCCTTGACTTTGTGATGTCATCAGACTGGGACGACCCGGGGTGGATTGCTACTGTCAGCATGAGAGTGGAGCAGCTGTTCTTCAACTGCAGTTCCTCATCAATGAGGTAAGCCAGACTCCATAACGAAGCAGTGATATTTAAAGCTGCAGTTGTCATACATGCCTGAAGTCCTCATCACAGCCACAGGAACCCTTTCCACTCCAAATGTCTTCTCGCTGCGGGCCCTAATTTCTTCTTTTTTTATATTTATTATTTGTTGTTATGTTACGCAATGCAATATGGTCCTGGTTTCTGGTTGACAGTGGAGATGAATAAAGAGACCTTTTCTACTGATGACACTGACATTCATTGGACCAAATGGGAACATAAACAGCATCTCTTATAAAACTGATGGGACTTTCTAGAGTGATGTAATAGGTGTCGTTTTACATAAAGCTCTTTTCTCAGATTGGCATTGTTGCAATTATTTCTGGTCTGTGTTAGAATTTGAACAATGTAAATAAGGCGAGGAACCACATTAGTGCACATTTAGGCAAAAATATTCAGCTGTAGGACAAAAAATATCACTGCAGAGCACAAAGAAGAACAAGTCTACACACTGATGGGCTCCATATTAATATTTGTATGCAGACCTATTCTCCTTTGTGCCCAACAATGCACATAAGGGAATTAAACAGAAAATGTATACCATATTAAAACCTGTATCACTGGTAAGTCTAAAAATGTGAGTGAGTCACATTGGCCAGAAAACAAGATCACTGAAAACAAGATTGTCTGGTCACCTGTTGGAAAACCCTTTGAGTTCGGGAAAATAAACTGTGTAGATCAGAAAACTATAATCTTGAAAATAAGTTGATTGGAATCATTGCACGAATGATCAATTTCACACCAGCCTTGTTGGTCTTGTTAATTAACTCAGTTGTTCCATGTGGAGAGGCTAATGTACCAGTACTCAAACACATTTCTTTTGATAGAGAATGGCAGGAGCCAAAACACTATATAATGAACTATTGGTAATTATGATAATTTTGAAGGACACAGACTTTTTTCCTCATAACCTTTAAAAAACATTTTCCCTCACTCTCTCCCTTTTCTACTGATAGACCAGTAATGTGTGGGCTGACACATAGCAGTACTCTGCGTCAAGTAGTTGATTTCTAAGACTTAAACAGCAGCTTTACCAGTGCTCTGCACATTGATGCTTGTTTACTAACAAAGTACTGTAGGTGTATTAGAAAAAAAGGGCCCTCTAAAGAGCAGAAGCCAAGTCGCACGGGTCTGGAACACCAAGCTGTGTTTCTCTTTCTTGTTTCTCCTTTATTCTGCTGTAATCTATGTGCTCTTCCTGCCTCTCTCTGCTTTTTTTCTTCCCCCACTCTTTTTCTGTTTAAGCCCACTGGCTCTCTCAGCCCACTTCTCCATCACTCACTGGCCTACTTGTGATGTGTCTGAGGCAAATGGAGGTGGATGGGTTTGAAGAGGGGTGTGCGAGTGTTAGTGTGACAGGTATTGACTTTCTATGTGCGTATGAGTGTGTGTGTGTGTGTGTGTGTGTGTGTGTGTGTGTGGGGGGGTTAAGGATGTGTGTAATTGCCCAAATGTTAGTGTAAGAGTATCTTCACAGTGTGTATCTGGTTGTGAGCATGCATACCACAACAGTATCTCCGTTCAAGTGTGTCTTGTTTAATTTGTGGTTTTATAAAAGCATGCGTGTTAGCGTGACTTTGTGTGTGTGTGCCTCATGGTTCCTCTTACATTAACGAACACTCGCAGTTACCTCTGTAGGTCTTCTCATTGTTTGGCAGAGTGACTAATAGCAGTGCTGTACGTCAACGCCCTCTCTTAGATTAGGTGTGTGGGCTGTCGGCCACCCTGGTAATGGTTGACTTGAATATTCAGACCAACCTCTTGACATTCAGTGAGGTGTAATGACTTGTTCCTATTAGAAATATGAACCCACAAAAGAGTCACTTCTTGAAGGTAGCAGTGAATGAGCTGGCGTATGTATTAAAGGTATCCGTCTTCTTTATATCACACAGAAGACACACACTTCAACACATCTAGTTGTCAGCCATTTTATTATGTTGTCATAATCTCATACTATGTCATTCTCATGAGCCTCTCTCTCTCTCTCTCTCTCTCTCTCTCTCTCTTGCTATTTTATGAGGTTTTTTTTTCCTGTCATTGTGTCAGTGGAGGGTATGAATAGACTAATTAAAGTGTTTGTTTGCCTATTTGGAATTCATTATTTTTGCTTGATGAATAATACATATAAAGAGGCTAATGGGGCTGCTGTTGCCGTCTGATGAGGTTGGATGGTGGGTTGTAGAGGGGGGAGTCTTAGGGAAGGGAAAGGTGAAAAGGATTGTTTTATCAGTCTGCAGGAGCATTGTTAAGATGTTTATTTCTAAAAGACGCAACATATAATCTTGTATATATGGTAAATTCCTGAAAGAAATTTTAAAACTGTATGCTTCAAATTGTATAGAGTTTATTTTTCATCACATCTTTCAGACTTCTCTGACAAACATCTGAAAGAATATGAGATATTACTGTTTTAACATTAATGAAGGGGCCAAATTATGTTTTCCAAGCAGTTTGTGCTCTGTTACTTTGTTATTAGGTTATAAGATATTATTAATCAAGACCCTTTTCCTAAAAGATCTTGAAACAGAAACTGTGAACATTTTCCATTATCATTTATTTGTGTAGAGAAACTATTCAGTGTTAAATCCTATTTTCTCTATGTGTCGAGAGGTAGAGAGGAGAAGGACTAAACAAAATTCATGTAACACCCCAGGGTTCTCTTCCAAGACACAATTGGCTTTGTATCAGGTCACACACTGACTGACATATTGATTAATTAACCAATAATAGATCCTCTGATGCAAAGTGTTTTGTCAGTGCTATAGGCAGTGATTCCCACTGAGCCCCAATATTTATACAGAAGTACACAAATGATCTTGAAATGAAAATGTTCACTCTTTGTTTACAATATTAAAGAAAGAGTGTGTAGGATTTAGAGGGCAGGGAGATCCCTCTCCTTAATAAATACAATCATATTTTAAAAGGAGAAAAACAGATAAAAACGTTAATTGGAATACATAATTTAAGCAGCTGAAATACAAAATAAATAGAAATTTACAATTATTTTACCAGACATGTTTTTGAAGATGAAGAAGGCAGATATTAACTGTAGTGATAGAGGTAGATTGTTCAAAAGAGATGGTCCTCTGTATTTCTGTGAATATTGATTAAGAATCCATCTTTACACAGTAAACAGTACCTGTTTAGCCAATACATATGACAATCCTTCATTAAATTACTAAAATCATACATATGTACCGTCAATAGAGTGAAAACTTCCATTTAGCCAAAAAATACTCTTTATACCTTTAATCTAATTCCTTCAAAGTCTTCACTACATATATTATGAGTCTGGACAGACAACGTGAACTGAAACTTGACATACAGCTGTCGAGCAAAAATTGTAGTTGTACTGTAGGTATAAACTGCAGAGAATCAGTTTACCAGACCACTAATCCTATTTTATAAATACACATAAATACATCCAAAGCCATTTTCTAGATGTTTTTATAGTGCAATTATCTCTCTTCTTTGCTGATTTTAATTTTACCCATGCTGTACCTTGGCCTGGTCACCTTCCCTGCCGTTGCCATCGAAGCATTAAGATAATTATACCATATTGGGGTTGTGGACCCAGCTCTCACCCTGTCTGCCTCTCACATTCTGATTTTTTTCTGTCTGGTATGATTTCTTCATTAGCTACTGCTACTCCTCGTCTCACTTCTTTAGATGATAGAGACAAATTCCACGAGCATTGGGGGAAAAAAAATATCCTCTGATAATTGTGCACCAATTATTGGGCTTTAGAAGTGACAGAAATGCTTGTGGAATGTGAGGTTTAGTAATACTAGCAATTCTATGTTGTGTTACCGGTGTTTCTGTTTAGGCCCAGCTGCTCTCAGCTGAGATTTATCTCTGTTTTGTAATCCTCCATGCATATTGTATAAACTCCAGCCAGGTAGCACATGATTTAATCATTAAATGTTTTTCATTAATATGTTTATTGTTATCCAGTGTGCCAGCATTTTAAATGACCGAGATTTCCTTCACAAAACAAAGAATAGATCAAGTGTCACTACACAGTTTCTTTTAGTTTCTTTCCTTTCTGTTAAATTAAATGACAATAAGATGAAGGCCAATTATATTATTATATTATCCAAGTCAATTATTGTTCTTAAAGTCATTGTCATCTCCAAGTCAGATAAAATTACACTAATTTGAGGATCTGGGGGAAGTGGAGCATTCAAGAGACACAATAAAAATCCCCATTAATCTTGGTATGGAATGACATCAAAAAAGGAAAATAAATCAAATATTGCATCCGACATTTAAATTTTCTGAAAGTGCCAGTTAATCCCCCCCCCCTTCACAGGAGCAGCTTACCCCTTTTTAATATTGAGAGTGGGCGCCAAATAACATCGGAGCCAGTAGGCGGAAAATGCTCAAATAGTTATGTTGTTCATTAAATCTTTCTTTCCTGTTAGATCAATTCAGGAAGATACATTATTTGTCTCATAAAAAGCCATTGCTCTCTTTGTAAACTGGCTTTTGTGAAGTTGTCATGTTTTTAAGTGAGATGTAAGACTTACAGGTGCCAATGAAAAGTTTAGGTCATTCATTTGAAAATTGGATTGGGGGTGGGGTTCAGGGATTTAGTCACAGATGAAGAGTTTCTGCCAGAGAATGCTCAGTCATTGTATTTGTCTGACTCTAATGATTTTTTTTTTTTTATTGTAAAATGTATGGCTAGTTTTTTAACAACTTCAGAAAATACTGATATTGATCAGTGTGTTTGTGTTCTTGGTGGTGCCCAATTTAATGTACAGGATTAATGTGTTCATCCAGTATCATAATTACTCTTGCCTCTTTTTATTTACCTTAAAATAACTGAAAGTTGATGCAACTAATATTTTTGCTATGCTGAGTGAGAGATTCTGTGAGTGTGGGGAACATATTAACCAGTATGGAAATCAGTGGGAAGCAATTTTTTCATCCTCCCTTGCACTTTGCCGCCTTTAATCCCATGATTACGTTTGTAATCTAAAGCTAATTCTCCCTGGGCTCCAGTCTATAGAGTGACGCCCTGGTAGCCAAACCACACTGGGAATTTCACTGTAATTACAATCCTCAGAGCTAGGGCCGATACCAGCTGACATCTTTGAAAATAATTTGTAATTTTCCTCTCACAGTTTCCATCCAATGTCTGTGTGATTTAGCACAGAGCCAAGGTGGACACAGGACAAACAATGTTCTGTATTTTCAACATACTACAAGTGGAACAGTTTGAAAATTGTCAGTGATAAATATATTTTAATATGTATTTAAATATATCATAATATGTAATAATGTCTGGTATTATATAGTAGTTTAACACAAAAGCACAGATTTTAGGTGACAGTTTGGCGACAAGGCGACAAGAATGTGGTGCACAGGCACAGTTTGGCAGATTCTCCGTTAGCTGTCAAAGGGCATTCTTGGAGATAAACAAAATCAATGAAATATAGATGAGGTAAGTTGAGGAAAAAATTGTTTTAACAAAAAGAAAATCACAACAATATTTTCTAAGCCTCCTTATTTTAAAGAGTGCATTCTTTCTCTACTTGTATTATTTCAGCTATTTTAGCTCCTACGTGTGTACATGAGAGACACTGTACTTCATGTTACGTTTCGATCTTCAACCCTTCAGTGTGTCTTGGGTGCCATACAACTGAAATCTGCTGTGTTTTTGCCTTTTGTGCTCACAGTCAGACTGGATATCCCCATTATGATTCAGTACTCATATTTCTTTTTTGGCTTCTAGGGGGCGCTGGTCACCGCCTGTGCAGATGACACGCTACATTTGTGGAATCTCCGTCAGAGGCGGCCGGCTGTCCTGCATTCGCTCAAATTCAACAGAGAGAGGTAAGCATAAAGTCCACTTAATAAAACACACACATGCACACACACCTTCCACACCCTGCTCCAGTAAAATATGGATGTGACTGTCCCTGGTCAGAACATACTATTTTACACAAGCAGTCCGTGGAGAGCTTCCCAAAACCACCACCAGCTAGTCCTATACACAGTATTTGCCATAGTGCTGTATTTTGTATCCAGTTATCTTCAACATCTTGACATCTCAAAAGAGATATCCATTGTTTAACAAATGTATTACTTGTATAGCTCTTTCAGAAATTACCAATGCCACTATGCAGTGCCTTCTGTGCTCCAGAAAGACTCCTACTCCTACTCACACCACATCCCAGACCGCCCAGCATATGCAGGGCCATCTCTCAGCTGCAGTATCGGCAGCAGCCAGTGTCCTTCCACCAGGAAGACACATTTAATCAATTCAATCTGAAAGACGATGAAGCAGAGTGTTGACAGGACAAGGCCAGCTCCTCTGTCCAGCCTCTGATCTTTTTTCACCCTGTCTGATAAACCTGAGGAAGAGAGGATCCCTTGGCTTGATGTTCTCTCTTCTGTCTCAGCTGGTGACCCCTTCAGCCTCATGAGATACCCCCCACTACCGTCACCACAGGCTGTGAGAGTTGACTTCCCAGTGGCTATTAGGCAGCTGAATCCATCTCCTTTGACATGTCGCCAACTAAACTTAATAAAATACTCTATTGTCCTTCACAGGAAATTTGTTACTGCAGTCTGTACATACATACATAGATACGAAAAAAAATAAAAATAAACACATATGGACACTGCGACATAACAAGAATAAACTCTTAAAACAGCACATTTAGCACATTTACCCCTCCCTGTCCTGTGCAAAGCACTTGCTCACAGCTGTTACCGGGATGCCTTGTTTAAAAACCTTTTAAACCTTTGAAATGCCTGAGCCAGTTTTCACATGGTGACTACAAACTGGCAGCAGCAAGCAGAGCTGGTGGAATATTTTAACAAGACATTGCTTATGGCAGCCCAGCCCAGTCAGCCTGGGCATGAATATAGATAAGTTGTATTTATTTTTTATAATTATAAGTCAAATGAACACAACATCTGTAAATGTGTTTGGAATGCTAGGAGCAATGTCGTAGTTCACATTTTAGTTTGGGGTTGTGCAGATGTGGCTGACTGTCCTCTAGCAATAAGCCAGAGAAGTCCTGTCTTGGAGCTCCCCCTCACTGTGACAGCCTCTCTGATGCTTCCATATCTGACACCACTCAAGGGTCCCTGAGGTCAGAGAAAAGATTGTTGCTGCTATGTTGCTTTTGCCTGACAGCTAAGGCCCTACCTGTGATCCCATTTGAAGCAATGGTACATGAGTGCTCAATGGGCTGGGAAAAACATGACTGCTGTAGAATTCTGGCTGACTGACTGGCAGACACTCAGTTTGTTTGCTAGAGTGATTATTCCCTCTTTGTTGCTGATTTTGTTTCTTGGACTGAAATTTGAAAGGTCCTTATTTTTTCTGCAGCCCCCTCCAACTCCCCTTTCTAAAGCAGACACAGTGTCTTCCTTGTCTCTCTCTCTCTCTCTCTCTCTCTCTCTCTGGTTTTCCATGTCACACGTCATCCACAGGATGAGGAGGTAGTGCCACACCCTCAGGAAGCTGCTACTTTAAGTCAGTCAGCTGTCACTCCTTGTCCATCTCCTATAGACATAGTCTGTGGGATGAGGTGGTAAGCAAGACCTTGGCGCTTTGCTTTTACAGAGCATAGATTTATTCTCTCCACCATTATACTTCGATGGCAAACAATGGCCTCTTGGTGCTAATGCTTGCATTTGGAAACGTTTTTCCTTCTTTCTTCCTTGGAAAAATATGGCCATACACAGACATGTCTCAAAACATTTGGTTGTCCTAGATGGCACTATATTATGCCAGAAACAGGTTGTATAATCTGGGGGTGTTCACTGCAGTTGTTTAGCACATGCACAGTCCACACTAGGAGTGTGTGGATAAGGAAGTAAATACCCACTTCAGTCTGGTCAGCAATTTATTGGGGTTTTGCTGTTTCTACTGTGCTGTGGCAGGGGTGTGTCAATACAATTGTGTGCATTGTACCTGCCCTAGTTCTAGGTAGGGCTCTCTAACTTGCTTCTTTGTCATACCAGTGCATGTTCAGATGCTGTTTATAATATCAAAGCCAGTTGGCTGGGGGTTCAGCAAGTTCATCCCCAGCCGATTGTGTGTATCTGTGTGTTTCTGTTTTACTGCACGGTGGTGCAATATTGTCAAGCCTAGATTCCCAAGGCTTTGTCTGCTTGCAAGACATATGTTTTAAAATTCACCTGAATGATGAATAGACGTTGCTCACCTCTGAATTTTTTAACATTTTGCTCATTACATATTTCATACCAACAGATTTTTATTACATGTTGAGCAGCCATTACACACAAAGCAAAATAGTGTTGGAGAATGGTATTATCCATTAGCAGTAACATTCAAATATTTGGTGAATGTTATGCTAAACAAAGGAAGAGTCTTCTGACTTACCGTTACAGCCAGTTTTTCAAAACTTCAAAAGTTGACGAAGAAAGCTTTAACTTGCTGACAGAAATCGGAAAAAATGGAACAAATAATTGTTTCATTAACTTTATGCTTTTATTAATCAAAATTATTCCCATTTCCCTTTTCCTGTTCTACTACACAGTATATACTAGACTTTGTGAAAATGTTCAAGTTCTTCATATTCAAGTTGAACTTATATAACTCCTATAACAGGAGATATTTTCTGTCTTTCTGCAAGAAAAAACTATTCTTTCTAACTAAAACTTGATTTCCACCGCGTGGCACCTGTGTCATGGGCAAGGACATTTAATGAATACAGTATGACTGTATTCCCACTGAATGTGATGGAATTTTATTATGCTTTCAAAAAGCAGATTAATTATTTATTTTTGCCACAAACCTTTTTTGTCAATAGAAATGCAGGGTCACGGTGTCAGATTAAGTGTTGCTTTTGATGAGCACATGGAATAGCCAAATCAGCCCGGTCGCTATTACAAGTCAAGGACTTCGGCTGAGTCACAGGATATTTTTCTCTCTACTGAAACTTTCTATCACAAGAGAGAAATAAGCTTTCTCCCTGAGACAGAATCTCAATCCTACCATGAAAAAGCACATAAAACTCGACCAGTGGCACTTTCACAATTCAACAGAGACTAAGAGGATAATGGGCCAGAGGAGTTTGTTAAATCCATGTACTGTTTGCAAGTTGTTAAGGAAAGAACTTGGTGTCTTGTTAATGCAGTGACAGGGTTCAAGTCATTAGCAGTGTATGTGAGAACAATAGACATTTTTCAAGATTTTTTTATCAAACCTATTTCAAAATTTTAATGACTTTTAAACTGAGGAATCATGTAGTCTAAAAACCTTAAAGATACTTTCAGACAGAAACAGGCACCAACTGCTGTCAACAGGATGCCAATCATGCTGTCAAAGAAAGAGAGGGTGGCTACCACTGATGTAAACACACACAGGTAATATTGATAACAATGATAATAGTAATAACCTCTATTTGTATAGATTTTTGAACCAAAGTTACAATGAAATACAATCTATAATTGTATTTATACAGCGGAAGTATCTTCATAAGCCATTTTTGGCTACATTTACAGTCAATCAATTTATTTGGTGGCTGGCTATATTTTATTAATTTACTTTATTTCTCTTTTTAATATTCTATTGATGTGCTTTCCCCTGATTAATAATATTACTTTTGCTGTTGCAGCAACCTCATTACATTAAACATTTATGAAATCATCTCATGCTTTTCACTGTAAAACTGCCCATATGACATATTTCATATTTTAAATTCATAGCCTAGCAGCTGTACCTGTATCACTGTGTGGTGTACGTGCCCACACAAACACACAGAGGTGAAGGTTAGGAAAAATGCTTTCTATCAAACCCTCTTTCAGTAGCTCTCCACCTGTCTTGTAGTGCGATGAGGTAGGAAGCACAACCACTCGTTCTCAACAGCAGAGCAGTGAATCATGCTCTAAGATAAAAGTAGAAAAAGGGCATTATGAGTCATCTGTCAGTGGCTGGGCAGTGACTTGCCATTTAGCTCTGTGTCTCTAAGCTGAACCTCTGATAATTAGCACCCTAACACCCCCTCAGAATCCCCTAAGAATAATGTATGAATCACTGGAAACAGTGGAGAGAATTGTTTTGTGATAACTGTCAATCAGCATCTCGTGCGTGCCACCCCTCCTCGACTCATGCTGCTGTTAAAAAGAGTTTGAAGACTTTCAGTCCAAACAAAATGCACACAACACTACATGAGACATTGGACACTTGCAATAGTTTTTGCACAGTAAAAAGAGCCATTTGTGCTAATATGATCGTCTGTGATTTGAAGTTATCCAACAGAATTGTTCTTTGCTGATATATGATATATGGAGTCGTTGTAGAATTCCTAAGCAGTTAAGCAGATGGCAAGGTCACCAATTCCCTAGATGATGTCACCAATTCAATTAATCTGTACATCTTTTTACTTCATTAAAGGTATTTGCTCCTCAGTTGGTCTCACAGTGGCAGGTCAGCTGGCAGCCACAACGCTTCCTGTCCTCTTTGGTTGATACTAAAGTTGATACTTAGTTGATGGTGCCTGGCAGATTGTATGGAGTCATGCCTTCGACTTTCTCCAAATTGTCCTCTGGACGTGTATTCATCACTAGTTGCCTAGTTATCCTTCATCCCATTCAGCATCTTCTCATATTTTCTTCCATTGATTTTTTCCCCCCTTAAAACCTAGTCTTTTATTTGATCCTTCCTGTGACATTTTTATGTAAATGGTCAGCTCATAATGGAGGTAATCAGTGCTAAGAGGCTTTTCTAAAGAGGCCTCATTTTATTTGATATTTTTTCACTAGGAGAATATTCTGACTCACTTGGGTTACTGCAGATATAGTCTTTGAAATATGGCAATTTAGATGAATAACTATCAACATTTTTACACAGTGACACAATGTCACAATGACAATGTCCACTGTACCTAGTAAGTCAATGAAGAGGTTTGGAGCTCATCTGTTGTTTTTTACGTTAAAGAATTAGACCTAATAATCCACAAAAGTCAGGATGCTTCCTTCAACACAGAAATATGTCAATTTTAGTGCTAAGGCTGAATGCATGTTGTAAAAGACAGAAGACTGAATAATCCTCTGTTGCTCGCATAGCACTTCTGCCCCCCTGCCAGTTTGAATATTGTCATCTCCCCAAGCCCCTAAAATCCTTATTGAATTGTCTGCCATCTCATTTGTCTTCTATCTAATAATCCTGTCGCTTGCTGGGTGGGTGGCTGTGGGGCTGTAGCCCAATGATCTACCCACTTCTAAAAGGTAATCAGCATGGATAGAGGATAGTAGGGCTTAGTGTGTGCTGATCTTTCTTCCCTGGTTAAGATGATTATAAAGATGATAGATGCTAATGACAGAGCAATAATGGTTTAAGCAGCCTTGCATCACATCAGAATTATTTTCATATGCCACACGAATACCTTGGGGGTATGGGTCTCATGATTATTTATTGATTTGCGAATTGCAATTATCAGGATTTTTGACAATTACATTTTCAAGACCTGGAAAAGTTTGTGAAAAAATGTAAAATCCCAAAAGGTTTGGAAAAGTAATGGAAAATAGTTTTATGAATATCTTTAAACATGACCTGTCTATTTTTTTTCCCAATCTAGCAATGTTATAAAACAGACATGTACTCACTCAGGTATGGTCATTGGCTACTGTAGTACCTTGTCTTGCTTACCTTGTCTTGCTTGGAGAAATTTTAAATATATGGGCATACACCGATCAGCCATGATGCTGCATAACATTATGACCACCTGGGCACCTTGGTGGTCATATGCAGCCCAATACGCAACAAACTGAAGCACTGTGTGTTCTGACACCTTTCTATATCTACCTTTCTAACCAGCATTAACTTTTTCAGCAGTTTGAGCTACAGTAGCTCGTCTGTTGGATCGGACCACACAGGCCAGCCTTTGCTCCTCACCTGCATCAGTGAGCCTTGGCCGCCCATGACCCTGTCGCCGGGTTACCACTTTTCCTTCCTTGGACCACTTTTGATAGGTACTGACCACTGCAGACTGGGAAGACCCAACAAGAGCTGCAGTTCTGGAGATGCTCTGACCCAGTTGTCCAGCCATCACAATTTGGCCGTTGTCAAAGTCGCTCAAATCCTCACGCTGCCCATTTTTCCAGCTTCTAACACATCAACTTGAGGACAAAATGTTTACTTGCTGTCTAATATATTCCACCCACTGGCCATGATAACAAGATAATCAGTGTTATTCATTTCACCTGTCAGTGATCATAATGTTATAGCTGATCAGTGTATATATGTGTATGTGTCATCATGTGAAAATATATTTTGCATTTGGACAAGGGGAGAGGCAGCCATGGATTCGTCATGTTGACAGTGAGGGTCTGATGTGAACTGAAGAAGTTTAAGAAGTAGTGAGTGAAGCAGTGTGTCTTTACAGCAGGCGTAGCATGAGCAGCATGTTAGAGAAGCAGCAGCAGCTTTAGTACTCCATCTGTGTCACTCACAGTATTGAGTGTAGGTCACCGGCGTTTTGGCAACGCTCGAACTCCACACACAATCACTGTAATATGCACATAAAACTAAAGAAAATATACTTGAAACGCAAAATTCTTGGTTTTCCTACACCAGTCTTCTTTGTTTACTACACTGGTTCCCCATTGCTGCTCGCATCCAGTTCAGAAGTCTGTAGCTGGCAGTAAAGGGAACTGTTCCCTACCTCCAAGCCATGGTCAAACCATATACGCCCCAGCCCAGCTATTGTGTTTCTCTGCCTCTGGATGTTTAGCTGTCCCATCAGACTCTGGTCATTCATCTCAGTCAGGGCTCCTGTCTATTCTGGCTGGAGGCACAGCCCATCTTTTGCCGCAGGCTAAAAACACAGTTTTTTAAACATAAAAAAGCCTTTACACACCAGGGGCATGACGATTAAATGGCACAAATGCTCACCTGTGAATATGTTGCATCAAAATTAATCATTCTGGCAGATTGGAATAAGCGACTCATTAAAATAAATAATTAATTCCACACACACTTACTAAGGAAGACAAGGACTGATGAAAAAATGGCAGCAGCTTGCAGAGCTACCGGGGATCACACTGCATAAACAACGCACTGACAGACAGGTCACATTCACCGGGGTTATCTCAGCGGTCTGTCCCGAGGCTCCGGTTCAGTCTGTTAAGATGTATTAATATGTTAAAACACCAATGTCATACAAGACCAAGAAACTAATCAAGGCAGTGGTAAATCAGAAACTCCAGTGTTGCATGAGGTAAAGTTACTGTTTTTGTAGGCTTTGAAGGGATCAGATGGATATAACAGCTTCAGTTCCCCACCGGTAAATCCCACATAGCAGTCTGTGCGCTGCATATTATTGGCTCATTACAAAAAAAAAAAGGTCGAAAAACTACATTGACGTGCAAATTAATCTCACAATAAAACGCCTCTTGTGTGTAAAGGCCTTAAGTCTCAACAAGTTATGTATTCTGGATACTTGTACTGGGTAATAAGGTTGATTGATTTTCCGCGCAGTGAACTGTGTTCTACTGTGTGTGAAATGTGTAAATGTGTTGTAAAGCAAAAATCTTCAATACTTATTCTGCAGTTTTTAGTTAGAGCCATTGTTTTGGGCTGCAGAAGTTTATAAAATTAACTTGATATGTTATGCATTTTGATGGTTATAGAAAGAGTCTGGTTATGAAAATTAATTTAAACTCAAGGAAAAGGCACATAAATCTGTTGGACAAAATGTGCAGGAATAATAATTAGTATTAGTATTAGAAGTACTAGTTGTTGAGGTGTGAATATGTATGACACGGTGGACCAGTTTAGCCTGTAGTGCACATGTCAGTATGTTGGCTTTCGGACTAATGAAACAGAACATAGAAAAAGTTCAGCCTTCTATTTTTGAGAGTAATTCTGAAGGGCTCTTTGAATAACTATTTATACTGAGTGCAAAAGTTCTCTGACAAGAGAGAAGCAGAGAGTGGGGCAGGTGGAACAAATGTAGGCAATAATATCTATATTGAAGGTGCTGCATTGCTCATGAAAATAGAGTTTCACTTTCCTGTCGACCACTAAATTAAACCTTGATTAAGGGTTAGTCAGTCATTAGAATGAGTCAGGCCATAACTTCCGTGAATGAGTCAGGGTTTGACGTCTATGAAGGACAGTTATTGAACAGTGGTTCTGACAGTGACATAGTATATAGTCTATCAAGTACCATGCACAGTGCTGTACATATTGAACTTTTTAGAATGCTAATGCCATTACTAAGCAGGCAACTTGGCTAGAATGCAGTTTTAATCACGTTATTTGTTATCCAACAGTTGCTTTATTGAACAAATGCCTCTTACTCCATGTTTTTCAATTGTTTGGTTTGTGTTATGCCCAATTATTGATTTTTTAAAGGCATATCTGTCATATTTTAAAATAATAACATGTTATTCCAACAAAATACCTTGATGTTTCAATTTATTTGTATTTTTAAAGGAATCATTAATAATAGAATAGCTGTACGTTCATTTTTAGTATTGCATACAAATAAATACTATACACAATGAAAACTACACTTTACACTATCATGTAGTCGTGATTATAAGCAGCTTGAAATGCACATTACTTGTCTGAAATCAGAATTGTAGACAATATACGGAGAGGTGAACTGCAAAAGGGGTAGATCAATTTGTATATGTACAAAAGTGTGAGAATATACTGTGTTAAACCATACTGCATAGAACTGATATAACAATCCTTGAAAGCAAAGCCCCCTTTGTGACTGTTCATATTCTAACACTCTTTCCTCTCTTTGTTTCTTGTTCTCCAGGATCACGTTTTGCCACCTTCCCTTTCAGAGTAAATGGCTATACGTGGGGACGGAGCGCGGAAACACACACATCGTCAACATCGAGTCCTTCATTTTGTCTGGATACGTCATCATGTGGAACAAGGCCATAGAACTGTAAGTTGCCCCTGCTCCAAACAACAGTTATCTGTGATGACAGTGAGGATTTTAATGTGCTGATACTGGTGTGAATGCCAGTGGGTCAGGGTCAGTAAATTGATGGCCAAATATTTGGTGGGTCTTGTATGGATGTTAAATACTTTGTGTTCCCTAAAATAAGGTTTGAAAAAAAGGATCTGTCAACAGAGGACACAAGTTAATTGTTTTTTAAGCCGTTTCAGATGTCTCAAGGGCAGTGATCTCTTTGAAAGCTAACCTTAAATCAACTATGTTGAGTCAAGTTTAATAAACAAAGTAAATCTAGAGTTGGGAATTTGCAACTGAATAAGTGTTAATTGTGTTAGTGGTCTCCCATTACGTACGATGGGAACAGTTGAGAAGTTAAAGTTTACTACCATTTTGTTGCCTTTTATGTTTGAACAACAGGTTCATGAATTAGCTAGTCAGAGAAGTTTTTCCATATTAACAGTGAATTTTTTCAGTGATCATATGTTTCTTTGCATGAAAAGAACTGAACAACAGATGGATTTTAGTGTTATAGATCAAGCTTTAGGTGAATACATGGATGGTTATTTTATGATCATTACTAAAATAACCTGTCTGCCACTCTTTCTCGACTTCAAATAGCCTGCGCACACACACAAAGACACATACACACAGACACACACACACACACACACACACACACACACACACACACACACACACACAGTGAAATATAGGACTTCATATAGGATTCAAAATGATTGGGTTGTTGTTGAATTGGTTTTGTTGTGTGAAGTTGGGCCCATTTCTCAGGGGTATTCATACGTTATTGCTGTTACTTGTTAGTTTGAGTCTTATTATTTATACACATATATACATATGCCTCTGGGGGAATGTAAACAGCAGTAACAAGATAGTGATACCTCTCAATTGTAATACTTGTTGTCAAGAATAGTTCAATAAATAAGACTACACGATAAACAAAGGGCTGCAAATAGACCCAGTGATCAGGAATTGCTATCATCAATGCTGCTTTCAGCAATCAGTGGTCTGCCCAAAAAAATCTGATCAGAGCGCCAGTATTGTTTAATCATTCTGAACATCATGGTGCTGTTGCTATAGCAAACTGAGCCATGTGCCATCTGACATTTGGACTTTCATGAGGAAAACCGGGCTCAAATCTGTGGTCATTAAGATGTAATTGAAAAATAAATAAATAAAATCAAAACTTGATAGTGAACTTGATATAACTAACACATTTGCAACAATTGGTAGAGGACTAAATGAGCTGTTAAGTTGAATATTTTCAGTGTTCATCACAAACCGACTATAAAGAAAACAACTCACTTGCATTGCCTCAACAGGCTTTATCCTTCTTTTGTGGTAATGTTCACAGTAAGCATACAGTGAGCATAAAGAAAGCGTCCACAATGTAATATAACATTTGAGCGTAATACTACTTATCAGCCTTTAATAATTAGTTGACATGCACTTTTGTTGTTGGTTGCACAAGTTGACTGTGTAGCTGACATATGCTGCAGATTGACAACTGCTGCATATGTCAGCCATTAAATACACAAATCGTGCTCAGTTGCATTGTATGCCCGTTTGTTTCTCTCGGTTACACCCACCTACGCGCCATTCTTCTGGTGTTACCCTGACAAGTCCCCTGCTGCAGTGTCAGTCACAAGTCACTCTCATACCAAGCCATCTTGTTGCCTTGTGACAGCCCACACTATGGTGAGCAGCCATAACACTGATGTGTATGTGTGGGAGGGCTGTCTGCCAATCACTGCTAAAGTCTCGGAGGCTGGGACAGTGGTTGTGATTTTTAACAGGATATTTAGTTTGCTGATTCCTCACCACAGTGTGAGTCAACAGAGAACTTTCAATCTTCTTTTTAGCATCACGTCAGAACTTCCTTCAGTCTAAAACTGTGTGAAAGAAATTAGTTTTAATGTGTTAGGATGTCTACTTTGCTCATAAATAAGAAATATGTAAATACTCAATCAACAAATAATTATTAGTGGTTAACCGATATTGGTTTTTCCATGGCTGATGTCGATGTCAATATTTAGAGAGCAGGGCCACTGATGGCTCATATAAAATGCAGATATCAAAACAAAGGAAAGTAATGTATATTTCCATTCCATGCACATTACAATCAATATACTTGGTTAGCCAGTGACTTAGTAGTTCTTATAAGTGTGATTATTAATAAAAGAGAACAATACATTGGGTTATGTTGTAGATTTCCGAATGTGACTAGTATTTAAGAGAGAGCGGGGTACAGTATGTCAGAAGTGGCATCATTCAACTGCATTATTCTATAACACAGTAATCAACACCAGCCAGTAAAGGTTTCAGATTAGATTTAGAAAAAGACAAAATTGAGGCATACATTTCCAGCAGGATGTGTGAGGGTTATAGTACAGGGCTCCGAACTAACTTTTCCACCACCCTTCCAAAACTCACAAGGGGGAGCTCTAACATGGTTCCACAGCAGCCACACTGACAAGGCTGCCTGCAGCCATTTTTTGCTTATTGGCATTGCAAGCGCAGGCCCGATGGCGATTATCTCAAAATTCCAGATAATCGTCCCCATCAATCGGCCAACTGATTAATCGGCCTATCTATAACAATTACTATACATAATTCATAATCCAATTACAAGGTTACCCACAGCCTGCCCTGAAAATAAAAGACTGTTCCCTTATATTTATGAAATATAGCAGTAAACGTCAGTGGAAAAGACTCATTCTACTCTTTGAAACATGCAGCCATTAAGTATAGTGTCGCCAGGGAGCTGCCAAAAACAAAATGGGGAGAGGTGAAAACTACTATTTACTGACATTTCAGAATTTAGATCTTTAATGTAATCTGGCCTATAATGGGACAATTGACTAGCAACTGGCTGGCAGACATGAGAATACTAAATACCTTTTGGATTTTGCATAATCACATATCAGACATATAACATGTACACAGTAGCAAATGTGTAAAAATATGGGTAGTAACTATGCTATTCTGACTAAAGTGGGTAGAGCGTGCAACCATCTCAACAATAGGTTTTTATACACTGCATATTATGTTCTGCTTGAGCATGCACTATAATATATTCTCTATTTTCAAACCGTCAGCACTCTGTACCTTTCTGATGTCGAGTTCATCCTAAGTTGAACTAGTAGAGAATGAATCCTCTCTCATCAACAAACAGAGGAACTGGGGAGTTTCATAGGCTGGGGAGGCTTTCCACTAAACATGAATAGGTATGAGAGGAGACTTTGTGTTTTTCCTGTGGTGGAACATTGAGTGAGGAAGGGAGAACTCATCCACTCTTTCCACTGTGTAGAAACAGCACAATGTGACTCATGCAGTATTTGGTGTGTGTTTACACTCGTGTGTGCATTCGTGTTCTCACAGTGTTTGTGCGACAGCCGTTCACAGATGTATTAATTTAATTGTAAACCAAAGTATGCTCTCTTGAAAAGAATCCGTTATAGCGACAATTCAACTGGGGCCAGTGTTCCCAAACCGTAGGGCCGGGCTCTCATTGAAATTCAAATGGATTCGCAACATATTTAATGAACAATTTCATCTTCAGAAGATTCATTCCAAAATGAAATATAAAAGAAATGAGATGCAAGGAGAAGTGGGAAAACACAGCAGCCCAGAAGACACACTGTTGCAGTTCATAGATCCCTGTGATGAACAGAAATGTGTTTACGCCTGGCATCATGTCAGCCGTAATCAACATTGGCATGTTAGACTATTTCTGCTATTATGATTGTAAAATAAGCAATGAGTTTTCAGCATCCTCCTGGTCCCTTAACTGTTTTATAATAAGCAGTCTTAAAATGCAAGCACATGCTCCAGAAATTACGTGGCAAAAGAAACACTTGGCAACAGCAACCCTGTCTCCTAAAAATATACCACCACTAATTTTAAAACGCAATGCAATGCTGCCTGGATTTATGTTACTGCTGGTGTTTTAATAAAATAATGAGGAAATATATTTAATGAATCTGCAAAATGTTTATAGAGAGCTTTCTGCAAAGTTTTCACTGACACCATATTCCTGATTTTTTCCTATATCAACTTGCGGTAACTAAATTAATTTAGAACAATTTTCTAGATGTTAAGGCAACTCAAAGCACTTTAAAGTTAAAGTTAGGTTAAAATTAAAGAAGTTAATGAAAGAACATTGTCTTTGGTTTAATATCAAAAAAGTCAATGCTGACTTGTTTACTTTTTATTTATTTAACCAAAACTAATATCTTTTCCCAGCCAAACTGGTTTTGTGTGAAGCGCAGGATGCAAATCCCGGTCTCCATCATATGCACTGGAAAAAGAGATTTGTTGGACCAATTTAAAATGTTTTAACTGTAATTGGTTACACAAATTAATTAAGTTTACACGTTTACAGTGACGCATTTTCAAATCAACAACCTATATTGCTACAACCTAATGCTACTACAAGTCAACTTGAAATGACTCACCATATTATAGTCCAGCAACTCTTTGCTTTGTAAACTGAGACAGGAAGGTCAGAAAACTTGCTCAGCCACATTAGTAATAATCAGTAATTATTATTTTGCAATGTTGTACAATATTGTGATATGTAGTACTCGTCTCTGCCTGATTCAACATTCTGCTCAACATTTTCTAAGAAGAAATAAAAAGATAAAGATAAAGTGAAAATTAGAGTGAAAGTATTGAAGGAATACACTCGACAGTCAGTCAACTGTTTCAGACTCCCCAAAACCAGGAAATACTATAGGGAATATTCTTCATGGAAGTTTGATATATTCAGATGGATGATTAATACATAAGAAAACACTCTTCTCACCATGGGAACTCAAAGTTGATAATATTGTTAATGGTCTACTTACAGAATTATACAGTATAAAACTTCACAAGGCCTTGCATATCTTGCACAGTTAATGTAAAAAAGCAGCTTGTTCCGATGTGAGATCGGATCAAGGACAGTTTGTTGCACATTCATACCGAAATGCATGCTTTAACTCACACCAGTGTGTTTCTACTGCATCTTCCAGTTAATCAGCAAACGATTTTCACTCCTCTTGATTTGATAATTATACAGAAAATATCCTAAAATTAGATTCAACAGATTACACATATTAGAGTTGATTCAGTTCCAAATATTTTACGGGTGACTCTCCAGAAGTTACAAACTATAGGACCAAAAGGATAAAAGACAAATCAAAAGAGAATAAGTGAATGGACCAATAGCCATTTATATCTAATCTGACATTCCATTTTACTTTTGTGATAGTTTTAGGTATTGTAGATGTGTAGGAGAAATCACAGTGTTATACAAAGCCTCTCTTAAAATGTAATGCCATGTGATTATATGTATATTATTTGTATAAGACACTCACTATAACTCAAATATTTGACGTTACTGTTGACATGCTATTTCCTGTCATTCCTTGTTGATTATTACATAAGATAAGCCTTTATTAAAGGCTCCACTGGTCCTACTGTAGCTCAAGGTCTCTTTGCCTTTGTGTCAATACCCTTGGTAGTCAATCTTTGGATGACTGTAATAAAGAATACATTTTTTTTTTCTTTTTCTGTAAAACATATTACAGTAATTGATTTTTTCTTTGTTCTTGACACTCTATTCTATTAATCTATTTCATTATGTACACCTGTTAATCAATATGCTGGAGCCTTTTCCAGCATGCACTGGGCAAGAGGCAGTGAATCCTGTTTTCCAGATCCCTCGAGCCACAACAGGCACGCTTGTTTAACGGTTGATGTTTTTTGGCAGGCTTTGAGAGGATTTGGTAACATCCTTGCTTAACAAGCACAGGGACACTAGTACCTTTAATGGAAGCTTTTAGGCTGAATAATTTGCTTGTCTGTTAGTTTAACAATATAGTTACATTTCTGAAGAGAAACAGAATCATCTAATTTAGCCTGCTGCCATACAACCACAACACACGAACAGGGCTGGGTACCAAACTTCGATTCTTTTATGGCACCGACTGAACTGCATCAATACTACAGAGTATCAAAAAACGTCTTTTCATTCTGTACCAAATTTCGATACCAAAAGAGTAAAACTCTACAGCCTCAGTACGCCCACACTGCAACAGACTGTTGATGTATATTTCATAGCTGTGCAGGAGAAACACACAGAGACAGATCTCACTTTACCTTGAGCTGCTTATGTTCACAGACAGCTAGTGAACTTTGTGCTGTTTGTTAGCCAACTTTCATCTGCTCATTGGTGAGTCTGTTCACCCCATCGTCCACTGGGATGGAAACCTAGGCGCATCCTCTCCTGGCCAATGGGGAGCCAGAGAGCATTTCAGACATTGTTTACAGACCGACAGGAGGAGAGAAATGAAGTTGATTTGTCAGACCCGGGGGGTAGCTGGTCTCCAGCACAGAGACAGTATGAGGTCTCACTCTGCCACTATTTCCCAGTGCCATAAATGTCCCCCACACAGTCTTCTTCTTTGGGTTAGACTAGAAATATTGCTGCCATACTGTTTGTTAATAATGCTCCTTTGACAGTTATTTATAGTTATATATATATATATATATATATATATATATATAGTCCAATGCTCTACATATATTCAGTTTAATTTTTTATCTAGGTTGAGTAAAAAACGTTTCTCCAGCTGCTCCCAGGTCCTTTAATGGCTTCCTTCTTGGAAGTGAGTAATTGCACATAATGTATAATGTTAATTTTATAAAATTTTTATTGAAGAAATTGGTATCAAAAATCGTTCAGGAAACAGTATTGAAGTTAAGATATCTGGAAAAGTATCGAAATTTAAAAGAAGACTTTAGGAAAATCCTAGTACTTTCTAAGGAAAGCGGCATTAAAGTGATCTAATATGTTTTTCAAATGATATATATGTTTTACAACAGCAATATAGCCTTACAATTGTAGCTGTGCCCAACATTGGCAAACACTATTCATCAGAACATTTTTCTTAAAGCATTCTGATTCGCTTTGTGTGCATTTTGAAGACTGGCCTTGTTAGCTGAAAGGCAAACTTTATCAGGAGTCCCTAAGTAATGCAGCAGCTCTCCTCAGATCACATATTTGTGATATTTAGTGTGAAGACTTTCATCAACCAAATGAAATGGCCTTACACGTACAATAGCAAGCCTTTGCCCTTCGTCACAGAACATTTAATAACTGCTATGAACCATTCCTTAAACAATGTAATAACTTTGTTTATACCAATAAACTCAAAAAGAACTTCATCCCTGCCACAGTGTGTGTGTGTGTGTGTGTGTGTGTGTGTGTGTGTGTGTGTGTGTGTGTGTGTGTGTGTGTGTGGAGGGTGGGGTTGTGGGAGGGTTGGTGATGTACAACAAAAAAGTCTGGGGTCAAAAGTGCATAATTCATGTTATATTGAAAAGTGTATTTCAGCTTACTTATTTGTTCTGGGTGGCTGGTGTAGCAAGATTATTTCTTGGCATTCACCCATTGTAGTACTTCAGTGATTGGACAGGTGTTGTGTGTTTTGCTGGATGGTTTGTGGATACCTTGGCTTATTACTACTTTAACTGCTGAGTAGAAATGTATTGAGAGCTTGCTATGCTTTTATGTTTTTATCGCCTTCTGGCAGCAGGCGTAGCTAAATGGGCCCATCTGAATGTGTCAGTCACACCTCAGCTTCCCAGAACAACTCGCATTTCAACCTCTATGCTAAAATATCATGATTGTGGATGCTACAGTGAAGAACCAAGTGGCCCTCGTTGGGCTGTTCAGCTCTGAGATGCAGTGGATAATGTCAATATAATGAATTTTACAGCTGCAACTTTTGGTTGGGAGAACATGCCATTACTAAACCATGACATGACATCCCCCTTCCCTTTTGCATGTGTATAATTTGTAATATCGACAGATGATGTGACTCTCTGAGCTCTAACAAGCAAATTTCCCCGGCTGCTGCTGTATTTTTTACCTCGCTCTTATCTTTTCCTCTTGCCACAGATCAACTAAAACTCATCCAGGACCTGTGGTTCACTTGAGCGACAGCCCAAAGGATGAAGGGAAGGTGAGTAGGCAGATAATAAAAACACCTCCTGGTTCTCCACAAGCACCAACTCAAATGTTACCAATCTTCTGAGGCTCTCTCCTTTTCCCACTTCTCTGCCTTGTTTTTTTTTCCGGTCACATAGCTGTCCTCTAACCTCTTCTCTGCCTTTATCTTATCTTCTTTCTTTCTCTCTCTCTATCTTCCATTCTTTCTTTCTAAATTTCTCACCTCTCACTCTGTCAGCCTGGCTTTCTTTGTAGCCCACAGAAGGAAAGCCATTCTCTATACTTTATCGCTCTCCTTTGTTGCTCTCATGTTTTTTTTTTCTCTCTGTCCCTCGGCTTTTCACAAATACCAACTGAAGAAAAGAGGTGTGTGGGACTGTAACATATCCTTTGAGGAGAGCTGAGCTTTTCAGGGTCATGTTGCAGTCAAATTGGTAGGAAAAGTGGCAGGTGGAGGTTGCTGTAAAAGAGAGGTCATTCAGGAGCATATTGATTTTCCCAATGGATTTTGCTGCCTCTGTGTGAAACCAGACTTGACAAGCTGTGAAGACATAAAAACGAGACATGAGTTTACAGCTGCTGTCACACACTGCCATCACTCACTGCAAGAAAAGACAAAGTTCTATTAAGGTTGCTATGAGAAAACAGAGGAACTTCCCCTTTAGGTTGTATTGGCCATAGAGGACACAGGGGATTCTTTACATATGTTTTAATTTCTCAAAGCAATTTTTGCTAATTCTTAACTCCATGTTGTGATAAGTACCGTAAATAGCCACCAGCTACCCAATTATGACTAAGAAAGTAAATATGACAACAGGGAATACACATTATTGCTAAGAAAATTAAGTTGAATCATCTGTGCCTGTGAGCGCTCCACAAAAAAACCTACATGATAACCACTGTTACAAATAATGCAGGCACTTTTCTTAGCCTTGCTGGACATCATTAAAAAACAGGAGAAGAAGAAAGTAGGGTGATAACCTGGTGTTTGAAAACAGGCTTTACCTCACTGTGCAACATGACAACTCGCACATGGTTTGGAAAAATGACCAAAAGGTAAAAATCCAATACTGATGAGACCACAAACGTTCACTATAGCTGTGAAAATGAACATTTCCCCTGTCAGTTAAAACAACAACTGACACTGACTGGATCGTTTCCAAGGACATACTTTATAGACTCACAGCCTGTTATGAACAACATTTAGAGTATTAAAGGAAATAAAATAAAACTTACTAAAACAGAGGAAATTTGCCTGTTACCTTGCTTGTTACTGCAAGCTGTAAGAATCTGACCTGCAGTGCACAAAAAGAGCACATCATATTATAAATGGAAATAGCTGTTTACCATTTAAATACGAACTCGTTGTAGATTTATTATGTGCATGTCAAAGTAGATCTGCATCTTCATACTACATACTTTTGAGGGTGCACAAGGGAGTTACAATTCATATTGTACTGATTTTTAGGAAGCCTGTCATAGTATAAAGACTTCCATATGCATCAAATCTAAGTTTAAAAAACACAACACAAAATAAGCCACTGCCAAAAATCTTTGCATGTAAACTATTAATTAGAAGTTTATTGATATTTCATAACACCTCTAATGCTAATCGATTTATTACCACTTTAGACACTTTCAATCATCGCTTTTTTACATTCGTGACTGCTGGTGTTATAAGTGTAAAGCTTAGGGTTGAAAAATTTATGAGAAGCATTTTTTTTTCTACATCTACTGCCCTCTACTTCCTATCTTATGATTTGAGATGTCACACAGTCTTTCCTCTCAGCGGGAGAGTTGTTTCCTCCACTCTGTCTTAAAGGCTGTGCTCCTCCAACATCACTCCTCCTCTGATCTGTGATCAGATTGTTTTGACTTTGCTCTCCCTTCTTATCCTGTGCGTTTGTAAGTGTTGTAGTGTGTGGGTGTGTTTGTGATGTTGTTTTTATTGTAAGTGCATTTGGGAGCAGCCGTGTTTTTAGGTGCCTGTTTTCATTGACAGAGTATTTTATGGGGAGATAAGACATGTGCAAAAGATTGTGTGTGTGTTTCTGAAAGTGTTTTTGTGTGCATGTGTATTGTATGAATCAACAAATCTATAAACGTGTGTCTATAGATAAAAACATATATACATTTAAATACAGATACCTGAATCCTGTGCAAATATGAGAAATAAAGGCTTAAAAGAGGAAGGAGTAGGAAAGATATTTTTTGGGATGCCATAGGCAAAATGGTTCCCCTACATTACAGAAAAGATTGAAATTAAGTAAATTACATTGGCACTGTTAGTATTTGCTGCGCTCATCACCTCATTTTGGGCTATTGAAAATATCTTATATTTAAAATGTCTTATTTTCCATTCCTTATCACTTCTACAGCTGCTTATAGGGTTTGAGAGTGGGACAATCGTACAATGGGACCTACGGGGCAAGAAGGCTGATTTCAGAATGCACTACGATGAGGTAAGCTTCACTATGCACTCCTGCATCAAGAAACTTTACAGCTGAAGCAAAAATGCTGTCAGGTGAGACATTTTTGTTTCTAAACAGGTCTACCCTTGAAATTTTGTGTGTCTTTCACTGTTTCTTGGGTCATGATATTCATAAAGATTCTGTTCAAATTTAGCTATCTCTGTGGGGATCCCTTATTATAGCAGCGAGAATCAGGATATAAGAATGTGACAAAATTGAGAGTAGTAGAAAAATTACAACAGAAATGAGTCATGTTCACACAGAGGGGTACATGATTGCGGTGGGTGAAAATGCACTCTTGACACCAAAATCCTGTTCCAAAAAAATATAAAGACTTACTTAATGTCTGTCTTTGCAATTTTCAGGTAACTATGAGAGCCAGATTTTTTAAAACTATGCAACTTTGTAGCCTGGGCGCCTGTAATGATTACACAAAATAAACTTTCTGATTCATGTATTCAGTCATTAACAAAGTATAATCTTAAGCAGATATCTTCAAGACAACTGAGATTCAGTAATGATAAAAGCCTAGATCAGTCTAAATAGAAAAGGAAAAAGGCATAAGGAATAAGGTCATACATGAATGAATATTGGGGACTTGACTTGACTTTGTCTGCCAATACTTTGAACCTCAACAAAATGGAGGCTCATTTTTATGTTTGAATACCATGAACTTCTTTTTTTCTATTTTCAACAAGGTGTCTTTCTTATCAAGTGCTTGTATTTGCCTGCCAACCAATTACTGCTTTTTGAACAAGAAGCCGTAATTGGATGACCCAGGCATGCTCATACCAGTCTGCCTCTGACAACTTGCACAGCACTGTCAGCTCAAACAGGTGCAGACTACAGTGTTTGTTGCAATTTCAGCCATTTAGCAGTGGAGACTGCTTTTGCTGCTATTCTTTTTATTTAAAGTGTTCTGTTTTTATTTTTAAACTAAAAATAGAATGCCATTATTTGCTGATCCACAATATAATAGTAAGATAATGTGTAACATGTAGTGCAACTCTTTCATAGCATCTTCTTCAGAGTGGTAAGATGGGGGTGCTTTACCTGCATATAGACACAACTAAAACAGTCATTTTCTACAGAGTAGTCACAAAATGGTCAAATTTACACAGGTGCAATATATCTTTTGGACATTTGGACATTCAGGGTCACACACACACACACAGGCGAAAAAGCACTCTCAAACACACACAGCATTTTCATTTAATCTGTTTGGTTGTGTGTTTTTTTTAACTCCTGTGGCCTCAAACCCAATTTGCCCTGTAGACATTTTCACCTCGTGGCACTGATCCTCTTCATCCGCTGCCATTGCTCATCTCCTGTGAAGAGTCACATCCTGCTAAAATTCATTAATGGGGTTTTATGTGCATCACCTCCAGCATAGCATGGCATCTCTGTCTCACACCTCTTCAGCCGGGTACAAAAACGAACTAGCACCAGTCAGATCTCACAATGACACAAGGGTGGAAGTAATGAGTTCCTGCCACTCTTACTGGTCTAATTGGAAAACTTTATACTTTATAACTTGTTGTTAATTCACAAGTTACATTTTCTATTCAGCATCCCTTATGTAAGCACTGTGTCAAATTCACACATATGCAGTATGTGAAGGAAATTAACTGTAATTACTAGCAATTGTAGTAGCTTCAGGCAACCTATGAGCTTTTTAAGTCAAGTCAAATTTGATTTATATCCTTAAATCGCAAATCACAGTTTGCCTCAGGGGGCTTTACAGTCTGTACAACGTTCAACACCCACTGTCCTTAGACCATTGATTCAGAAAAAAACTTTTTAGTAGGGAAAAAAGAAAAGCCACAACGGCTCCAGGAGGACATTGAAATAACTTCAGATGTCGACTCTCCACCATGGAGAGAATTAATCCGCAAAAATTCACATTCCATGATAACCTCTGTGCCTTTGTATGATGTGAATGATGAGCTCCTTAAGAGTACACAAGATACGCGTATGTACAAGGTATATTAAAATTGGGATTATCTCAAGTGAGGGCAAGAATTACACTATTATGGTGTTTAAGATAACTTTGACTAAAAGGAAGCTGAAGCAAGTTTAGTTTGTTTTGTGCATAAGAATATTGTCAATTTATTTCGTTACTGTATTTGGAAAAAAGCATCAATTACAAACCACACCAAAATACTTTAAAAAAAAAAAGCTGTTTGTTCTTTGCTAATACATTTCTGAAGGATCATATTTGACATGTTAATCGCTGTTTCATTGGTCCAGGCCATACATTCAGTCGGCTGGCATCATGAAGGGAAGCAGTTCATGTGCAGTCACTCAGACGGCAGCCTGACGATGTGGAACCTCAGAAACACCACCAGGCCATTCCAGGTCACCTTTCCTCATGGTGAGACGCACACCCACACAGCATACTTATTTATTTTAATGACTAAACATAATGAAACTTTGCTAATCCCTTGCTGGGAAACTGGGTCCACAGGCTGTTACTTAATAAAGCAGAGAGAAATAAAGCATACTCCATACTGATTTATTTATTTATTGTGGAATTAACTCCTATGGTTGTCTATGGGATGGAATTTCAGACAGTTACAGGACATGTAGGGAGAAAAGAACTCCAGCTTCATGTTTATTTTAATTGCAGAATTGCAAATGTTTGTGTTTTATTTGAGAATATTAGTCTAGGATTTTTGGCTGTCACTGAGAATACTTTAACACAGGCTTGACTGAATGACTTCCAAGCCATGTCATTCTATTTACTCTTCCTCTGACTAGTCCTCCTCCTGTTTCTCTCTGGTGTGGTTTGTGTGCTGGCAGGGCATCCCACCATGTCAGATCTCTGGTCATGAATAGTCCCCTTGCTATGAGCTGTGATCTCAGGCGAAATCACAAAACAGAAAAGCAAGAGGGGAGGATGTGGGCGGGTAAATGCTAGGGACAGGGCAACAGGCCTTAGGAAGTGGTTAAATTCCACTGATTGTTTATGTGCCAGATATTTGTCAGATATTTGCTATTACGCAGGGCGAGAGTGAAGGTGAGGAGAAGGAAGAGGACAGCTGAAAATAAATAGAGGTGAAGTAAAAACTATAAGTAGAACAGTAAACATTTCATGCCTTGGGAATGAAACAGTCACCCTATGTTCTAGGTAGTAAATAAATGAACTTATTCTGTTCCAAAATAGATAAATAAACTGATCCCTACAGGACACAAAGTCAATCATCACACCACCACAACTTATATCACGTCTGTGGTCTGTGATTTGCCATTCTTTTTAAATCCCTTGGTGCTCACATTCACTTTGGATCGTTCCATTGGCTTTGCTTACTGCTTTGCTTGCTAGATACCGCTGTCACTAGTTGTGCTGTTTGTTGTGCTCAGATGTCACACTGTGAGCTAGAGGAAGACTGGAGGCCTGCTGTCCACCTCAGTCTGAACCTGCTGCAGGAGCTCTCCACTGACAACATTGAATTATGTATTTTATCCTCTATGCCCTGTTGTTGTTGGAGAGAGCATCGCAGGAGTACAGCCAAGTCCAATTTACGTAACTGTGCCTATGCTATGTGACATGAATGTACCTAATGGAAACGAAAAATACTTCACCAGAAAGTAATCCAGATTGGTTAAATATCTGGTATGGCAGCAATGTTGTTATCACAGGCAAATGTATAGTGCATTTATATTACTTAAGTTTAAACTTGTTGGTTGGTATTGGAACGCAGCAGTGTCTGGGAGCGAAGTGAACAAACAGTTTGAGCTGCACTAATGAATGTATAACCTGAAGAGAACAAGGAAGGAAGGAAAGCAATGGCTACAAGGTGTAAGGACACAGAAGGTGGAGAGAGCAGAAAAGGGAACAGAGACATTTATTTTAAGCAGAGAAGTGAACAGAAACACGAAAAAAACAATAAAAAAAGTTAGAGGTAATAGTCAGGGTGCACCGAAATTTTAAAATATAAGATAGGAATCAACTATACTGTAAGTGAGTTAGTCATCCTGTCCCACAGTTAGACCATGAACAGATAGCATAGTAAAAGAAGACAGTGTATGCACAGGCATATATCAATAAATGCCTGGACCATGTTATGTATAAGGGTAAGTCTTAACACAGCTGTGGATTTGACCAGTATCAAAGCCATTACCAAGAGGGTTGTCTGTTTACTATTATTTTTTCTGCTAGTCCCTTTCGCTTCTCTCTGTCGGGTCCTGCTTTGACATTTCAGTGTTTGCTGTAATCCTGTACCTTTGAGCCTGTTCAGTGATGATAAATCACCGTTACCCAGAGCTTTGGCTATCTAACAGAGATTGTGGATAAGAAGCAATGTGTCAACAACTTAAAACCACCTGAAATCACATGTACACAAAGTATACAGCGATCTACCATAACATTATGACCACTGACAAGTGAAGTTAATAACACTGATTATCTGGTTATCATGGCGCTTGTCAGTGGGTGGGATGTATTAGACAGCAAGTGAACATTTTGTCCTCAACGTTAAGGTGTTAGAAGCAGGAAAAATGGTCAGTGTGAGGATTTCTGTTTGAAATACAATGTCTTATATATTGTTTTTAAAAATGACAGAACTTTTACATTACACATATCTGTAAACATGTCACTGCTCTAAAAATGCATTCTTAATGAGTATAAAATGTTTACTGTTAACATTTTTATTTTGTTTTCTCTCCCAGTATCCATTCCCTGCAACTAGAGCATGATTACTCTGTCTACAAAGCTGCGTTAAATCAAAAGATTGGGGATACTGACTTAATCCATATTTAACCAAAACCATCATCTTTCTCCAGGCTCAACCAAATATTTTGGCAGGCCAATATTTGCAATTGCTGTAGTCTATTTTGTAAATGCAGGAGCAAAGTCTTGCAGCCTAGAAATCATATTTCTTTCATGTTTTTTTTTTTTCATTTGTTCAGAACACAATGTCCTTGACCAGAAACACAGGGTCCCTCTGCCTTCCAGCTAAGAATGTATAAAACATACTTGAAATAACATGTGCTTATGATTTGGTAAATTGAATTTTCAGAGGAACTGATGCAGACAGATGTTCACAGTGAATGCGTTATTGTCTTGAAATGTTGTCCATTCTTGCTATTTCGTCTAATTCAGGAAAGGTACAGAAGGATGGGAGAAAGGAGTCTTGTAAACCAATACTCAAAGTGGAGTACAAGACCTCGAGGAACAGGTGTGTGCTTTATAAGGAAATGTTCAGGTCTAGATTACCAGATTTTATTATTTATAAGTGTTTTGACTAAATTATGATTTTAATAAAGTCATGGAGAGATTTTCATGTAGTGATTAACAGGTTGCTTATAACACCCCACTTTTTAATCATAAACTGATTGTTTAATTTATTTATTAATTCATTCTGTCATTTATTTCATTATGTGGCTGATCAGTTTCAACTACTAGCATTTATCCAGATCAAGTCTTCCTAAGATCCTGTTCTCCCTCCACAGCGAGCCTTTTATCATCTTCTCTGGCGGTCTTTCATATGACAAGGCGGGAAGGCGGCCCACGTTAACCATCATGCATGGCAAGGCTATCACTGTGCTGGAGATGGACTACCCTATTGTAGAGTTTATGGCACTCTGTGAGACTCCTTACAACAACGGTGAGTGCATACAAAGACAGTGACAAAACCGGTGCTGCATATTTTCTGCATTCAGCCTATTTTTGTTTTTGTCCAAATTTGAGATACCTTCTTAAAGTATTAAAAACTTAATAAATACAAGAACCAAAATATAAAAAGTCACCAATCAACAGGCAAGAAGGAAGATGAGTTAGCCCTAGTAATACACCACTGTTTCCTTAGAAAAGTCAAACCCACCAGGTTGTGTGACAACACTTTTGAGGTTTGATTGAAGGCTCTGTATATGTCTACAAAACACCAGTTTCGTCAAACATCCTGTGCTATTCAAATCTATTTGGTTTTGTATTTTTCTTTGATCATATTGTATTTTTTACTCCAATGTAATCAACAATACAAAACTTCTTGGGTGCCATAAAGACGGCAGTACGTAATTGAAATACTAAAACCACCATAAAAAGTCTATATATATGTCTGTGGCTGTAACTAATGTAAATATGGATTAAGCATTATCCTCTTCAGTATGACTTTGTATCTTACAGAGGTCCAAGAGCCTTACGCGGTGGTGGTGCTTTTGGAGAAGGACTTGATCGTGGTGGATCTAACACAGAGCAAGTATGTGTTTGACATATACTGTATAAATACACCTTTAAGCTGCTAAGCTGCATGTGACTGATAGCAAATGAAGCGAGTTCCATCTTCATGTCAGCGTTTGACATGAGTTGCTATTACCTGGCATGACTTAAGGGGAAAACACTACTTATACCATTCATCCATAAGCCAAATCCTGTCTCAGTCAGTTTTAAAGTTAAAGACCTAACCAGTGTCACTCGAATCTATACCTCAGGGAGAAAGAGAGGTTAGATGTTGTCCTTTGAATAAAGACATCTCATTTTGCTCTCAGGGTGAAAATGCTACCACTCCAGTTAAATTACCTTGTTATCACTGTATCTGAGGGAATGAAAGTGAAGGTGAAAGGTGCTTATGTGGTGCAGTTTTGACCAGCCAGGGCCTATGAATAGCACCAAAACACTATAAATTAGGCCTATGACTCGAGGGGTATAAATTAGGTAACCTGGTTAATTAGGTTACCTAATTTAAGATGTTATAAATACCTCTTGATGAGGCTTAATGTAGTTTTAACTTCCCCAGATTGTCTGTGACAATGTCAGCCGATTGATTAGCTCCTAATTGTGTTTAAATTGTTTATTATAATTAAATAAATAGCCTGCACCCATATACCCTTTATTTGCCGATACAAAGCATGTATCCTGACACACTAATGTTGATAAAGTTTACTGATCTGCTGCAGTCGCACCACCTGTACATCTTGCTGCCATATTTTCAGGCAGGCACATAGCGTTGCCATTTTTACCTCACCTGCAATCTGATTATTTATGCAATAATGCCAGTAAAGCAGAGTATAGATGGAAAGAGGGGATTTTGCCGATTATTATACATTTTAGTAATGATAATCCTGTAATTCATTGACTTTTGCTTCTGCCCATTTCACCACAGTGCCATAAGTTACACTGTAGCTTATTATATTCATGTATCTTGCAGCTTCCCTGTCTTTGAGAACCCTTACCCCATGGACATCCATGAGTCTCCGGTTACCTGCACAGCCTATTTTGCAGAGTGTCCGCCCGACATTATCCCCATCCTCTACTCTATAGGAGCTAAACACAAGAAGACTGGCTACAGCCAAAAGGTAGGATGCGGAAAATGTGAGTGAGGAATACCCTCCTTTTGTAATGTATTTGTCTTCTTTTTTTGCCAGTTTCAGTCTTGTTTAGTAATTAATTCTACTTAGAGCGAGGTTTTAAGAAATGTAATCTTGGATAATGATGCCAAATATATTTGTTTCTGTTCCTGTAAGGTTACCACCTGTAATGTGAATGATCTACAGAATTTATGAAAAAAAAATCAACCATACAAAATTCCTGCTGCCACGAACTAGTAGCAAATTATGGGTTAACATTAAAACATGAGTCATTTTAATCAGTGCAGTTTCGTATTTGAGGATGAAAACATTTGCCTTGGAATAAAATGAAATATTACCGACAGAGCCCAGTTGGGAAAAAACACAAGATGATGTGATTGGGTTTTCATAAATAATCAACACTCTGTCTTTAACCATATCAGGAGTGGCCAATCAGTGGAGGAACATGGACGTTAGGCTCCCACACCTACCCAGAGATTATCATCACCGGGTAAGTCCGAAATATGACAGCGGTATTTTGAAGAAAGACCTTTTGAGCTCAAACACATGGTGACCTTTATCCCAGGCTAAAAAATGTGCTAACACCCACACACAAAAAAGGAAATCTACAGTATATGCGTGTCCTCACTCACAACATGACGGGACCAGATGACTGTGATTTATAGTTTGTCTTTATATGTGCTTTATAAGCTTGATCTGGGTCTGTGCCAACCAGGCCAGCACAGCACAGCCTAGGGCCATACTGCATTGTAAGGGGCTGACAGAGATGTTAACCTGTTCTGAAGCCTGCATACGGGGTGGTGTCTGCTTCTAGGCGACACTCAATATCAGCAGCAGTCTAGAAATGAGGCCAACATGGAGTTATGTTCTCAATAGTACACCTACAAATGAATAAATTCTTGGCTTGTGGTATTTTTTATTGTACCAGAGGAGACTAGGAATTCAACTTCACTTTCAGCTATGAGAAAACAATAAGGAACAGTTAGCTGATGATTCCTACACAGTGTGACATTTAAAATCAATGATCATCACTGTCAGATTTTTAAGATAGCTGTAACATTTATTACAGTTGGGAATTTCTGTCTAGATGCCACTAAATCCTACACACGGGTCTTTTTAGTGCACTCATTTTTCCTTACACACAAAAAAATATTCTTTCTCTTTGTTCAGACATGCTGACGGATCAATTAAGTTTTGGGACGCGTCTGCAAGTAAGTCCACTCTCTTAAGTTTTGTTGTTCAACTCAGACAGCATGCTCATATAAACACTATATTTTCATAAATTCCATGGTGAGCAATTTTAAATTTGCCATAGGCACTGAACTCAAAGAAAATGAATAGCGCCACTGTAAAACGAGGGGTCACATTGGGTACACACTGAAAACCTAGCATGTACAGTAGATTTAGAGGCTTTCTCAAAAATCTTTTGAAAGAAATTGTACTGACAGCTGTGGTTTGTGGATGACATTCACTTGCATTGCATCATGTCAGCCTGACAGACCCTCTGAGTTCAAACTAACAATATCAGTCAGTCAGTAAAGCTACTGTATCTTGGTACGCTAGTATGCTGTCTCTCTGTGATAATAATATTAACTGTGCACAAACAATGAGTGTATATTTTTTCCAAAAACCTTAGCTGTGTTAGTGTTAGAGTGAAATGCAATACAAATCAGAGGGCTGTGGTGATAATCACTAATCACTTGCCTCCTCTTTTACAGCTGCACTAATCAAAGTTGTGCATGCTGTACATCTCTTTGAAAGTAGTGCTGTTGTCTGGATGGTGGAGAATAGAATATAAATTTAATCCAAAGGCAGATGGTGGGGCTTTTAAAGAATAAACCTGCTTTTATTTGATCTTTTTATTAGTATCATAAAAAAAATCTTATGTAAAGACCAAAACCAACAGTGAATGTATGAGTTTCTGTTGCCTGATAAAGCCTATCCATCCAAAGATACTATAATTATACCATACTGTTCCACAATGTCAGCTGTTCACATTTGTCAATGTGTATGTGTTACCATTTACAGTACATTTTACATTTAAAATATGTTCAAAATATGTAAAGTAACTAATGCTCGAACCAGTCACACTGCAGATGTTGTACAAGCTGAAGACCTCCAAAGTCTTTGAGAAGCTGAAACCAGGTGAAGGCCGGGCAGCCGAGTTGGTGGAGGAAGACCCCTTTGCAATTCAAATGGTCAGCTGGTGCCCTCAGAGTCGCATCTTCTGTGTAGTTGGCATCTCAGCCCACATCATCCTGTATCGCTTCAGCAAATATGACGCCAACACTCAAATTGTGGTGAGTGAGACTACAATCAAAATACAAGCAGTGACATCCTGGGGATTTTGTGCGTTATAAGGAGTGCAAGTAAGGTACAATGTAATTCTTACAAACCGTTACTGACTGTCTTTTAAGAAATATGTTATTCAGTGAGCCTTGTGTTATTTTATTTATTAAAATCTAGTAAATTCTGCTTATACTTTGATCATAGCTCATTATGAGGAACATGCTACACTAATTCACTGGATGTAGTTCGCTGTAGTAGTCCCATTGTTATTATATGATAGGTAGATTAATGCCTACTTTTGTATCTGTGTCATCCTCAGTCACTGGAGGTGCGTCTACAGTGTGAGTCAGAAGATGTCATCTCTCCATCAGAGAATGAAAACAATCCCTGCTTCTCAGAGCCTGGCTCCCACTCACCCCAGCCCCATCACCAACACCCAGCGAGCCCCGGCGCTGGGACACCTGAGGGTGTCAAAGACAGCATCCCCTGCATTAAGTAAGATCTCCTCTCAGTTTATCTGCGAGAAAAACATCAAATATCTGTTTGAACAAATCACTTAGTCTTTTGTTTATTAAAATGTTGTATCAAATAGACTACAAACTAACTTAGAACAAGAAAAAAAATAACCCAACTCTGTGATGAAAGGATTTAATAGTCATTGTGATAAATGATAGAAGAGCCAGCTTACAGTAATATAAACACTGGCCATATTTTATTTTTTTGTTGCATGTGACTTAAATTGTGGATCAACATATCAACACACTCAACAAATCTAAACTGACAACACCTTAATGTTTGCATTACAATGTCCTTTCTAATGCAGCAGGTTTTATTGATTATTGTCCCTTTTAAACGTTTTATATATTTTTTTTATATCTGCTTATTCTCTGTATCTAACATCATTATAAATAAGGGAAACCTCAGTGATTCTCGAGACTTAAGTAAAGTTTAATTTTGGATTTTGAATGTAACATTTCAGTGGATGAGGGTATAAAAAAACAGGTAACCGTCTATGGTGCCATCACGTATTTATTGACTAAAAGTAAGTGCTGTAATTAGCCAGTTAAAGCCCATAAAGCTGGCGGGATCCATAATTTTGCATCCTAACTTCATGGCAGATGGCATTTCCATCCATGCCAACTATTTAGTTAACACTGAATGTTAAATGATGGAAGCAAACGTGTTTGTATGTTTCTTTCTCGCCAAGTACAAGTGCATATTACACAATACTAAAGACTCCTCTTTGTATGTGCTTCAGAGTGAAGGACCGGATGGTTCGGGTCCCTCCTGGCTACCAGGCAGAACTGGTCATCCAGCTGCTGTGGGTAGATGGAGAACCTCCACAACAGATCACCAGCCTCGACATCAACTCTGCCTATGGCCTGTAAGTTTCCAGATGCATGGTAGTCAGTTACCTGTCTATATGTGGGAGTATTTATTTATCCTTCTAGTTTAGGAATGTGGACAAGGCTCTACTTGAACAGCAATCACTGTTTTAGTTTAGAGGAGTTTGCACAAATTGATTACGGACAAAGCCGAACGCCCTCTTTGATCATTGTCATGGTGCTATGTTACCTTAAACTGAACAAGATTGTTTAGCTTTATAGTGCTGAGATTACACCTTAATTGCCAGCCGGTTGACTTCATAGTTTTAACCTAACTAAGCACCACATAGTTCTGCTTATTCAAGGTTGCAATAGAATAATTGCATGCACAGTGGTTAAAACTTAAAGCTCCAGAAACCATCTAACACACTGACTCTAAAGAGCCGCCCATCTCTCTTTGTATATCTGTGTCTCCCTTGTCTCTCCATTTATATGTTATGTTGATTTCTCTGGAGTATTATAAATATACTTCAAACTAGCTGTAAAAGGTTGAAATACTACAGTGGTTCCAAACCAATAAAAAGAAGTTAACAACCTCAGGCAGATATTTATAGAAGCATGTTTAGCAATAGCTAAGCAAGTGATAATCCACAAGAACCTGTTCTGATATATAAAAAGATGGACAAGGCAGGTGTGAAATATTAAGTTTGTAGTACATTAATCCTGATTGATATGGTAAGTATTGTTGCCATTGTTGCCTGCAGTTAACAGCAATTAAATGATTTCCTCTAACTGGGTTTGTAGTGTCCTGACATACACATGCCAATCAGAAAAAAAACCCACAGTGAGTAAAGGTTGCGGTCATGGCAAGTGAAGAGCAATCATAAGCAGCAGTAGTAACAAGATACCTGTGGATGAAAGGTTAAAGAGGCCAGTCTGTAATGTAAGCATGTGTGTAAGTGTGTTATTGTGCACGTACAGACAGCAGTACACACCTGAATATAACACCCACTGGTTATGTTTGTGTTTGTGTATCTATAAATAATAGTGAAGGCTTATGAAAAGTGAGGGTTTGGATGTTTGGGATGTAGGGCGGGGACTACAGAATGCCCTGTTCAGCACCTTACTTATTACAGTATTGTGCTGTCAAAATCAAAATTGGTGTGTTCACACAAGCACAACAACCCACGGCTTTCATCTACAGTGTACAGGCCTGCAGTCAGAACTCACCGCATTCAATTTCAAGATAGTATACTGGACCCCAGAGTCTGTACCAAGCCACTAGTGGAAATGTCATAATTTGTATCCGTCCTCTTTTGTCTCCCTTCTGTCTTTTTCTTTCTTTCGTTTTAGATAGATTCGATTTTCACTGATGTTGACTTAAGTAATGGTTGACATTTTTCTATAGATTTCAGTTTTCAAAACTTATTAAAACCCTGTTGTGTTGGTGCTTAAGAGAAGTTGACTGACTTCCTGAGCCCCAGAGTGCTTAAAGACCACTTGCATGGTTTTGCTGTGAATAGAAGTTCTGTTGGCAGAAACCAATAAAATCACAGCTCTTAAAAAGCTCTTTATGGGTCAAGGCAGCGCCATCGTTTCCTTTTCTCCTCTAAATCTATTCACAGCATGAATAGAATTGCAGAAATCGATTTATTTAGTTTTATTCTGTTTTGCTTCCTCCCTCCCTGTTTATGAAAACACAGACACCCACATTTAGACTCACACACAAGGAAAATGAAAGACTTATATGTATCCACACACACACACACACACACACACACACACACACACTAATGATTATTGGTGCAAACGGAATATAATATTTGTACATCACTGACATCTGTTAAAGTGGTGACAGTGCAAATGATATAAGAGACAAAAGAAGCCCTTCATTCGCCCTTTCACACAGATTCACACATTCACACAGTGACAGCAAAGCCCATCAAACAGAAACTAACTAATTCATGCACATTCACACACTGATGACACAGCTTCGGGAGCAATATGGGGTTCAGTATCTTGATCAAGGATACTTCGACATGTGGCAGGGAGGAGCCGGGGATCGAACCGACAACCCGACCTCTGATCCACAGCCGCCCCACATTACACAAAGACTCTACGTGAATAATTTCAACAGCAATAAATCCCATCTACATTACAGTTTTTCTCGATTGTTTACACACATTTTTTGAAAGCATGCCTTATACTCTCAGAACTTTAAACACAAATCAAAAAACACACACACAATGGGCAAAACCCCTCAATTCTCCTGCAAAATGAAACTTTACATTCAAAACAATGTTATTTCTTCTCAAAACGGTATATTGTTTTCAAATGACACACAAAACAATCATATGAAAAGACATTTATAAGAACCAGTTGAACACTGATGTGCTCAATGTAAAACACTATGATGAATGGAAAACACTTCTTCTCCATTCATTATAATGACTTGGGCCTTTTTTTGTTCAGTGTTACACTTAATACAGACAGTATATACATAAGTGTATTGTAAAATGTTTTAGAATGTTGTTTTTATACTCAGAACACACAAATACACGGGAACAAATATATTTTATTTTTCCCACAAAAACAATGTACACAGTGTACATCCCAACCAACAAAGAAGTTGCACATACAGTGGTCTAAAACAACAGAAGAATTTACTGTATAGAGTTACAGTAAAAAACACATCGCAAGCAATGTTTTCCCTGGCCAAGCAGCGGGGGAAATATCACATAGCATGGCAAATCCAGCCATGAAAAGCATCAACTGCTATATCGCCACATGCATCTTCCAAAGCTTGGAGAAGGGATATATGGGTTAACCCTAACCCTAACCTGTTGCCCTTTTATGCTAAAGCTCAGATTGCTAATTGTAAAACTGTGTGACAGGTGTTTGCCCATGTGATGACTCAGTGTGCATAGTAGGGCAACTAACTTTAGAATTTTGAATGACAGTGTGTTTCTTGTGAAGATATTTTCTTCATGAAAATTGTGCCAAATGCAGAGAATTGTGTGTAGTGTTTTGAAAAAAGTGTGTTTTAGAACTGCAATTTGAGTGTAAAGCAGGAACTGTGCTTGTAGTTTAGCAGAATTGGTTCAGGGGGTTGGTGCATGAGTTACATGTTGTGGTCATTGTGTCTTAAGTACCAGTAATTGTGTGTAAACAACTGAGTAAAACTGTTTTACTGTTTTACTTTACACATTTCTAAAGTCTCCACAGACACACAAGGCTGTCTCCTTCCTTCGATAATCTGCATGGTATGAATGGTATGTCTATACCAAAGGACAGGTTCACTGCTCTGATCTCAAGTCTTACTAAAATGTTGGCATGCTTGAATGTAGCATCTATAAATGCATATAGTGCATAAAGAGACCTCACTTACTTCTCACGTATGTCAAATGACTGAAGGTAACAATTCCATTTACACACGACTTGATTGACTTCCTTTTGTGCTCTTAGAAATTGTTAGGAAAAAGCAGGAGATTGTTTAAAGTTGCCATCATCGTCTTTACGGCCACAATAACACAGATGATTATTTTCTTTACCACCTTTTTTCTCCAGCTGTCGAGCCTTTTAGCTTTGATCTATGAAAGCTGTGATTTCCTGGTAATCGTTTTTTGTGCTGTTAGCATTGTGAGGCTCAAGCTGTGTTTAAGGGTACTGAAAGGCTGGACAAGGAAAGGGTTTTGCCCCCTGCTGCCAGCCTAGCGTTTTCTGAGTGATGTGTTTTCAAATGCGTGATCATGTTTGTGGTATTGAAATTGTTGTCTACATAGAGAAGATGACAAATAGCCCTTCCAAACACCCGGTCATTTTTTCCAAATTAGAGACAGCGCTGTGGTTGCTGCTGTCATGACCTGAAACATCTGACCATGTGACAGTGATGTAAACTAGGCCAGACATCTGGTGGATATGGGAGAGCAATGACGGACTGGGCAGCGGGGAGTTTGAGTGACATTTATGTATTTGTCTCATTATTTTGTAATTTCTTTCGGATCGCCAAATTAAAAGACCATGATAGAGTCATTTGTTGTGAATATCGTCTAATTCTGGTTAGTGCCTGATCAGCTGGAACATCTTTTGTACAAAGACAAACAGAAAAATTACTGCCAAGAAGGTTCTCTTAATCAGTTAAGCCAGAGGCTCGAAAGCAGCCAGGGGTAGCAGGTGGCAATGGGGCTTATGGGAAATCTTGGTTATTAATATTCAAAAACAGCAGCAATAGCAGTGTGAGATAAAGACAGGCTTTTGTTGACAGCAATTATACCAAAATGTCACCGTTAATTTGACAGTGTTTGATAGTGCCACATGTAGCACCTTTAATGTCAGTGAGAATAACCTGGTGAAATAAATCAGCGTAAATGTCTCAGCTGAATAACACTCTTTCTCCTCCATGTAAATGCAAATGTCTTTGTGTGTCTGTGTGTGTGTGTGTGTGTGTGTGTGTGTGTGTGTGTGTTTGTGTATCTGTGTGTCCAGTTTGGCATTTGGGAACTGCAATGGCCTAGCTGTGGTGGACTACTTGCAGAAAACCATCCTGTTGTGTATGTCGACACTGGATCTGTATGGAGCCGCCGACCCCTACCAGCGCCTTACCCGCTCCCCCCGCAGGAACAGACAGTCCACCTCAGGTAGCACACACACACACACAAACACACAAACACACACACACACACACACACACACACACACACACAAACACACACACACCTCTGGGACTCTGCTACAAAAAAACATGCACGTACACAACTAACACTTGTGCAGCCGTACAATAAGGTGTCAATTATTGTCATTACATCCAAACTATCATCTATTTGCTGTACTCCTGTCCTCTCTCTTCTTCTTCTTCTTCTTCTTCTTCTTCTTCTTCTTCTTCTTCTTCTTCTTCTTCAATCTCCTGTATCTGTTCTTTCTAAGGTTAGACTGATCTATCTGTCGAATCTGATCTATCTTATATAAGTAATGTGCATCAATGATGCACATGGTTTAATTATATTGCCTGTATATTTAATTCCACACTATTCTTACACATTCTTACTATTATCCCAATTTCACTGGTGGAAGGGAACTTAGTACCTTTGCTCAAATAATAGTACTTACTGTAGGGACACATTTACATTTACAAGAGGTACTTATTAAATTATAATCTAAAACTATAACTGTTCAATAACATTTTATATGGCAGTTAAACTTGACTTCCACCAGCTCTCCACCAGTTTCTATTACACATCCAATAATATAACATACAGTAATATAACTCTGAAAGGGGCCATTTCTCTGATAATACAGTACTTGCTAATTACTATTTAACATATATGGCATTTATTTGCAGTGGATTACTATTATTATTGTGTGGCTTCTACTTAAGTAGAGGATCAGAATTCAGCTTACACCACTAGTTGTAGTATACAAAATATAAAGTAATTTTACACTGTAAAAGGGGCTATTTGGCATAACAAGTATGTTTACTTTTGATACTAAAGTAAACTGAGGTAGAACTTCAGTTATTTTACTTAAGTGTAAGTTTGGATGCAAGATTTGTAAAAAAATATCTTCACTCTCCAGTATTACTACTTCTATGTAAGTAAAGAACGTGTAAACCTGCCTATGTTACACTGTTAATGTCAAATGGTCTAAAAGCTGTATGAGAGGTTTTTTTTCCCCTGGTAGAAATTACGATCTGTAAACACAAAACATATCTAAATATTCGGAGCATGTTGACATGGAAATTGTCAAATCTAGATATAGCTAATAATATTAGAGATAAAATCTAAATATAGGTATCAATATCAGTGTTTAAAAGTGTATCAGTCCACCCTTATTTCTCTCCTCTCTTTGTTCTTCTTCTCTCTCACAATTACATACAAAGACAAAAACACCCGTCCATCTCAGTATGCCTGTCACAGATCTGCACTATGATATGAAGTGCATGTTAACAGGCTGCGTGTCATTCCACTTTGGCATTATTATGCATGTTGTCGTTTGATTTCTCTGTCCTTTCTGTTTTTAGTCCTGCTTGAGCATAGAGCTGTAGTGAAAAGCCACAGAGGTCTCATTGTACTTCCTGACCCCTGCCTCTCTTTTCTCTGCTACTGATGGTCTCTGAAGCCTCTAATTTATACTTACCCACTGTAAATTATATTCAGCCCAACTGTATAGCAATAATTGTCTAAAACACAAGCCATGCTTGTCTTATTTCACCCTTTACCAACCTCTGGATTTAAGGGCATAGCAGCTCCAGTGGTTTAATATTTCAGATGTCTATGGTCCTTTAGGCAATTTAAAGTACTGAGCTTTCTTATTACATAATTCCCACAAGTCTAGCTGAAAATGCTTTACCTGTATTCAGGATTTGTGGGAAGGGAAATATCAAGGTAGGTGGAGGGATGACTTTGGGCTTTAGAAACAACTCTTTTCATTCACTGGCGCATAAGTGCTTTTATTGACTACGACAGCACTTTTTGTTCCCAACTTCCTCTCCTGTAGAACTCTAACTGTGTTGGGTCTTTAAAATCAATTTTGAGACGGAGCGAAGAATAAAAAAGGGAAACTGTGCCCTTTTTCCGTACCCTAGGTGGTGGTGGTATTATGATCTTGAACACTTGCTATGCTGGAGTTAATATGATACAGAGAACAAAACTGTTAACAAAAAAAAAACTGTTAAAAGGCCAAGCAAAATACACAGCACTTGCTAAAATAAGCAAATGTTTTAAGCTGCTGGCCTCTTCTCTTTTTGTAGTTTTCCAAATTCTTAGAACATACTTTTATGTCCCTTCCACAACATTTATAGCTGTTGTCACCACACATATGTGTATGTGTATACTATATATGTCAAATCAGAGTTAGTGTATTCATTTCATAAAATGATCCTTAATTATTGCTCATTTTAGGTGTGTTTCTCTAGTTGTAGTGTGATGCATTATTGATTCCAGCCTGAACATGCTAGGACAGTAGGACTATGGCAAATAGTATGTAAACAAATTGCAATGTAAACCAATTATTTGAAGATATTTATTTTGAACATGCTTTGTAAGTAATGATATGTTGCCTGCTAACTCAGTAGTTTGTGCAAATGACCAGTCGCATAAGCATTTCTGGGGTTTGCAGCAGTTGTGGGTATATCTTTTCTGTCCTCCCCTGACACTAACTCGGTTGCTGCTTGCTCTCACTTTCTTTTCCACTCTAAGCCTGTGTGTTCTTTTCTCTCCCCCTCCCCTCCTTTTTCCTCCCCTCCGTCCTAAAATTTCTTTACTCATTTCCTTACCCATCCTTCCTTCCTCACTTACTTTAACTTCACATTTGTTCCTTCCTTACCTTGTTTCTTTCTTTTAACCCCTTCCCAATCTGTCCCACCTGACTTTAACACTTCTCTCCCACCTCCCCGCCCTCTCTCATCTCTCCCTGACCTGAATTTCTTCTCACTCTTTATTCTGGCCCTCCATCCTTTCCAACACTCCTTCCTTCCTTCCCTCTCCTCCTCATCCTCCTCCTCCTCCTCCTCCTCCTCCTCCTCCTCCTCCTCCTCCTCCCACCTTTTGGTGACTCTGTGGCTGCTGGTGTGGGCATGTGGGCCTGCCTGACAGAGTTTTGCATGCGTGGCCTGTCTAACTTTTATTCAGATTCAAAGAAAAGGATCCGTACATCCTATCAGAGTAAGTCGAGCCTTCCTAAAGGCTGGGGGACTGTGTTTGTGTGCGTGGGGTTGGGGGTTGGAGGATTGGGTTAGTGTTTTGGTGGAACTCACTAGGATAGCAGGGTTGGTAGGGATGGTTGCCATAGGGACTGGAAAGGGGTGATGTGGATTTAAAGCAACGGGACAAATCAAAGAGATGATTGGAATAAAAGTGGTTGTTTCATATCTGTACTTTGCCATATTAAACAGAACTGCTTTATTCCAGCCATGTCTAACGGTATGTCCTTTGCAAAAAGAGAGCCACTCTTTTGAGTCAGTTAAGCAAAGGCAGTTATAAATATTATATGATCCATGTGATGTATATTTTAACTGACGCATAGTTAGTGGGGTGAATAAAGCCTTGTTCATCCACTGGGCCTAGAGAAACTAAAATGTGCACTTTTAGTTTATGATTACAAAGGAATTATTAATTTCATACTACAATAAAGGTTTAATCAGAGCCCCTTTGAATGTCTTCAATCATTTGTAAAGCCAGTGGAAATGAAAAATTTGCATTAAGAAGTTTTGCTGGGAACTTTACTGAAGAAAAAATAATTAATCCAAAATTTTTGAACTGTGACGACTCAGTGAGGCTGTTAATGAGGCCATAATGAACACAGCTTAAACACCCCGCATCTGTAGTCAGCAGACTAAAATGAACAGGAATTAGATATTTCAGCATTTGTTGTGGTTTTGAGGAGGGAGCAGGTATGACTTTTTCATTTTGGCCTGTGGTTGGTGCATGTGATCAGATGTGATTCAATCCTGATCAAGTTTGTGTTTGTACTGTTTTGTATTTTGACTGTATATACCACTTTATCACGAGACTTGCACTACAGTCTGCAGATGCATGACTATGGTCATGCTGACATTTTAATACAATCTGGTTGGAAATTCAAAACAAAATTTTACTGAATCGATTGTAGTGCAGGTCAGGTTTCAGTCACTCTAATCCTGGAAGACAAAATTAATCCTAAGAAACATTCACAGGGGAAAGGTAAAGAGCTAATGTCAAATAATGGTAAAGACCTTGATCCCCATAAAATCACACCTTCACAAATAATTAGAATAAACTAATGGGAATTGATTATGGGGCTTATCAAAGATGATAATCCAAAGATTGCTGATAACCTGTAGTCTTTCTTGGGGCTCTGCGTGGCTGATATCATCCAAGTTGACTTCTGTGAAGTCTATATGTCTGACAAGGCTAAAACAATCTGACAGAGCATGTGTACTCTACTTTGTCTTCATCTCGGCTGCCATTGGCTGCGGCAGGCCTTACTGAACTCTCTGACAACCAGCAGTCCATTGATATGGAGAGAAGCAAGTCGCCCACCTCAGGTAACCTGCTGACACACACACACACACACAGACACACGCACTGCCAGTGTATTGTGTAATTGGCACTGTGATGCCATTGTCTTTAAACATGAACTATGCCTTCAGTATGCAGCCTGTGAACCCCTCACCCATCACTAGAGCATCTTCACCTGATGAGAATGGAGAATGAGAATTCATATTACGTTAAAAGTTTTGAAAAAGTGCAGGAAGTGCTGAAAACCCTTTCAGTGGAGAGTTGTTGGTGAGAAAATGTAATGTAGAATGTAGACTACACTGTTCATTCCCTCTACGTCTTGAGTTGACTTTCTTGTTCATCCAGCTCTTATTTTTCCCTTAGACTGCGTGATGTGTTCTGCCCTTGTTGTGAAGCAGCAGCAGCTCATGTTTAGAGAAGTAGAAAGTAAAAGATAAAGAAAGCAACACTTAGGGATGGATAAAGCGAGCCTAATCACATGTTTACAGTTTGCAGCAGGGGTGTTAACCTGCTGTTGACAACGTGACAGTAACCTGCATAATTTCATAATGCCAAGGCTTAAATATCTGTCTGAGATCAGATCAGAAGAGTTCTCCCAGCTGGTTAAATATGTATTTTTATCATCCATAATATATTATGAAAACCTCCTGTGCATGGCTGTTAAATATGTGCTGGCATGTTAGTGTGTAGCAGTGCTTGACTAGCATTAAATGCTACAGGATGTATAATGAAATAGACATGCCTCTTTAGGGGGGAGTGAAGCATATAATCTAAATGTCTTGAATGCTTGTATTAATGTTATATTCATTATATATTCATTATATTGTTGGCCGCTTCAGGTTTCAGGATCACACTTTGGAGATATAGTACAATGGTAGATATGATGGTGGGAAGTTGAGTGAAAGAGATAAGCTACAGTTTGAGAGGATCTGTGGTTCATGATGAATATCACAGATCAGAAGATAATGTAACAGGTCCCAGGGTACAGAACAAAGGTTGGTTGCAATGGATGAACGTTTAAACCCAAGATTGTTTGTAGTATGTTGAGGGTCGTGTGGTCTGTGTGTTAAAAAGAGAGTATGTTTGTTACTGCAAAGAAAGAAACAGTGCGTAATGGAGGGAGAGAGATGATTTTCCAGCAAGTGCTTTTGTGCTTGTCATGGGAAAACAATCTCAGCAAATTCAGAACTTAAAGGTCAAATAGGGAGAGTGTGTAAATGTGTATACGTGTTTGTCTTCAAGGCCCTATGTGCTTTATAAGGCTCTAGTTTCCGAACTATTTATTTGAAACCAGCTCAGATTTAATGGTAATATTTCGTATCTGTAACAGATAATAGATATATTAAGTACTAGTTAGAAAAACAATATAATTACATTTCTTTTCAGTTTGAATATTTATTCACCTAAAATAAAAATAACCCCACAAACTGATGTTCTTTCTGCATAAAACCTGCATGCTGTATGTGAAGAGCCTGTTTCATTATCATAAGCCTGACACATATTGCTGTCTAATGTTTGCCTTGATGACTAATTTGTGCTTTCAGATGGTTTTCAAGGAAAAGAAGAACAATTTAACAGTGTGTTTTTGAACATCCAGAAACAGCACTCAATCTGTTAAACCTGCCAACAGAAGGAGAATTATTTGAAACTTGGAAATAAGTAGTGCAAGTTCTGGGAAACTGTGATCCTGAGAGAGAAATGGGGGATGTTTGGGAACTTCAAACATTATATCTTTGAACTAAGCAGAGATACAGTGAAACCGGGTTTTTCTCAGAAACAATGGTAGGCCACAGCTGATCTTTGTGCAATAAGACATCATTAGCTGGTGATAAATTCATCCATTTATCCTGAGGAGTATGTGAATGGTGGGGCATGAGAGTGGTGCCATTGTGTGCAAATATTCAATTAGTCTGACGTGTTTTACAGAGAATAAAAGCTTTTGGGATTTTTGGCACAACTAAGGCACTTTATATGCTTCTGAAAGAATAATTTGACAGGGTAGAGGCCACCAAAGCCCTTCTGGTTCCCGCTTCCCAGCTGGCAGTGTACCAGAGCTTTACCCCTGTCCTTACAGGTTGTGAGCCCATTTGGCCCTATGTTGCTCTGTTGGACTGTGCTCACGTGGGCCTCATGGGTCCAAGCCTTTGAATGACTCTTATTCTAGCCACTCACCTGCGACAATGTCCATGGGAAATCCTCCCAGTCACACAGACACACAGAAGTCTCCAATAACCTGGCAATTCCTGCAGGCAGGGCTTTGTGAGCTCTCCCTGAGGGCCAGGCAGCTCAGGAATCCAGGAGGAACTTGGAATAGAACCGTATCTGTTAAAGATTCCTCCTAAATGCCTCCCTGTGGAGGTGGGCTGGGTATGCCCAACTAAGAGGAGACCCTGGAGCAGACCAGAATACACAGGAGGGATTACTTATATCCCTTGTGGCCTGAGAACGCTTCACTTTAACCCAGGAAGGCCTGGAAAATGTGACTGGGGTGAAAGACATCCAGGTTGCTTTGCTTAGCCTGCTGCTATCACAGTCCTTGCGCAGATAAACAGCTATAAATAGATGGATAGATGGACCCAGATATACAAAGTACATAACCTTTTTTTTGTGCAAATTATACATAGAACTTGGTTGTGCTGCAGAAAAATAGTCAACATCAGAATTGGTACAAAATAAAATAGTATAGTAATATTCCAACTGATGCTTATTTGCAGGTATAGCACATAAGTAAGCATTTTGTTGCCAACTAGCATAGAAAGACCGATGCACCGTGACCGCAGGAGGCTGAATATTGTGACTCAACAATAACTCAGTAAGTCAGAGATTACTCAGTCAGGTCCTGAGAGTTTTGGCTTTCAAAACATTCAGCTGCTTTGTTCCGGTCTGTGCAACGAGAAAGTGGTAAAGTGAGCAGTGTTGGTGCATTTCAACCATGAAGGCATAACACAGCATTAAGCCAAATTAAATGGCAAAATAGAAATATTTGACCCTTTCACTTTCTCCTCCTTTTTTGAGGTTTCTCACACACATGAAAAGAGTGTCTATGTTTTGTTCAGTGCAAAGTGACAGTTTTTACTGGCAATGATTATGGGCTATATAAATAAACTGGACCTGACTTATAGGTGTCTCTGCTAGAGACCTGTCCTTGTTACAGCTCCAAAGTCACATACAACATGAATACTAAGCATGATATAAATAATAATTCTCTACAAATTAAGTTGTTTAATGTTTGTTGTTTAAGATTTTTATCCAGCAACTGGTTACGTCTGTCAGTATTGTCCAGGATAAAGAAATGTCTCACCCCTGAGCTTCTCTTTTTAAAAACTGTCCTTTTTGTCTCTTCTCACATGTGTGAGAACTCCCCAGCCTTGCCTTTGGGCCTCTTAAGAAGAGCATAAGAACAGAATAACAAAACCAGGACAAGATGTTCTCAGCTTGTCTTGGCAGAGTCTTTCAGCATTGTGATGTGGACTAGGTCATGGTCATTCTGTCCCATTACAGCTCTGTCATTTGCTAATTAGCGAGATGGAAGAAAGGAAGAATTATGGAGAGATAGATGAAAAGAACAGGGACAGACACAGCACGACACAGTGTGATCAAGTGTCTGATTCGCTTTAACATTTACCCAGAGGGGAAAAATAGGCAGTTTCAGAATCACAATCTTCAATCAAGATGGAAATGTTAACAATGGTTAATAGCAGTGTGACCTGACATTTATTTTTTGTCAGTTTAAAAAAATCTTTAATATTAATGCAAGAGTGATGTAAAGTACTTTTAAACCAGAATTGGCTGGAGACAAATACAGAAGCACAGCTGCGCTCCGCTTGATAAGCGAAGAGTTCATGGTTCGTTTCCTCCTGCTGAATATCAACTTCACCCTTCTCTATGGCCCTTAGAGGCTGTCTAGTTGTCCCTGACACACCAGGTGTGCTGTGTCTGTTCATGGCCATATACAGACTGTGGACAGCTTATTAAGGAAGCCAGCCATCGTCCTGATTCACCCTGTGTATCAATAACTCCAGGCGTCTCTCTCCTCTCCTTTTCGCATCTTCCCTTCCCTGTTTCCTATCTTCCTTTTGTCATTAGGCCCCGTAATTGGCCCTTCTCCTGTCTGAAAGCTGTCTCCCTCCACATATTTCCCGTTGTCTTCTTTTTCATGTCCTGAGGTTTGTTGTTTTGGTTTGGGGTTATGCGTTACATGTCCTTTGGGAGCTTTATGCCACTTGTGGCTGTAGCAAGGCTGACTTGGCCAGGCCCAGTCGTGAGATGGACTAACAAGCTGAGATGCCAGTGATCGGTGCCTGACCCGGCAGGATATATTTAGCAGTGAGCATGTCACAGGAGAAAAGGAGGAGGTGATGGCTGAAACTTTACAGTGTGCTGAACTGATGCCGTCTGCTCAGCTCAATGCAACTCAAAGTGGTTTGATAAAACTTAAAATAACTTTATCAACAGTTGTTCAACTAAACCCTGCTACTGCACTGTCTACAACTACTGTATCTATAATGCACATGCATTATATTACTACCCATAATTCTGTTTACGCTTCTGTGCTTTGGGTGTTGCTTTTCTCAGACCACTTCTTGGACAATCAGCAATGATGCACAAAGATGTGTCACCCCATTTTTTGGATAAGGGTGGTAAGAGAGGATTGGTGAGGACAGGTGGTTGTTGCCAAGAAATTGCATAAGCTGTATGATGATGTCAATATAAGGATGCCACCGTCTCCAATGCACTTAATGATTTACATTGTGTAAACTTGGCCATGTGGAATACAGAGTCACAACCAACCAGTTTTTCACAAAAGTATATACAAAAATAGGGCCTTTGATGATATACTGGTGCTTTCTGTAAAACTTGCAGTTAGATGATATGTTGAAGCATTCACAAAGTGTGTATGTGTGGTTACTGATGTAAGCAGTAGCTCAAGATAAGTCTTTCTTTTACATTGGAATCTTGAATTGTGTGTATGGGGCATTAGTATACACTTTATCTCATAGGAATGACCTTACAAACATAATGTTTACTTGCTGCAGTAGGGGTAGCAACGACACTTTGAATAAAGCCTACGCTGGCCATGTTACTCCAACAGCCTGTCAGCAGAGCAAGTCTTCTGTCACTCCCAGTAATGTTTCTGCAGTCAGAAGCTTTTCAGCCACAGCCTCAGGTGCTGGAAACCAAACATGAGCATTGGAAAAAGGGAACAAGTATTAGCACTCTGCTGTTGGGTTTACCAAAGTTAGCTCTAATTTGAGTTTATAATACGATCATGGCTGATGACATTTCAACGAACATTTGTCCTTATTAAATGTCAGATATTTGATGACTGAAATGATGGGGTAAATTATTTGTTGTTCATTTGAAACCCGTGCACGTGCCTTGTTGGAACTTAGAAGTGGTGGTCATGAAAAGAAATTGTAAAATCAAACATTCCTTGAGCCATCAAAAGGCCACAGTGACATGTTTGTAATAAAGCTGGAGGATTGGCTGCCTGTATTGAGCTGGTGGAAACAGTAGAAATCAGTACAATTACGAGACTCAGAGTCCTGACTTAAAGCTTACAAACATTTGACAAGCAGTTGTGGTGTAGTTAGAAGTAGTGGTGGACAGCTGTAGTAATAGTAGTTATAGCAGTAGTAATAGTAGTAGTGCTGTTGTATGTGTGATAGTTGTGCTTGTTAAAACTTGTGAGTATCATATTGCTGGTGGAACCGTAACCTTCTTAATCCTTTTGTTTTCATAACCTCTCAACTGTTTTCCTTCCTGTTACCTGCAAGTCTCTCTTTTCCCCAGTTCACCCATTGTGTATGTCTCTCCCCTGTTGCCCTGAAAAGTCTGTGTCTGTTCTGTTGGATCTCCTATTCCAGTTCATTACCCAACCTCCCTTCACAATGACCCGCGCATCCTGCCAGAGCCTGTGGCCAGTCTGAGAGCCAGCCACTGCAGTCCAGTGTTTTACTTACTGGACAATGGTAAGAGGAGGGATGTCTCACAGATCTCAGCCTCTTCATGGACATCTGCTTGTGATTTTTTACTGTATGGCAAAAAATGCAACAAGGGAGGGAGCTGGGATAATTGGGTTGCCTTTGGACAGGTGGTTGGTTCGATGTTGCACCCTGCATGCTAACTCTGCTTCCACACTGTGAGCAACACTATCAGCAAAAAACCCTTTTTTTATTAGTCAGTGAGTGCCAAAAGCAAAACAGATTTTTAAGCTTCCTTTTTCCCCAAGTTTATTGAAGAACAGATATCCATGGCTGGTGCAGAATGGATGACAAGTTGATTACAACCATTCAAAGCTTTCCTGGTTCACTTCAACTTTAACATGTCTAGGGTAAATGTCTAAAGAAAATAGGTGAAGGATGCATATTTTCTTTCAATCCTTTTATTTTCAGTTTATATAGGTCGTGCACTCAGTGTTGCACTCAACAAGAATGATACATAACACAAACACAAATACTAGACCCAGACAACGGCAGGCCATACAATCAATCAGAGTTAGAGGGAAAAAAAAGAAAAAAACCCACAAACTAAAGAACAAAACACAAACCTAAATCATCATCCTCCATATTATTACTACTATGACAATGAAATGTACACAGTGTACACAGATCACTCAGATGCCAAAGTTGCAAAACCTTTGGTATGATTTCAGCATAGTCTTCTCCAATAAAGTCTATAACAGGGCTCCAAAGAGAGATGAACCCATTCATGTCTCCTTGGAGAACATGTGTGAGCCTTTCCAACAGGAGTTGCTGTAAAAGTTGTAAAACATGAAGGATGCATCTGTCATCAGGATTGATAGGACATTTAAAACCAAGTGGCACTGGCTACAAACCTGATAAAGGAAAAGAAACATGTACAGGGGGTACACAGGTGGCAGGTGGGAAGAGGGTTCTCATCCTTGTTCCTGCACCGGTGACTCCTGCTGGTTGGACTGCAGCGCAAAGGGACTTCCAAATTGCAAATCCAAATGAGCAATATCCTTATCACAAAATCACTGTAAATATTTAAAAATACAATAAAACATAGCCAATTTTTGATGATCAAAATGTTGTAGGTGCAGTTCACTATACAAATGCAATCAGACCCTCTCACCCCACGATCGGTCACAACAGACTGACCCAACCAAGTTGCTTGCAGTGTACAAAAGCTGACAGATGCTGTGTTTCTAGGAGTAGACTGTCTGTCGCTGCTTTGTCAATGTGTTCCATGCTTTTGTGCGGACGACTGCTGGTGTTGCATTATCTCTCTGCCCCAGCTGCAGGGGGTGGACATTGTGATGTTTGTTGTATGTGCCAGATCTGGGCTTTGAACTTGAAACCTTCATCATTCGGCAGTGCTGCAAAGAAGGCAGGCTTTGGAAGAGGAAGGGATTGTATTCCAGCTGGGTACTTCTCTTCCTCACTCCGTCAGTGCCTCTAGTGCTTCATTCTCTGTGACGTTAATCATTATGCCTCCACTGGATTCACATATCTTTGTCACTAAACATGCTGTTTTACCGGACTGTGGCACTTGGAAGTGTCTGTGTGTGTCTGTCTGACTGTGTGTCAATAAACCCACAATTTCATCTTGTTGTCTTCTCAGCTAACATTCATCACTGTCTCGTCTCTAACTGACTGCATGGTGCCCACTGTGCAGCCAGCTGCAGTGCTGATGAATATGACTTCAGCTTGCTTTATACATTTATCAGTGTTGTGGGCTGGTCAAGTCCAACATTAGCCCCATTTGTGACCTCAGAACTCTGTACGTTACTATGATTTAGTCACATAAAATTCCTTACACGGACCTCAAGCAAAAAATCACCTCGTTATTACCATGCTAGCGGCGTTGCTCTGGGGATGCCAATGACAGTTGGCCAGTTGGTCAACCACTTTGGTCAACCAGACTGACATATCTCAATAACTGTTGGATGGATTTTCATGAAATTTGGCGCCAACATGCATGTTCCCCAAATGATGAAGGCTACCGACTGAACCTTCTGACTTTTCAACTAGTACAACCATGAGGTTGATATTTGTGTTTTGAGTTGAATTTTAATAACTTCAACCATCATCAGGTCCAAATATTAACTTGTCCAGTACTTTGGTTTATGACCAAATACCTGTAAGACTGCAACTGATGATTATTTTCATTATCAATAAATATGTTGATTGTTTTCTCAATAGATTAGTTGTTTAGTCCAGAAAATGTTGATCACTGTTTCAAAGCTCAAGGTGACGTCCTCAATTGTCTTGTTTTGTCCACAACCCAAAGATATATATATATTTTTTTCAGTCTTTGGGGACTAAAGAAACAATAAAATATTCACATTTAAGAAACAGAAATCAGAAAATTTAGACATGTTTTGGACTCAAAACACTTAATCGATTATCAAAATAACTGGCCATTAATATAATAGTTGAAAATCGACTAATCGTTACAGCTCTAAATACCTGCAAAACTAATTTCCACCAGCCACAGCTGTACTTTGTCATCATGAAGAACATGTTGTTGCTGTGCACCTGTCTGTCTGTCTGTCTCTCGCTCTCTCTCTCTCTGCCTCTCTCTCTCTCTCTCTCTCTCTCTCTCTCTCTCTCTCTCTCTCTCTCTCTCTCTCTCACCCCAACTGGTCGAGACAGACGACCACCCACCTAGAGCCGGAGGATCTGTCCTAGGTTTCTGCCTTTTAACAGGCAGTTTTTCCTTGCCCTTGTCGCCAAGTGCTTGCTCATGGTGGTACTGTTGGGTCTCTGTAATTAATGTTAAAGAGTTCGGTCTAGACCTGCTCTATTTGAAAAGTGTCCTGAGATAACTTCTGTTATGAATTGGCGCTATACAAATAAAATTGAATTGAATTGAATTGAATGTTAGTATGACGCTAACATTCACCTCAAAGCATCAGTTCAAAGTGCTGCTAGCATGGATATAGATTTTTAATCTTAATCTAACATCTTCAGAGGTATTTTCACAGACATCTATTGTCCACCTGAAATGGTAAATTGTCTGTCCATGGGGAACCAATTTTTAAAGCCAACATATTCAAGGCTAGCGCAACAGAGTTAGAGATTAAAGCGAAACAGCGCAGTGTGTGAAAAAGTTGAGTTTAAGCGGCTTGACCTCAGGAAAATGTTTTATCATTTCAGACAGTAGACATCTGCAGGATCACAAAAAAATGTTTTTCAAGGTGCAACACACTGCTTTTACCCCAGATTTTGCAAAGGGAACCAATGACCAAATCACAGAGGATTAACGTGTGGACTACTGAGGTCACAAACGGGCCTAGTCTAACATAATCATACAAGCGTTTTATTATTGTCATGTAAAGATACTAACAACAAGATACCAGCATGGAGTAAAAGGTACTTCAGCCATGAAAAGAAAGCACATGAAGTGTATTACTAATAATAATATTATTAATGAACATAGACATATTACAATTGTCATATTTAGACACACAATTGTGATGTTCCTCAACCTGCACGCATGTAGGTTGAGTGAGCATGCCGTAAAAAGGGGGACCGTAGCTGCAAAAACAACAAAAAACGGTAATGAATGGTAGCACATGCTGTGTTTGGTTGGTTATTGTTCATATTCACCATAAACAACCCTCCAGGACATCAGATTAATCCCAGCTGTTTATTTTGATTAAAATTAAGCATAAATGCAGCCACTGAGCTATTAAACAGAGGAACATGTGAATGTAACAGGTTTATTATGGGAACATTTTCTCTGTTATTGTATCCCTAACACTGCACATTTTGTATGGTTGCAGCAACATCTGGTCACCACAGTTCATTATAAAACGCATGCACAGAGCCAATCTATGATCTTATTTGCGAACACTCATTTGGAAGGCTTAATTGTTCCTGGAAAAAACTGAAACAGAAATTCATTGATTCAAATATTAAATTAAAACACCATAATATTCTAATTTCCTCTGCAATACAGGGAATATATTTTTCCTCAAAATGACCTTTTGATACTGAGCTGCCTACATGGTCCTTCACAGCAAATTAACTGTATGGAATAAACTGTATTACATTACAGTAAATAAAAGGTTCTGCCATTTCCTGCAGTAGGCTCCATGTCCTCTGCTGTACTCTTTTCTTTTATGGTACTCTTTGGCAGAAGGATTGAAACTTAAGTCAAAGTTTTTTCAAAGGACTCATCATTGAATCAATATTGATTTGAATGAGGAATTTTCCAAATCTAAAGTAAGTGTTCAGATCTATAAAGAATGTAAATTCATGGTCATGCTGTTTTCCTCCTGGTCACAAAATATATCAAGAGTCATTTAAACACCATCCTGTGTCTTCCACATGTCGAGTTAATCATTCAACACAAAGAAACAATACAATATTGCCTTCTTTTTGAGGGGGAAACTGACTCATAACATCTCAAGTTCGACCTTTGCAGTTCTCTACTTACTGCAAAATGCTTGCAAAATGTTTTAACAAGTTATTTTTTTGCCACCAGTGTCTGACTGTGATTTTTGTATTGACACCCTGTGGTGTCACCCTGTTTATTTGTGCTTCCATGTCAGACGTCCCAGGCCATAGAAAATCAGATTTTAATGGGACATTTAAGCAAAACAAAGATTTTATGCAAAACTGATATATTTCAGTCAGATCTTTGGCAGGGTTAATCAGATCTTAGAGAGTGGGACTCAAGTTTGTCATCCAAGTAAAATTAATGTGTTCTACTGCTATGTTCTTCTTACCTTTTTGAGATGCAAGAAATACTACGCTCAAGATATTATTTATTTATGTTATTTACTCTTGCCTAGTATATCACTGATCCTCCAAAGATAGCTGGCCTGGGACAACAATGGAGCATGCATTTTGAAATATGCCTGCCGTGTGCAACTGCACCAATTTGCATGTTCTGGTTCTTTGTTCATTTGAGTGATTTCCATTTTGTTTGGTTTGAGGTCTTTTTTGCACTTTTGTTTGTCATTGTTTTTGTCAGATTACACCTACTTTATTTTTTATTATTTCTTTTTTTTATTTTTTTTATTTGAAGGGATTAACTGGTGCTTTGTTTCCTATTCTTTTGTTTCAGTAAAGGGACCCGGCAGAAAGTTAAGTCTGCCAACAGATCTTAAGACTGATCTTGGTACGGTAGGCGAAAGCCAGCAGTTTTCACTTGATTTCCTTTGAGTCATTTAGTTTCTGCTTTTGTCATGTTTTCTAGGCTTTTATGTTGCTTTAGAATTTTTTTATTCTCACTCGAACTTTCTTCTTTCAGTTTCCTTGTCACTCTCTACTCCTGTTTACCAGCTCATGAGACTGTCCGACTGAAGTGTTTGTCCATTTTGCCCCTTAATGTATTTTGATTTGATTTAAATTTCAGTATTTTTTCTTCTACATTTTGCAAGTGTTTCTAAAGGTGATTTGTAAATCATGCCCATATTTAAATTTGAGGTTTTCTATCGCTTTATCATGATTGGACCATCTTCTGATTTTACGCAACCTTTCCTCCATTGACAGCCTTGCTCTACAGTGATTGGATCACTTGCTACCTCTCTCATTGTAACTGGATCATTTCTCTCTTAAACAGTCTTTTCTCCATTTTTACTGGACCATCTGTATTGCAGATACTGAGCATTCCCCCCATACATCTCTAACTGCTGTACATACACATCACAATCTCAGGTTTCCCTTTGCTCTGCTTCTGCAGTGTCACACATGCTGTCCCCTTTAAACACTTGTGCTTCTTTAACACAAAATGTGCCAGTGCCTCCTTATTTCTGTGACTTGCCTCATCTAATAACCTTTCTTTATCTGACAGGTATTTAAAAAAATGCTTTTATTTCGTTGTTTATATTTCATTGAAGCAATATTGAAAGTGGGAACATTAACTCAGATTTTAAAATTCAACTTCGAAACACTCAACCTTACCCTTGGTTTCCTCGTCACACATTTAGTATCAAAACCATTTTAAGCTCATTCAATTTCCTGTGCGGTTCAAACATGCCCCTGAAGTGTCAAAAGGATGCATGATGTCAGTAAAAGAGGAAACACTTAATGAATCTTTTAGCCTGTTAATAGCTATAATATGAACTTAACAGCTGTGGGTTATGCAAACAAAATATTTTGTTCGAACAGTCTGTTCTCTGACAGAGAGTATTACTCTGTGTGCGTGTGTCTATGTGCACTCTTGATGAATAAGTGCAGGAATCCGCGTGTTGGGGAGTGTGTGTGTGTGTGTGTGTGTGTGTTTGAGGGTACAGTGCCATTCTTTCTGCTATGTACCAGTTTCCTGCAGAACATTTCGGGGCAAATGATTGATTTTCTGCATCTCTTTTTGAAATTCACAGTAACAAAACATTTAGACAGATACACAGCAGTGTTGTGGTTTGGCTCTGGTTATTGGTTGGCCCCATATCACCTGCAGTTTTCAATCGCTGCATTGCCTCGGGTCAGTCCTGCTGTGAAACTGGACGAGTGTTGCACGTGGACTGGGTGGCACCCTGGAGTTTTTCATCTTCACTTTGAAATTGAATCATTTGTGCATCAACCGGCTGAACAGGAGACTTAGATTTGATATGACAGACAGACGATCAGTGCCAAATACTAAGAGGACCATGACAATGGAACACTGTCTAGTGTTTTTACCATTAACACAATTATCCTCATGCCTCATGAAATATATATTGGAGAATTTCAGGGAGGAAAGATAACAAAAAGATAGGGAAAGCTTTGATCAGGCCTCACTGTCAATCCCAAATCGTCTTTGCCTTCTTTTTACTACCACAGGGATGTCATTAAATAAAAGGGCACTGTTTTATTTACTTGTCTCTCAAGACAAGTGAGAATGAGAGTACTCAGGCGTAGGTATATGAAGCTGTTAATTACGGCTGTCTCGGCAGCTTTTTAGTCTTGCCGATTAAACTGCAGGCACCAAAGAACCGCAGAGTGCACTCCACACAATCCTGCCTGGCTTTTCTTTGTCTCCTTAATAAGGTTTGGCTCTAAACAAATTATTTTGCCCACACACACAAGTAAGGACAAAGCTTCCAACAAACTCCGTCCCCGAGGGGGGGCCATGTAAGGCTGCAGTTCCAGAAAGTAACAAGTGCTTCCTGTCACCACCATCTGTAGCTGATAGTGTGGCCCAACCAACTTAACCAGAGTACTCATTTGCAATGCAATTAAAAAGCAGACATTAGATTTTTTTCTTTTACTTTTCCTTTGATGTTTACTTGTAGCTTTTTGCCATAGCCAGTGATGTTATGAGGCTTCTGGTATTAAAAAGAAATAAACTGTTTTTGCTGAAAAAAAGAGGTTTCCTAACAATTCAAAAAGCAAAAAAGAAACAAAGTGGAGATGAAACAAGCCTGTTTTTGTTACTTTTGATTTTGATATCTTATTTCCTGGCACTGACTGGATGAAACAGCACTCACAATTTGCCTCTGCATTTTCCTCTTTTTTCTGTTGCCCCAGCAACTCCTTCTCCTCCCTGCTCATACTTACTTCAAATCACTTTCCAGCCCTTTGTCACTCACTCTCGCTTTCCCTTTCTCCCTCAATACCATCTTTCTTTTTGACAGTCTGATTTTCTACATCAGCTTGCTCGTCTTGCACTGCGAAATATCGATCTTCATAGGTCGTGTAGTATAATACTGAGTAGCAGTGTTTTAAACGGATGGCAAAATCTCCAAATAGGGTGAGAAAACTCCAGCTCTTCCCTTGAAACAGATAAAACTGCATTATAAATAAGTACAATTTTCTCCCCTCATTTGAAGATTTCTTGATTAAACAAATTTATGGCTCATCATTAGACTAAATGACTTATGAAGATGGATACTGCAGCAGTGGATTAGAATATGTTTGAACGTTTTGTTTCCATCTTTATATTGTTTGCTAATGCTTTGCCGTTGTTACAGATCATGTCAATGGACATTGCACTAGCCCCACCTCCCAGCTGTGCTCGGCGGGGAAGCCTCGTGTCCCGATGGTTCCCGAGGGGCCACGGCTTACCCGCAGAGGGCCTGGCCGACCGCCCTTCCGCAAGGCCCAGTCCGCTGCTTGCATGGAGATCTCTTTGCCTGTGTCCCACACTGAAGGTGTGTGCTTGTCTTCCCAACTCCCATCCCTAAACCTCTATAACATACCCTCCCTCCCAACAAGTGCATGCCATCCTCTCACCCTGGGGTAAGTGGATTAAGGCCTGATACATAGTTCACACAAGACAAGCGTATGCTAATGCAAGTTAGCAGCATAAAAAACCTAAATTATGCTTTTTGTTTTCAAAAGCGGATGCTGTAAGTGGAAGTTTGCTAAAACATTTAAGATTTGACTGTTTGCCCTTCCCCGCACAGTGATTGCCCAATCATGGATGGCATCCAGAACTAGGCACTGTGGGTATGTCGATATGTTGAAGCGGTGTACATGGTGCTGTAGCATGAGCAATACCTGGAATCTGTGGAGTTTGGTGTCTTTTTTAGCAGAAGAGTAAGGAATTGTGTTCAACTGTTTGAGTTGCATTGACCTAGTTTACTACAAGCAGTTATATGCTACAGTAGTAACTGGTGCATATTTTCCAAGAGTCACATTTTTAAACGAGTCAGCTGAAACTTTTAAAATGTGAGCCAGCATTTTAAATCAACTCGTGGAGCTAATGTTAGCTTAATGAGTTAGCAGATGATAAAACTGTTTATTTTAGTGTGTCCTTTGGTTTCAGAAATTCCTAAAACTATTGAATGACAAGCATCTGTGCCAATGTGAGAGCAGAAAGCGTGACCGGCGTAGCGACAGTAAATGCATAGCGAATGATAAAATTTCTTAATATCCTCCAAAACATAAATAGTCACTGCAAATTGTCTATGAAGATAATTCTTAGAAGATATGGTTGCACACAAAGATAACTGTTGATCTGCCGGCAGACACCTATAGTTACCATATGAACATGATGACTATCACTGCTGTGTTCATCAACTACTTCTGCACAGTTGTTGAGCAGTGTGTGCATTTAGCCACATTAAACATATGCTGGAACTCTGCAGCTTGCATTAGCATCACCTTATGACATTTGGACGACGGTTCTGCTTTTCTTGAATGCAAGAAACAGCCCTTGCATTGAATCCCTTAATATAGTCGCTTGTGTTGACCATGTCCCAGGCCTGAAGGTTGCTGCAATATAACTGTAAGTGTTTTAACCAATTGATTTTTACTTCTACAGTGCCTTTCTTCCTTGTCATCTATTTAACTTTAAAAGCAGCTCTGGTGTCTTAGCAATGAATCTCACAGATTTGTTTCCCCGAACTAAGTAATATTTTCTGCCTTTTTTTTGTGTCATATTTTTTGCTCTTCTCATAAATAGATTCTGGATGTTTTGTTCTTTTGGAAACTAGGTAATGGAGCACACATGAGGCTTATGTAGTGTGGCCACACCTCCCATCTTTCTCATAATCCACAAAACTTTGAGTCGAGGGAAGCATTTCATCATCTTAATTTAGTTTGTGTTTCCTTTTTCAAACAGCCCTTATCTGTATGCACACTGTTAAAATAGTGGAATAAGTAGTACAAGACAACCATTCAAGCATGATTTGCACTCTGGCATTTTGACATTCTCATTGACAAATCTGACATTTATTTTCTTCCATTTGAAGTCCTTTAATTCACACCCTGACATTGACCTGCACCATCTAAAAATGGATTGACCTAGCAGGCTATGTGTGTGGTGTGTGTGTGTGTATGTGTGTGTGTGTGTGTGTGTGTGTGTGTGTGTGTGTGTGTGTGTGTACATTATGCCTTTGTGTGTGATAGAAAGGAAATGTGAGCATTTGTGGGTGTATAAATATGTTTCTGTTTCTATGTGTGTGTGATACCAAGGTATTTCAGTGCTTATATTGCTACTTTATTTCTATATTATCACCGATTTATCTGAATTAAGCCCAACACCCTCTGAAGGCCTTAATAAAACATCTTCCTCATGTTCAACATGTAATACACTGTCTTCCTTGAAGATTTGATTACTATTTTAAAAGAAGCATGGTCATGTTTGAGCCTTGTCATTGGGTATATTTTGCAATTCTGTTCTCACATAAGTGACAGCCAAAGCAAAACTACAAAGGTCGATAAAATTACATGCTGTCAAGTGAGGACTTAAAATGACAATCCCCACAGTGTAATTTTGAGATACTGACCTCCGAACTGACTGAAAATGGCCTCTGTCAGGATTGTACATCAACATTTAATTACACAGTGTGAATGAAATATTGCACTTAGTCTGTCACTGCCAGGCGACATCAAGACACCAACCAATGCAGGGCATCTATTGACTTTGAATAAACAACATCATCCCACTCAGACAAAGATGAGACATAGCACTCTTTTACCTCAAAAAGACATTCTTTTGTCATGTTGGACATTTTATTTCTCTCTCTTGCCCCCAGAACTTTATATTTTGTTAAAGTAGAAAAATATAGTATATATAAAAGTAGTCATTTTGGTGAGCTTAGCTGCACTTTAAACCTTTACAATTATTCACGTTGCTGTGTGATTTTCTGGGGGTGGTGGATGCTGGTTGAAGAGATTGCAGGTTTCAGAAGTGGATAATCCACAAAACGTGACAGACATGATGGTGCACCACCAGCACTCCATTGCCTTCATATACCGTGATGCATCTTACATACAGTATATAAACTTGTGTCCTGAAGAAGAGAACACTTCTGGAAAGCTCGGGCTGTGCGGGTCACTAACTCATGGTCTTTTCTTTATTTGCTTTTAGTCAGGGCTCTGTCAGATTAACAGAAAATCTCTGTCAGGTCACGACAGGCTAATCACTCCATAGGGGACTCAACACTGTGACAGTTCCCAAAATGTCACAGTTACTGTAGCCACCTCTGCACGCACATCAGACACAAAGAAGCACAACGGTTGCAAATCTTGGCAGTTGAAAGCAGGAGCTTGTTCCTATATTACATTCTTGTGACACCCACATTTTGACGCCCATTTGTTACTACATTATGTATTGTGCTGTAGTGCAAAGTATTTATGCTAAATAATGAACAGGATAGGTGCAGTGCTGTTTGTTGTGTCACACTTGACCCTTGTACAGCAATTCTGCAATTAGATTCACGCTGCCATCTTCATCGACCTCATTATACGATAGTGACCTGGAGAGCTGAGAGGGAGGCATTTTTTCATTAGCATAAGCTGAATGTTTTATTAAAGCCACTGTCTGGGCTACAGCGACATTATCAACTAAACCAATGCAGACGATGGTAGAAATCGTTCATTTCCACAGTTGATTAAATGTATCTATAACCTCTAAAAATATCCAGAAGAAACTGTCTGACAGACATCGTAAGTAATTTAACATGAAACTTTGAATTAGGATTTAACAAGGTAGGTGTTTGATATTTAAAATAACCGAAAGGAATAATCTCTCATACAGGGGCACAGAGATGGATGTACCTGCTAGCCACCAAACTCACTGACTGATAACATTGTGCTAAATCCTAGCCATAGGCAGTATTAGCATGCCATTGTAATCCGTTGGCATGAAAGATAAGGTTAGTAAGATTAAAAAACATTAGTAATGTCCATGTTACTTAGATACACATCGACGTAGAAATGTCAGATGATTACTAAACCCCATCTTTATTCAAGATGTCATTGTCAGAAATTCAATTGTAAAGCAAACAAATACAAAATTTATATATATATAAAAAAAAAAATTCAAGCCTAAAGAAAAAAAACACCTCTTTATGAGAGAGTCGGTTTGGCGCTAAATACATCATGTCACTGTCTGTCTAAAGGATAACCACCTGGCCTCCGGTGCTTCATTGGTAGACAATGTCCTCCTGCTCTCATAGTGCTGAAATAACTTGGAGAACCTGGCTGTTATTAATTTACAGTAGTAATCACAGTATCCACAATTTGACATGACATCACATCCGTGTCCTTTGTCTTATGCGGAAATTCGGGGTAGCATAAAGAATAAAAGCTCTTCTCTTTTGTACTTTATCATAGTAGTTTTTCTATGTCCATACACACCCAATGCATGCAATGAATCCACGAGATAGCCCACAGAATCTTCCTGTGTGTCAACGAGATCTTTGGCTATTCACATGTTGTGACAAACCTGTCTAATCACTCATCTGAGGACAGGACACACCGCCCTCGACCAAACTTGGCACACATGATATTATATAACCTAATAGGCAACTTGCTGTGAAGTTTTTTGAGCACACTTCCATGCAGTGTAATAAATATTGTACCCTCCACATGCCACATTGTTTTATATATCAGAACAGATTTACTGCAGACTAACCTGTCCGTATTTCAGATTCTTTGGCACATTTGTACTGGATCAGTCAAACATTTGATGCAGTGCATTTTTATATGATGCGATATACAGGAGAAACTGTTTTTGTTGCAGTGCTTTGATTTAAACACTCATCAGTTTAATGTTCTGGGTAAGAAGTATTCTGTAGTTTAGTGTTTTCGCATTGCAGTTCCCCCTTCCTTTTTATGTGGTCGCATCCATCACTTTAGAACCCCTGTGGTAGTCAAATTACATGCAATGATCTCATGAATGAGATAACTCACTAGGAGATGCATGCGATAAGAAATAAATTAACGGAAAAATTCATAATATCCTTAGTCTGCAGCAGCTTTAATGTGGGTTTATTATGCGTGAACAGTTGCTTTTCTCAACAGACCGCCGCTGCCTATTCTCTATCTGTTTCCTACCTTTGGCACTGTTGTTTATCAGTTGCGCTGAGTTACCACAGTGAAGAGCCAGCAGGCTCACTGGAATAATTAAAGGTCAACAAGCGGTGCAAGAGATGAGGCCGATGTTAATGAGGCCTGCATGCCAGGAGAGGAGACAGAGGAGGGAAATGGCAGGGGAAGCCAGACTCAGTGTACAGTAAACATTTCCATACCTCCCATCTTGGTTAAGCGGCAAAAATATTAAATATTGAAGACAGGATTGTATGTTACTGTTAGAATGTTGTATGATACCCGCCAATGTGGTCAAAAAATTGGCAGTGGTTTATTTAAGATTGATAAAAAGATAGGATAGATAGTTGTTGCCCCTCAGTGTAAATGAAAGTAAATCAAGTATAACCCACGTAACACAGAATCCCATAATATCACAAAATCGTAAAACAGAATATATTTTTCTGCACCATAGCACAGGGCTGAGGTTACTCACCTGGCCAGAGGCTGTAGAGGCTTTCTAATAACACTCAGGTCCACACCCACACACACCTAAGTCCATGTTTTACTTCAAGGTAAAAACCAGGCACAGAAGCAGTGGGCCTGATATTTTATGGTTTGTCCCTGTTGGATCTCTGCAATTATTAACTTATCTTAACTGTTAGAATGTTACATTTTAAGGTAAAATATTGATTTCCCAATTCCCAATTAAGCACACAATCAATTACTAGAATCTGATACATCTATTTGTATGTGTTTATTGGCATTAAAGTAAAACCTCGCACAAAGCTTTGCACACAGTCATTGGTGGTACATAGAAATGAAAAAAAAAGTTAAGCGAATCTCCAGGTGTTTGTCCTTGTCTCTCTACACTGTGTGTGGGTGTATGTGCATGTACCACTGTATAAATCCAGCACTTTGTCTGTCTCACTGCTTCAGATTGTCTGCCTTCCCTTCTCACCTCCCTGACACTGCCTCGCCAGCCTCTAGCTCCCTGTAAGGGCCCCCCAGGAGTCCCTGTGTCCTGTCAGAGTGCCACTGTGCCTGACTTTCATTAGCCAGCACCCCACAGGCTCTGTCATACAGCGTAAACACACTCCAGCGACACATGGCTGCTACCCAGACTCACAGCAAAAGGCTATTTTGTCTTTGTGGCTGCCAGCGGCATCGTACATCAGTGTTGTCACGACACCAGAATTTGTACTAACAATATCCAAATATATTAATAATGTGGTATATACTGATACTGTGGTACACAAGCAATTCAACCAACAACCAGAATCTGAGCATTTCAGTAGTAGTTTTTCAAGTCACTTGTGTATTGAATTCATTCTGTAGTTGACTCCTTGTACTAGTTTTGTAAACTGGTGCAGTCTGTAAACTGGGGTCCACTCCAAGTGTTTTTGCACTTGCGACAGTATCAAAGAAATTTGTATCAAAATTTTGGCTGTCATGCAACACTGCCGTACAGTAGCTCTTTACCGACCACACTGGACTGCATGCCGACGTGCTGTATCAGAGTTATTCATGACATTAGAGGCGTAGAAACCTGCTACTCTTGCCAAAAAGTGTTTAGTTGAGCAGATGGTGCTGAAAAAGGGTTTCAAGAGAAGGTGGATAAGCGAGTAGAGGTTGTGTGGCCACCAGAAACATAGACGAGCAGCCTCTTTTTCAGTTGCACTCTCTTTCTCTGTCTTTGTTTTTTTTTTTTTTAAAGCAATCTCTCTACACTCAGTTGCATCTTTCTCTCTTTCCCTTTCTCTCATTCTCTGGTTCTACTGTACATCTGTCCGTCTCGTCTGTTTTCTTTGGCTGGGTGGCTGCGCTTGTGTGTGTGTGTGTGTGTGTGTGTGTGTGTGTGTGTGTGTGTGTGTGTGTGTTTCTTTGGGGCAATGGTGGGGTGTGGTTTGTTATATGGGGGTTCATGTTGTGGGGCATTAGTAGGTTATGCATCCAGGAGGGCAATGCTTCAGCAGTTTCATGGAGTCACTATGTACTCCCACGACGAGCACCACACCAGCGCCCCCTACTGCTGGAGCGAGAGAGGTAAGGGAGCTTCGGCCACAAACCCATTAACTGCTGTCCTGCTGATTATTATACGTCCGTCCGTCAGTCAGTATGTCAGTCCGTCTTGTGGCCCTGTTTCGTCTACAACTTGCCTAGAAGCGGTTATCCCACGGTGTAGGGGTAGGGTAATGCCATCTTCATAGCAGTGTATGTTTTTCTGGCAGCATACTTTTTAACTTATAGTACACTGTACATCCCCAAAGCCCCCCATGAATAGTGGATGTCTTTTTTTAAGCCTGTACAAATTTTGGTTCTCATAATGTCTCGAAATTTTTCTGAAAATGGACATACATTGAACATCTGTCAAAACTGTATTTATTTTAGCCTCCTCCCCCTCACCCTGCAAGTCTTGCAACACAGCAGAACCCCAAGGATTCATTTTAGCCTAACATGTGTGCGCCAGGCTTTGCACCCATCTGTAGTTGTTGTTACATAAAGTCTGCACTCTGTAACATTAGGCTGGGAAGGCAGTACTGCACATTGCCTGGCTCTGAATAATTCAGAAATGCAGCAATACAGAAATACTTTTATGATGGAGGTTTTAAGTACACAATGGAGGACCTGAATGGGTAGCACTCAAACAGAGTTAAAGGAGCTTTTGAATTTGGTGCAACTGCCAATGAGTGTATGTGTGTGTGCGTTCTTTGTGTGTCTGTCTGTAAAATGCCTGTGTGTGTTTGTGTGTGTGTAAATACATGCAGTTTATCTGAGTATGCTGCTGAAGTGAGTGGAAACTAGTGCACTCTCAGTAAACAAATTGTGTGTGTGTGTGTGTGCAGTTTTCTCTTTGTAATTTGATTGATCACTTTGCTTTTCAGTGGCATTTTCCTACTGTTTTACATGACATACAATCTGCAGACAAACCATAAATGACCTTTGAAGTATTTGTCCTCCGCACTCCTTTTCACTCTCCTTCTCCTTACGATGCACTTTTTTTTAACTGCTTGTCCTTTCATACCACCATTCTTTCTTCTTTGTCCACCACATTGCTGTTCCCTTCCACCACCCGTGCATCTCTACCTTTCTCTTTCCTGTTTTCTCCCTCACTCCCCTTTCTCTTGCCTTCATATCTCTCTCCTCTTGCATCCTCTCTGCCTGTGCCGCGCCTCTGTGTTTGGCGCCTGCTGCTACAGAGAGTCGTGAAAACTCCTTCAGCCGCTCACGCAGCTCCAGTGTGTCCAGCATCGACCGGGACACTAAAGAGGCTATCACCACACTGCAGTTCGCAGAATCCTACGGCCGCAAGAATGACCCCGTGCCCACCCCATGTCTGTGGGTGGGCACCAGCTTAGGCGTGGTCCTGGTCATCCCAATGTCCATTCCCACCGACCAGGAGGAGAGGATGGAGGAACCTGTGACCATTGGCCCCAGCGGTAAGTCCCAATGAGCCTGGGGTTCATCATAAAGGTGTAACAAACCTTACAGAGGTCCTAACTCACCCTAACTATTGTATGAACAAGTTCCTGCACAAGCACCAACCAACATTACAAACATTTCCAGTGTGCTCACCATCAAATAAAGTGTTTTAAACTGTTAATTTTCTTATTTACAACCTGCGTTTTGACTGCTGTTACTTAGATAAGGTTGTCATTGTGTTCACAGATCTCAGCAACGCTCGGCTTAGTACAATATTATCATAACAGATAGAAATAATGGCCAAAATAAAGATAAGACAGATACAATTCAATTGATCAGAATTGAGAAAATTTGAAAATCCATCTTCCATCCTAAAGTCCAATTAATTAATTTGTTGAAGGGCTTAAAAACACTTTTAGCCTTGTCAGCAACAAAATCAAGATAAAGACATGATGTCTCAAAAGTTGAGAAGGACAGCATTACGAACTACTATAGGCAAGTTTTTCCTTTAATTTGTCACCCATCAGGGTGAATGAATGATTGCATCGTTATTTTACTTTTACCATCATTTTGAAAGTATCCACTCATCACCACAGTCAAGCCATAAACATATTAAACGGTACTGCATTTTCAATTTAGAGTGCATCCTTTTATATTGAATTTTTCTATCTCCTGTGGCTTTGAAGCTGTGATAATAGGTTTTAGGCTCCACATGACAGATAAAAAAAACTAATTTAGATTTTCAATGTTTGAATGTGCTTGATGAAAACAGAATAAGGGGACTGTACTGAATCTTTTTCGTATCCCTATTGTTTAACCATGAAACCAAAATTTGGAATATAACGAAGGCTCTAAACTGCAGGTTCATCAGCTCAAAATGTCCAGATTACTTTTATTATTTTAGTATTATTAGTAGTAGTATTTTATTTAGTACTTTGCATATGACAGTATTTTGCATATGTAGGTAAACCAGTAAAAAAAAACAAAGACTCAAAAGAAACAAAAGGTTAGAACTTGTCAAGTCAATGTGACTGATATTGTGGATCTATGTTTTTTTAAGCTGCTAAATGCTGTACTATGTTCACCAGCTAAGTTTGTCTGTCACTTGTTCAGTACTTAGCAGGTACAGTGTTTGTCTGAGCTTTTTTACTGAAAACGGCTGCCAGCTACATGTGGAGTACAGTAGTCAGCCCTTTGTACTCATTTCCATTTTACTTTGATGTGAACTTCTCAGAACTAGCAATTTCACAAATAATGATATAGCGTACACTGACTTTAAAAACACTAATGTATGTTTGGAACCCGCTGAGACATATGAGAAAATACAATGTTGATGCAAGGCTTTAAAAATAACAGCAGGTCATTTCCAGAGGAATTAGGTGCACTGTGTGAAGCTGTTAGAGCAGCATTTGAAAGTCCAGCCCTCCCCTGGTCTTACTCATATTTAAATACTTCTAAAACCTAATTTGTTTCAATTAAAATGAAATTTGTTGTCATGGCAAAGAAATGAAGATCGACGTTTGTCATGTGTGATCTTACATTGACTTCCTTCTGTATTCGAGAACAAGGATAGATGTTGCAGCCCCATTGTTTCTGCACAAAACTGAGCCACTCAGACATGCATTACCAGTCCAGAAGCCCTGCTGTGTGAGGAAAAGGTTCTCCTGCTCACAGTAAAAACATCAATAGACCCAAAAATCCAGGCTCTTTGAAGCAGCAGTTGTTCTCTTGAGACTAAATGTACAAGAAGCAAGCTTATTACTGGAAGGTCACAGATTCAGCTCCAAGGAAAAATTGGTGAACAGAACAGAAGCAAGTACTGTTGAACTCTCCCTGTGTGTTTTCAAAGTGCTCCTGTGGATTTCCTTTGGATAGTGGATAATTTGTTATGCAGTAAATGTTGTATTTGACAAAAATGTGAGCAAACTCCAGTGTATGTATAAATAATGGATTACTTAGTCGCCAACTGTAGATGATGTAGAAAGGTTATAGGCTCCTAAATGTGAATATGTGAACCTTTGTGATTGTTCATACTGAGTTTAAATGTAAAATTCAATTAATCTCAATTAAAGAAAAGAAACAATACAATATGACTGATGACAATGAAAATAAACACTTTATTGGCTCATGGTAATAGCTTTGGAAATCTTAGTTTAGACTTCATGCTCTCCCTCTTCTCTCTGTTGACTCTACCCACAGGAGCGGTCCTGATGCTGAAGGGCTCAGTGTTGCGTTTTGGCTTCTTGGACCTCATGGGAGCGCTCATTCAGAGCCCCTACGAGGTTTGGCGGGACCTCAACGCCCCGGAGAACCCTGACCGACCACGGAAGCGCAAGCTGGTCAACTTTTCACCCTCATCCTCTCAGGACACCTGCGGAGAGGGACATCTGGCCGTGGTGTGCTCCGAGAGGCAGGCCAAAGTATTCTTGATGCCCTCGCAGTCTTGCCTCTTTGTCCACAACATCACCGAGTCATCCTTTGTACTGCGAGCCGACGTGGTATCTGTGTGCAACAGTGTGTGCCTGGCCTGCTTCTGTGCTAATGGACACATCATGACGATTAGGTATAACCTTAGGCACACATGTTTTAAAAACATGTGACAAACGGCAAGTGTTGTACATGTTTCTCTGTTTTTGTGGCCAATCTGTCAACAGAATTAAATGAAAACTCTGATGTTTTTTACCAGAATTTACATTGATAATTCTGTATTTTCATATTTCTGCTGCTAATATTTTGGGTTTGGACCAGGGCTGCACAATTAATCGTATAATAATTGATATCACAACTGTGGCCTTGACAATTAATTCGACTTAGTCGAGTGCTCTGCGTTTAGAGTGTCTGCGCTGATGCATTAAATAAAGTGCTTCATATTCACAGGTAAACTGGGAATAGTGTGATTAAATTATTGGTCTTTAAGTTCAACACACTGTGACTAACTGGCCTCTGTTTCTCAAATACACCTCTGGCAACAGGCAAGAATGTTTTCAATGCAGATAAATTCAGCATGTAATTTAACTGCATTATCTATGTAGGAATTACTCCTTTCTCCTTGGTGGTTTGATGCTAACTACGTTGTCCTGTTTTATTTGTATCTCTTACTTCTAACTGTACATTTTGTTTTGAGGTGATTTGTATATTTGAAGTTTTATTTATTCAAGAATATAAGATTAAAGGCAGTTTTCACATATTTTGACAATTTATTTATGTCCACATAGAACAGAACAGTACAAAGATTCAGAAGATCATGGACCAGTGGCATAGATTTTCACAATACAGAACATACAGCAGTTCTCAGGGGTATAAAGTAGCAGCATCTACGCCATATAGGACATGACGGCTCACACACACACACACACACACAAGAAAGTGGACAAAAAATTGTGATAAATCCTAAGATTAGATTTGATAAAAAGATTTCCTTTAATTGTATTGGCAAAATGTGACTCTAATGTGTGGTGTTTATTCTGCAGGGTATAGTTTTTATTATATGTTTCTGGTGTTTAACTTGTCTTTTACTCTTCTTGCTCTGCTCACAGTCTGCCCAGTCTAAGACCGATGATGGACATCAATTACCTGCCTCTGACAGACATGCGCATTGCCAGAACCTTTTGCTTCACCAACGGGGGGCAGGCACTATATCTCAGCTCCCCGACAGAGATCCAGAGAATTACTTACAGCCAGGAGATGTGTGATAACCTGCAGGTCAGCACTGCAGTTTGTGTGTGTGTGTGTGTGTGTGTGTGTGTGTGTGTGTGTGTGTGTGTGTGTGTGTGTTTGTGTGCTATGTAGCCATCTAATCTGTATTTCTATCAATCTGTCAATCTTATCTATATCTTTGCTATACATATATATTACAGTCTGACTATCTGTCTTTGTCCGTGACATACAAGGTTTCTATGCACGTATGATGTACACATTAAGACCGTTCTGATTTTGCTTTACTGACCATTTGCGTCAGCTCACATTTTGGTTTTGAGCTCAGAAAAAGTATTGGTGCAGTAAATAGGCAGGCGCCATTATTCCCACCCTCGGTGAAACCCAGAGCTAACAGAGGTGAAATGTCACACTTGTCATATGTGGTTTGAACTCCACTAGTTTGATTGTGTGGATATAGTTTTACAGTGTGTGTGTGTGTGTGTGTGTGTGTGTGTGTGTGTGTGTGTGTGTGTGTGTGTGTGTGTGTGTGTGTGTACACGTGGGAATATTTATATTGGTACATGTGTTTAAGAGCCACCACTGAACTCTCACTAATGATAGCAGTTCTCAGTGGAGGCTGAAACATAATGCTGCCATAGTGCCACCTACAGGCAACAGTAGTTACTCAGATTATGGTCTGGGTCTTCTCATTGAGGAAAAGCTGTCAGTGTGTGTCAACATGCCATAAGGCTAACACTATAATGCAATTATATGTATGGACACTATAGCAGTTTTCACTTTTAATAAAGGGAAGAGAAAGTAAGGAAAGTGGCCCCTTAACTCAGTGATGACCAATGTTTGCAACCAATATCTTCATACATCTCTGGTGCAGAATAGGAAATAATTCTTCTGGAAAAACTGTATTGATTATTGATAACAATGTTTTTCAATTTCATTGATTTCAGGAGATGCTGGGGGAGCTTTTTACACCAATAGAAACACCAGAAGCCCAGAACAGAGGCTTTCTAAAGGGCTTCTTTGGAGGAAACGCCAATACTTTCGACAGAGAGGAGCTCTGTGTGTTCTTTCATATCTTCTTTCTTTATATATAGGGTTTCATTTTAGTGCATACTAATTTACCTAAAATGTGACCTTTTAATTATTTAATTACTTTCTAGAAGGCACTGTACTAGCTAAAGGGCTAAAACTTTAAAATAAATAACCCAGAATGGGTTTCATTCTCTGCCTCCTGTCATTTTCTCATTCCTTTCTACTTGATGTCAACAGTTGGTGAGGCATCAGCTGGGAAGGCTTCTCGGAGTCTGGCCCAGCACATCCCCGGGCAGGCGGGGATGGAGGGCATGAAAGTGGCTGCGAGCGGGGTAGTGGGTGATCTGGCGAGGGCCCGCATTGCTCTGGATGAGAGAGGCCAAAGGCTGGGGGAGCTGGAGGATCGAACTGCCCTGATGATGACCAGTGCAGAAACCTTCTCCAAGCACGCTCATGAGGTAAAAACAAGATTATTATTATCAAACAAATGTTTGATTTAAAAAAGATTATTGAAAAAATATGGGTAAAAAGTATGTTTATGAATACAGCTGTATTAAAATAAAAAATGAATTATGATAAACTGAAACTTGCTTTGGAAATACAGCAGTTTTTTTAAATAAGAATTTGTGTAAATCTACTACAAGATGTTTTAACTGGTTATAGTCCAAATTTCAAACGAATGACCTACATAAGCAAATTGCTATTTCTTTATTGTTATTCTTAATGCTTCCCACCGGGTCAGATTCATTTGGATTTCCCTTGAAATAAATCAAACAAGGTGGTGAAAACATTACGGCTTTTGCCCACAGGGGAATCAACACAAAAATGAAAGTTCTGTGTTGCTGCTTTAAATAACATTATAACTATATAAATATAAATGAAATGCTCCAGTAATGCCATAAAAAGAAAACAACAAGCTCCATTGTTCTCATTACATTCCCTTGACGTTTCAATAACAACGTACAGTAATGTTAGTGAGCTCACGGTGGCAACAAATCCTTATCATGATGATGTTATTTATTGACTCTAACAATGCCACACTGATGTTTTAAAATGCTACATACAGCAGCTTCAAAGCAAGCTTTTAAAATAAATCTGCTCCGTACAGGAAATTAAGCATTGACAACTTATTTCTCACCATCGACAGTATGTTTTTTTTTTTTTTTTTACAGCTGATGCTGAAGTGCAAGGACAAGAAGTGGTACCAGTTCTAATAGCAGGACAGAGGGATGAGGCTGCCCTTGGACTGCTGGGAACTTTATGCCGGGACGGGGACTTTCACTCTACAAATGAGAGCAATTAAAAGAGAGACTCAAGAGTGACTTTGTCTTTACGGCTTCTGGACTGGCTATTGTACGGCACTGTCACATTGTTGAAGGACGAGGACAGGCTAGTCCCTTGTCTAGACATGTAGTGATGAGGAGAGAAAGAGAATGGTGGCATTTGAAGGACTGAAGATGGAACTGGAAATATCCGACAAGTCTGTGTGTGTGTGTGTGTGTGTGTGTGTGTGTGTGTGTGTGTGTGTGTGTGTGTGTGTGTGTGTGTGTGTGTGTGTGTGCATGTGTGTGTGCGTGCGTGTGCACACGTGCTTTCTGTGTTTGTGTGTGTGTGTGTGTGTGTGTGTGTGTGTGTGTGTGTGTGTGTGTGTGCGTGTGTGTGTGTGGTTGGGTTTTCTGGACCTCACTGTGTAGATACTCAAACGTTAAGAAACCAACAAGAAATGCATGAAACAAAAATGGATGACTAATAAAAATATCCAACTGCCATATTAAAAAGCAGCATGCTACTTTAACAGGAGATACAAAAATAAAAAGTTTTATTTAACGATGTAAGCCAACAACAGAGACTATGAAATACTTTATATTTTTTGAAATATTGACAAAAACTATATATAAAAAGGGAAATGTATACCTGCATTGCTATTAAGCCAAAACTTGTGTTCCTTTCCCTTTTTTTTTTTTTTTTGGTTAATTTAAATTTTTTCTTAGTCTCAGCTAATATTACTTGCCACAATATAAGTACACATAGTTAGCTTTCTCTACAAACACTTAGTATAATGCTAAAACTATATTCTATATTCTTACCAATTACTCTGGGCTGCACAGTGAAAACACAAATCAGCAGTATTTACACTTACCTCTGCACAGTCTAATCACACTGATTTAATTTCACTTTTTGGCTGCTGCTACTTACAAAAGCATTAAATGATGATGAGGAATATCTCACTCCCCAACTACAGTTTTATGAAAGCAAGAGGGCAGATTGGTGTGAAGCAGTGGCTGCAAAGGCTGAAAGAGTTAAAAGCAAATTCTGGACACAGTGTGTTTATATCTTTAGTATGAACCTATATACTATTCACGTGCCATAAAAAACAAGGTGAGTGAATCCACTCACTGTAAACTAACTAACAAAGAGCTAATGTGTGGTAGTCATCATTTGTTTCCTGTTTGATCAGAACTGATGAGACGTTGTACTTGGATTTGGCCACAGAGGGCATTTATCAAAGTCAAATAAGTCATTTTTTCTTTATAATATTTATATATATATATATATATATGAGGGTGTTTTTTTATTTATTTTTTGGTTGTTGCTGGTTCACCATTTGAGTCTTTAGCTGCCTTTGTCAGATGTACGAGTTTAGTGAGCCATTAGATTGTGTGTGTGTGTGTGTGTGTGTGTGAGAGAGAGAGAGAGAGAGAGAGAGAGAGAGAGAGAAAGAGAGAGAGAAAGAGTGCCACAAATGTTAAATAACTAAATTATTTCTCTTCCAAAGCAATCAATGAATGACACCCTCTCATCTCTCTCCAACTCAGTCTTATGAAAGTTATTTATGCGTTTCCACCTGAGCAGTCCTCTTTTCCTGATCACAAACAATACGTTAATGATTGTCACTGTCTTTGTGAAGTACAAAGAGGAGAGTTGGAATCACACCCATTTAATCGCTATCAACAAAAGGTTCAGGACAAGTAACAGTATTTTTTTCAGTGATGTTCAGATGTGAGTCAGTGAAGAAACTATGTACATGTGTAAAACATTTGCAACAATTTCAACTGAAGGCAAATATGTTATTTTTTCGTTCAATATTGTTCTTGATGATTATGATATCCTCTTGTCGCAGTCCTATATTTGATGGTGACGGCCTCTCAACTGAAGGCTATTGTATGTTAAAAACAACAAATGTTTCATGATACATGGTTGTGTATCATATTGTGATTGTGTTGTACATGTCAATGGGTAGCCACATGACACGGGCAAACAGAATTAACTGAGGAGGATATTTTGTACCAGTGTATTTGTCTGTATTGAATTGATCTGAAAAACCAAACAGAGGATTATTGATATCCATCTCGCACACATCGGGCCTTTATGCACATGAGCATTAACACGTATGACGCATTGCGCCTTGATCATGTTGACGTCACTCCCACATTAAATATGCATAGCAACACATACGGTAAAATCCTAAAAAATACCAGAAAGGTGAATCTAGTCATTCTGCCTGCTTCTTGTCAGGCTGCTGAGGCATTCCTTATGCTTAAATGGCCTTCCAACCCATTTGTTTTCCCCAAACTCAAGTCAACTGAAATCCTAAAGCAGTGCCACGTGGATTTCAGGAATTACACATGGTTTGATTCAATGAGGTGTCTTAAACATTAAAAAAATACATTTCTCTCCTAATCTCTGTACCGTCAATGAGATTTGTGTACAGTGCAGTTCATTCAATGGCAGAGAAAACACACAAAAAAACATAAACAAAATAAAATAATAATAATAATAAAAAAAAAAAAAGTCTGACTTCTACTGACAGGGTGTTTTGTTAGTATGTTTTTGGTTTGTATGTTTTTGGTTTTTATATTACTGTACAGTTCAATCTTGGGAGAAAGGTAAAACAAAAAACGATAAAAGATTAAGACATTCTTGGGATATTTTTCTCTGTATATGTTGTACCTGTTACTGCTGGTACTGTATCTGGTATTCTGGCTCTGTCTAAATCACTGGAACTGTGTAGTTCTTCACACTGTAGTATCCTGAAAAAAAGCATTTCTCTGGTTTTCTCAATGATGGCAGCAAAGTTTGTCTTATTTAAAGGATTCTACCACTTTTTGTTCTTATTGATATTATACTAGTGTAATAGAAATTACTTGACAAAAAAGAACTGAAAATATGTTGATGCAAAAGCAAACTGAAATAAACATTGATTGATGTACACAGTTGAGAGCTCTGTTTCACTGACCCCTCACTAGAATCAGCTGCGGTTGTTCTGCTTGTATAAAGTACAATGTGCTGGTTCCTGGTGAATTTACAGAGGATCATCTGGACATCTCTACATCAGCTGTTCTCAACTAGTAACAGAAAAGAAGTGGCGCCTAATCATGTTAAGCAGGCTTGAACGTGCAGCATTGTTTTATTATTATTACAATACATTTGACCATCATGCAGTCAGAAAACATTTATCAGAAATATTATAACCATGACAGTGAAGCTGTTCACATATCACAATTCTACACATCTTATAGATTATTTTGCATCCACCCAGATGTTTGAAAGTGTCTTCTAGCAGGAGAAACGTTGCTGTTTAAATCCATCGCAGCTGTAAATTCTTCCACACACTCAGCAGAATCATGATTACCCAATGGTTAAAATGCAGCCTATATTTCAGTATATAAGTAAATGCCACTTTATACTGCGACTCCACTAATTCTGAGGGAAGTTGTACTTTTCATTTAACTACAACTATTACTTAACAAATAATTAGGATTTTAAACTAATACAATATCATCTATTGTTACAATAAACTTATGCAACAGCATACAAAGCTTCACATTCAACTACACAATCAAATACTATAGTACTATACCCTTTTTCTGTGTTGAGTAACAACTTTTTTTTAGAGCAGTTTTACAGTGTGGTGTTACTAAGTTTATTAAAGGATGTATGAATACTTATTCTCCTACTCAAAACATTGGAAGACAGAGAGAAAGTGCATTCATTTATTAGCAAATCACCCTACAACTGTCAAAGCTTCCAAAAATGTACTTTTTAAAAAAAAACAACAGCCACTGAATAAACCTATAAAAATAAGCCACATTCACGGTCCCATCCCATTCATCAGCATCATGTCCAGCTTGTATCCCCAAGGCTGGAACTTCCGCATATCTGTGCAATCAAATTCAGATCAGATCAGGAGTCGATTTCTCTTTCAGCCAATCAGACTCAGATTCGGTGGAGCGGCGACCAATCAGATCACTACATCGTGCGAGCTCGCCCCGCCCCCTGTTCATTCAGCAGTTTACTCAGCTGTAAAAGGTTTTTTTTTTGTTTTGTTTTTGTTTTTTTAGAAGTAACGTTAGCTAACCGTAACCTTCGTACCACTGAAGGCATAAACCATAAAATTATACGCGTATGTTAGTTAGATATTACCGGCTAGAAATGCCACCGCTGAATTATGTCATTTAGTATGGAAACGTAACTTCGTTACGTTTTACCCAACGTTAGAGACTTCTATCTTGTTTTAGTTTTTTTTTTTTTATATATATATATATATATTTTAAGAACAATAATGGCAAATTTGTGTTAAGTTAATCATTGTAGGGAGGAAAGTAACGTTAAGGGACAAGGCCGACGGTGGACAGTTATGTCTCTTCGACTATCTTCGTGGCTGCTGCTGCTCTTCTGCCTGTTCAGACACGAACTCCCGGGAGCTCAGGCAGACTCGGTACCCAGTGCCGCAAAAACTTTAGTATGGGGACCTGGACTGGAGGCAAACATTGTGCTTCCAGCTCGGTTTTTCTACATACAGGCGGTGGACAGCTCGGGGAGAAAGTGAGTAGTAGCAAAGGCCTGCTAATAGCTTCTGTTGCAGCAATGGTATTTTTTTTTTTCTTTCCAGTAGCAACATGTAACCTGTAAGATTTTTATTGGCATGCAATGCTGCCTTCAAGTGCTCCACGTAAAATCCAAACTCTGGGTTTGTAAGGTGGTATAGGTCAGTATATTTTCACATGAATTAAAATATGTTCTGTATTATATGTGTAAATAAGTGGAGACATGAGCTGTGCTTGTCTATTCAATTGATAAAAACTACAATGTGTGAAACAAAGTGTAAACATTTTATCTTTATCATTGCTGAACAACTCTCCAGCAAAGCTGTAGCCTCCATTTAGGATTTGTTTTGTCTACACTTCCTCAGTGTTTTTCTAAGAAAATATAGATATAGAGGGTAAGATTCTGTTAAACTTTAATGCTCATGTCTGGTTTTCCCATCAAGATATGACACACAGGTGAAAAACCTAACCTCCTTTCCAATTTTGTTGACGTGGGACATTGTTACTGTATTTCTGTCTGCAACTGAGGACTGCACGACAACAAAGAACGGACAACGTAGTAAATCTTTTCAACCACGTTGATATTTGAAACTAGTCAATAGTGAGAAAGCAGACATGAAAGTTTGCTCCCCAGGGAGGAGAGTGTTAGACAGCCTCCAGTGACCCCTTTCATCAAAAAGCTCCCATGGGCCCAATGAAGGCATCCCACTTTATGTGTAGTTATTCAGCGGGTGTCACTTAAACACATACTTTGGGTCTAAAGATAGATATCGGTTTCTCACTTCCATTCATGCGTATAACAAAAAACTACATCATTGTTGTCTGCTGGTTAGGGTAGCAGCAGTATACCTTTTCACATTATACAATGATGCTTATCATAACATGTACATTTGATCTACGGTATTGAGTTGTGCTGTATTAGTGTTCCTAAAAATATATTGAATTCTACTGTATTGGTATTTCTAAAAAAAAATATACACCTAGGTGGAACATTTTGTAAAAAAAAATGAGTGTTTGATCAACATTTTAACTGATAATAACAGTAAAAGTAATAATAATGATTGTGTAATACTGTGAAACTGTGACTGTGGTATTGTGGGCCAGCATGCTAGCGTTTTTCCGGCTTTGCTCTCTCTTGACAGGAGCACATTCTCCATATTCTCTCCCTCACAGTTTAACAGCATCCCCTGGTGAGAAGACGTTTGAAGTGAAGATTGTGTCTCCAGTGGAGGAGTTCACCAGGATTTGGATCCAGGTTCTGGATCGCCAGGATGGCTCCTTCCTGGTCCGCTACAGAATGTACGCCACCTACACCGACCTTTACATCCACATTCTGCTCAAGAACAAGCACGTCGCCAACTCACCATTCATTCTCAATGGTAGGACACACTCAGCTGCCTACTGTATATGTTTAGGATGAGATCTGTGTTTGTCTGGCTCCACATATATGGCAGGTGAAAGAGGTGGATCTTAGTTATGTGTCTGTGCTTTTCCTCTACAGGCCCAGTCTACCATGAGGGCTGTGACTGCCCTCAGTCCAGTGGTTCTGTATGGGAGACCCACATGCACTGTCCTCAGTCCTTCCCCCAGATAGACCGGGACCTGGCCCTCTATGCTAGTGTCGATCCAGAACGCAATGCCCAGGAGATCCCGCAGCGCTTTGGACAGAGACAAAGCCTCTGCCACTACACTGTTAAAAGCAACAAGGTACCTCACATATATGACACCAGAAAAAAACTTATGAAATAAGTAATAACATAAGCAATTAATATGAAGCAAACAACCAAAAGAGAAGACTTATGTCAAAATGTTCCCAGTTTTAAAATACCATAATAGTATAGTAAAGGGTAGTATTTTAATAAAGGGTAGTATTTCTTTAGGAAGAGTAGTAATTAGGGCCATGTAATAATGTAAAGTCAGCCAGGAGAGCCTGGAGCTATTTGACACACCTGTAAGAACAGGTGTTCAAGAGTACAATCTTCTCAAAATACCACTGTGTACGTCAATTCATGTCCTAGTAACAATGATACGTCTAAAGTCCTATGGTCACACTGCTAGCATTACCAGTCAGTTGTCATTGATTTAGAGTCACATTGTAATTCATACTTTATTTTTTGAAACAGGTTGAGTGTCCACTTTCAAAATTAGTTCTTTGCAAAACCCTGTCTTCCTTTCTGTGTGTTTATAACCTTGTCGCATGGTCTTCATCAGCAAATTTAGATTGTAGTTAAGCATAAAAGTTAATTTCTGAACTCCTGAACATGCTTGTGATGTTTTTATGTTGATATAGCTTTTTTGTTCTCTTCAGGTCTACGTTAAAACTTTTGGAGAGCATGTGGGTTTCAGAATCTTTATGGATTCCATCCTCCTGTCACTTACCAGAAAGGTAAGCAGTGTTTCCTCTATTATGTGATATTATTTTCTTCATAATATTGCTTTTTAAAAGCGTAGACCTTTGCTTTTAATTGTTAAAGAAGAGCATACTCCAATTCCCTCTCACTGGTGTTGTGTTGTATGTCCAGGTGCAGCTCCCTGATATGGAGTTTTTTGTTAACCTGGGTGACTGGCCGTTGGAGAAGAGGAAACCCACGGAGAAGATTCATCCTATCTTTTCATGGTGTGGCTCTAACAATACCAGAGATATTGTCATGCCCACCTATGACCTGACTGAGTCTGTCCTTGAGACCATGGGAAGGTATGTCTGTTCATCTGTAACGCAAACAAGGACGGGACACTTTGCAGTCCTGCAGTAGCAGGATTTTATATCATTGTCATAGAGATGATTTACAGGATGCTCTTCTTCCCCTAGGGGATGACAGTAATAAGTAAGCTTGTGTATACAGACTGCCCGATGACACTGTCGCAGTCCACACTGAATAATGTAACCTAAATAAAGTCAGGACGCACATTATTTCCTCAGTGTTGCTTCATGGATTTTTATGCAGTGCAAGATAGCCAAATTGGTGTGTGACAACAAAAAAGTTTTGCCAGCAAATATTTTATTTTACATTTAGATTGAGCCAGCAAAACAGCTCTCCATATCACGTATACATTTACTTTTTGCCCTGCAGACATTCTCCCCTTGTAATGAGTGATACTGGCTCACCAGGTGTATCCAGTGTCATCTGTAGCTGCTGATCACTGCCTGGCAACACTATATTTTGTTTACTTCAACAATTAACTGGTAAAGCAGTTTTTCAAAGCAAAGTATGTGTACCAGGCTACAAATAATTTATAGGCACTGGGGTAGTGCTGACAGTAAGTCAATCCTTTCTGTGAGTAAAATAGATTAAAGTATATATGCATGACTGAGGTTCTAATTACTGTCATAATGTGGTGAATCTGCACGCCATTATTAATGAGTCCACACTGTTGACAGATGCTGAGATTAATAACAACACACTGTGCATCCAATGAACAGAGTAAGTCTGGACATGATGTCAGTGCAAGCCAACACAGGGCCACCATGGCCAGAGAAGAACGCCACAGCCTTCTGGAGGGGCCGCGACAGTCGCCAGGAACGTCTGGAGCTGGTCAAGCTCTCAAGGGCTCACCCCAACATGATAGATGCTGCCTTCACCAACTTCTTCTTCTTCAAACACGATGAGAGCCTTTATGGGCCGCTGGTCAAACATGTTTCTTTCTTTGACTTTTTCAAGGTGAGAGAGGCTGATTTTTTGATCATATCTGTGAAACAAATATTAACGTGTAATATACAGGAGATGCTAGTACTGCCAGAACCATTAAGGATTAGCACTTAACTCTGCAGCAGTTTGCAAACAAGCTGAGTTTCTCCAAATTGCATAGCACAAAAGAGCAGAGAGCATAAGTAAACTCATGTCTGGTGAGGAGACTAAAAATCCAGATATTCTTCTCAGGAGATGATGGACCAAATAATGCGTTAGAGCCAGTGAACACTGGACCCATGTTCATCATCTCTGTGCTCTGCGTGTGTACATTTACAATTGTTTGCTAAGACATTAACACATAACTTAATCAGCCATAGCATGCCAAGACTTAACTCTGTATGCAATTAAATATGATATTACTGTTCTCTCTTCATTCTAACTGGCACTACTAAGCAGTTTTTTTTCAGAACTTAATTTTGAACATCATTATTTCTATTCCATGTCCTTTACCAGTACAAGTACCAAATAAACATTGACGGCACCGTGGCAGCGTATCGGCTGCCTTACCTGTTGGCAGGAGACAGCGTGGTCTTAAAACAGGATTCTAGCTACTACGAGCATTTCTACAACGAGCTTCGGCCATGGGAACACTACATCCCAATCAGGGCGGACCTCGGAGACCTGCTGGAAAAGATCCAGTGGGCTCGTGACCACGATGAAGAGGTGATGGTGATAAGGATTGTGGACATTACATTTAGCATTAAATCCTATAACGTGCTGTAATGCCATACGATTGGATGTTTAGTCCTTATTTATTGTTCTCTTTAAGAATTAACATAAACAACTTTGTAACATGTTGTTGTTTTGTTTCTATCTGTCTCTCAGGTTAAGAAAATTGCACTGACAGGTCAGCAGTTTGCCCGTAATCATCTTATGGGAGACAGAGTATTTTGTTACTACTACAAACTTTTCCAGGTACTGTTTCTACAGTTGCACATAATATATGACTTGATATGTTGGAAAAATTCAAGGTGCTTCAAAAAGTAGTATCAGCAGTGGTATGATAACATATTGCCCTGCTCCCTCATCATCAGACCCAAACAGATTTGTTTTTAAGCAGTGGTCTAGAATGAAAATCTAAGTAAGTACTCTGTGTTGACAAATGGCGCCTCCTCAGTTCCTCAGCAGTCAAATGTTTGACATAGTTTCACACCCTGCCACTAACTGTCTCTGCTAGCTGCTGTGGGCCCAGATTTCATGTGGGCCTGATCCTCATACAGTCACACTGGGGTCAAAGTATATTCTATTGGCTCGGTTTTGTGTTATTATGTTACTCCTGATATGATGTTTACACATCACGCAGGAATCTGATCTGATCCCATATTTGTTGTCAGGATGTACTTCCCCTCCCTGTCATTATTCTCTCTGTAACTTCAATGTTCTTCTTGTAGGAGTATGCCAAACGCCAGGTCACAGAGCCCAACATTCGTGAAGGCATGGAGCTTGTAGAGCAGCCCAGTGATGACCTGTTCCCATGTTCCTGCCACAGGACAAGGGTAGGCGACACCAAGTGACTTTAAACTTTGTATCGTACTTTAATACTATTGAAAATCCAAAACTTGCATTTTTCCAAAGATACACTTACTACACTTAAGACAACTCAGATGAATTTACACTATAACACTATACAGGTGGTCTGGTGGCGAGTGGATAAAGATTAAAACTGTTTAACATGGATGCAGCACTACTTTGGTTTGCCTAACAAAGAGGTAGAACTGGAAGGCAAAATAGGAGCTATAATAAATCTGGACCCATGCAGATATATGAAAAGAAAAAAACTGGTATGTCCATGTTACCTGTTTTCAGTAGTTAGAAGTCGTTCAACATGAGATCTAGAGCAGCTTCACTGACCTTTCAGGCTATATTTTGGGGGTTTTCTTGTTCGACTAGTGTAGGATTTAGTGGCGTCTAGCATTGTAGATGTTGGTGTCTTCCTAAAAGGCAAATCTATTGATGGGTTTAAGCTTTTCATTGGAAATAATAATAATTGGAAAAAGATTACTGATATTAATGTTTAAACTCTGGTATCACTCAGCCTCAAGAGAGCCCATACCACTATACAGTGTAGAGTGTGGCTCCCTCTAGTGTATGTAAAGTATCACTTCACCTTACTAAATTAATGTGAGTTGAACATAGAAATGGCACTAATATATTAAAAGCCCTGAACACCCACACAAGTGTTTTCAATTACTCTGGCTGATTAGACGTATAGGTTGGAGGTGGGTGGAGGATTGCTGGCAATTACGGTATGTCACCAAACTCTACACACAAGTGTAAGCAGTGTCAATTGTCAGGACCTAACAGGTGCAACTCCCAGGAGAGTGAGAGAGATGTAATATAAGGGTAGTTTGTATAGATCCACACACTGATCAGATGTTTAAACTGACAGCCTACGTAAAAAAACCCTGTGTGGGTGGCCAATGTGGGAGCTTTAAATACAATTAAAGCACTAAACTGTAATCTAAAAAGTTCAATGCATGTTTCTATTTGACCTTTTTTTTTCTTTAAGTACAAACTGAATATGAGTGAACGTTTAAACTAAACAAACTGTACATTTTGGATTTTAGAAATAATGTTTTCACAAATGATTTTTCTATTTTATTTTATTTTTCAGGCAAAAGATGAACTTTGATTGACCTGTCGTCCAGTTACGGAGCAAGCCTTCATATCTGATATACTGCCAAATATTTGAGTGTGGATTAATTATATGACTATGTTATAAATATCACATTATCTTGTTTTTTAAAATAAATATTTGTCTTTTTGTATGTTGAAAGAGAATATTATTTTTGTATTTCACTTTTGTATTATACACCAACACACATAAACACAAACACAAACTGAAGTGTCAAACAAAGGCTGCTGGATGTTCTGTTATGAATTAAACTACCCAACAGTATATACAAGTAGTGTATATTAGTCATTTAATAATTTTTCATGCGAACACATTTTATGGTTCCAGCTTCTCAAGTGTGAGGGTTTGTTGCTTTTACTTCTTAATAAAGTTTGTACTATTGGTTGGACAAACCAAGCATTTATCACTATTTTCAGAATTTCAGAATCAGCAGATTAATCCATATTTAAAATAATCATTAGTTGCATGCAAATTGTGCCAAATACAACAATAGAATTAAAAAAAAAAAACTTGTGTATTAATGCACAGGTAATAATAATCTAATGATATATTGTAAGAAGTACATTGTCATGATTATACTAACATAATTTAACTCAAGTTATATTTTCAATATAAAACAGAGGTTTACATGTGGAGTATTTGTACAGTGTGGTATTAGTAGTTTTTCTAAAGTAAAAGATCTGAATACTTGCTCCTCCACTGCCCAGTCCAGTTAGTAAAGCTGTAATGACCACTCCTAAACAGTAGGTGGCAGTAACCATAGACATATATACACTCTTCGGGGAGTCAGGGAAGAAACACGTCGTTATGGACTTTGAAGAGGTAAATATTTCACATTAGCAACTGCAGAGCCAAGACACGATATGAGTCAGAGTTAGAGTTAAAATGAACTATAAGAGGCTCTCTAACCAGGGAGAGTTGAAACACACAGGTCGTCATAGTAACAGCTTTAGCTTATAGTTGCTATACTTTATTAGCTTCTCTCCACAATAAATTATTGAAGAGATTAATAATAAGACAACACATTTTAATTACCTGGAAAATGTTGCTCATACCAACTGCACTGGTTGATGTAACTTAGTACTTTACCCAAGTACTGTACCTAAGTACAATTTTGAGGTTGTACTTTAGTTGAATGTTTCCATTTCATGCTACTTTATGTTTATACTCCTCTAGTTTACTGAGGCAAATATTCTACTTTTTACTCCACTCCATTTATTTGACAACATAAATAATAATCAACTTATGAATTATGGTGTATTAGCTCTAAAATTGAAGTGATGTATACATAAATGCAGAAATAATTATATTATTTTGAAATATGCCATCCTGCATAAAGGTTACTGTTACTTTTAGTACTTATTTGTATGCTTATACTTCTGTACTTTACTAAGATTTTGAATGCAGGACTGACTTTTTTGGCATTACTACTTTTATTTAGGATCTGAGTACTTGTTCCACTACTGCTTAACATTTCATAAAATTAGACCCAGTCATAGAACATCTGTGGTGGTGGTGGTGGTTGTGTGATATAGGATGTTAAGTGTGCCTATCTTTTATTCAATCAAAACTAGTTTTGGACTTCAAAACACTCGTTATGACACCATTTTTAATCACTTTCCACAGATGTTTATAATATGCTTGATGAGAACAGCCAATGTTAAAATCTAGAGATAGTGCTCACTCGACTTCTCGCTGACTTTCAGGACACAGTGAAGGTGCCATTTGGGACAAAGTATCTGGATGCTGCCTTGTGTTCCCCTGCCTCAGTAAAAGATGTTCATACAGCCGTCATTCTCACACATGGGGCGGGTGGAGACATGAACTTCAAACATCTGGTTTCCTTGGCACATGGGCTAGCTTCAGATGGCTGCCTTTGTCTCCGTTTCACATGCAAAGCTTTAAACTTGGGTTATAGAGTGAAGGCTTACCGTGCAGTGTGGGTAAGCATTTTCATGTATTCAAGACATACCAGTGACTATTTTATTCATACAGTAGTGTTTCTGTGATACTAAAGCCTGTTCAGAATCAATACAATACTGCACACACTTGTGTTTTCCCCCTAGGATTACTTGAAATCCCTACAGAAGTTTACCATAAAGCACATATTCATTGGAGGTAAGCAACAATAGTAGGATTACTGTGTGTCACATGAATACTGTGGTGTCAGTGGTTGCATTACATTAAGTATATCTTCTTCTTCTTCTTCTTCTTCTTCTTCTTCTTCTTCTTCTTCTTCTTCATTACAGTAACAGCCAAATAGCAATAAGTCAAGGCAGGCAAAAAAATACCACTAACAACTAATGCTAAACAGGTAGAATGTTTAGTAATAACTAATTTCTGTGCTTTCGGAAGTCAAATGAACGTCACAACAATATAAATATTAAACATTACTTGGTGAACACCTGACTACTACTTACTACAAGTACTTTAAATAGCAATAGAATTTAAAATATCAGTATCATGTTCAGTGTTCGTAAATCTGACCATAAAGACGTTGCGGTCTTGTCAATATTGTGGTGGGTTAAAACACTACAACATGAGATAGAGTACTCACTGAGTGTGTTATCTTGTCTCAAAATGTCTGTGACCTGTCCACAGGCAGGTCAATGGGAAGTCGTGCAGCTGCAACTTTAGCCAGGCAGCTGAGTGATGAATCAGAGGACGCAGTGCAGGGTGTCATCTGTCTGTCTTTCCCCCTGCACCCCCCAGCACAGACACACGCCCATCAGCAGCGAAGTGAAGATCTCAGGGGGCTACCTGAACGTATGCCTGTACTGTTTGTGTCAGGCACTGAGGACAACATGTGTGATCGGGTGAGGATGGATGACTGTAATTTTATACATACAGTTATGGAATTTTAATTTTGTATTCATGTATGTGTATATATGTTACGGTACATATCTTTTTTTCTCATTCTTACATTGTAACATACAGAATATTCTCTGATGATTTATATTATTATATTTTTATATTATATATGCTATGTATGTTCCCTTTGTCCCAGTAGGTTGTTTATGCTACCAGTTCACTAATACATTTCCTTCTTCATATCAGTCATGAATAATGCATAACATGTCATCTGCATGCCCACATAGACTTTCTATGTATATTCTTATTTCCCTCAATGAAACATCCAGGCCAGTCCTATACTATTTTATATCAAATGGACTATTGCCTGCCATGTTACGTGTGCTGTATTTTAATTATTCCTATGTCCCAGCCTGTGCAATGCATGATTTTTTTTGTTTCAATTACCTGCCATGTGCCAAAATAGGGATTTTTCATTGTGATTTTTCTGACTCTGATTTTGGTCTTTGCTTTGTTTTTGCTCAGGTTCTTCTTGACGCGATGGTAAAAGAAATGAAAGCTCAGGTTGAGGTTTTCTGGCTAAAAGGAGGCAGCCATGGACTGACAGTGAAGGGAAGGTCGGACGATTCTGTGTTGGATGAAGTGAATTTACAAGTCATTGCGTGGATGAATAAGCAGCAAGCATAAATTAATTTATGTTATCGGATTTGTATTTTCTTTGTTTTGTTATGTTCTACTTATTAAGTAAAGGGTATATATTTTTGCACAAGTTTTTTTGTTGTTTTTTTATCAGAAATTCCTGACAGCTAAATGTCATCCTCAACTCAGCCTGTGCACAACATCAAATGTTACTGTGGTACTGTACATTGACTCAGCAGCACTGAGATGACAATCTTTGAACTGAAACAGTTCACATCACAACACTGAACCTTTAACAGTGATCTTATACTTTTGATTTACTGCAGATAGTGAAAACATATTTATATAAATGCTTGAAGAAAGTATATGACTAAATATGTTGTGTGTTGTATGTAATTATCGAGCTAATCTAACTACACATATTGAGAAATTAGAAATATATCTGACAATCTTGAATGGTGACTGACATTAGGGTATGATTGAGTCTTTCATTTCTCAGTATGATAATATTCAATTGAAAACATTTCTAATGACACTAAGCAATCAACTTGCTACAGAGACCTTGTAAGGATGTAAGCAAGTACAGCTACAAAGTGCTTCACAAACAAATATAACGTTAAACACACATGCATACACATCTATAGATAAATGCATATATACGTATAGATGGGTACATACACAATCCACACACACACACACACACACACACATAGGGGATATATATGTACTAACATATGGAAGAATAAAACAGAAAAATTTTTTAAAAAGAGTGATAACAAAGATAGGTATACAAGGGGAGATCTATAAAAGGCTTACCTATGGGGGGGGTTGAGGAGCCAAATAAAACAGTTCAGGGACACAGATATTGCATTATAATACTTAATATATATATATATATATATATATATATATATATTAATGGATGAATCAAATCAATCAAATACTGGGATTCTGTATCCTGTAGTGTAGAGTGATCCCGTTTAGTCACCATGGCAACTGAACTCAGTGTGGTTACCACGGCAACTGAACTCATTGCGAATTTAAGCTAGCTTGTGAGACGAGACGAGCTTTAAATGAATCAATCTCCCAGTCGCTGTGCCTTTAAGGCCACTCTGACGTTTATATTTACTCTACGATCATTGGCTGGCTGACTTCCGCATGTGTTTAGTCTGTGCAGGGAAGCCAAGCATGGCAGGACAACTGTGGAACAGAGTAAACATCCCCTTCCCCAGTGCCGTTTCTTGTGTCCGTGTACATTTCAGCTCCACTACAGGTACGGTTCATTCATCGGATGCTAATAAGCTAAACGGCTCGACTTTGCTAAAAGTCTCTGGGGCAAGATTACAGTGTATATGCCGCTTGCCACCCACGTGGGAGGGGGGGCATGTATACACCCTCAGCAGTGTTGATGTTGTACTGCATCCCTGAATATACTGTGCTGTTTGAACGCTGTTGCTGTTCTGCAGATGCAATTGTTAAAGCCCTCTTGGCGGAAAACGAGACGGTGCTGGGTCTAATTCGGAGTGAGATTCTGCAAACGGAGATCCGAGTTCTGTACGAGCTGCTGTACATCCTAAACAACAGCTCCAAAGGCAACAAGACGTTCAAAGGCTTAAAGCAGGTGAGGACTGTGGGTAAAGCGTCCAGATCTAGCCACTGCCAGAGGTGTGATTGTTGATCTGTTTTAGTCCTGGTGATGGGGAAACATGCAGGGTGGTTGAGCTTACCTCACTTACTGCATCTTCACTCATTTGCATATTGCGTGTCTCTCTCAGGTTGAACAATGCATAAACAGACTGAAGAGCATGAAACTTGATGATGCTCTTCAGGAGCTGGCAGAGCTGTGTCCCACCAGAATTCAAAGGTACGTGGGAAGGTTGGTAGGTTGGTAGTGATGGTCTGTTTCAGCTGACAGGGGTTTACAGGCCAGCATCAAACACAGCGTTTGCTGTTTATGGCATACATTGTATGTGGAAGCTGGTATAAATTAAATGCAGTGAGGTAAACAAAGCACTTAAGCCTGATTATGCCTTAAATTGATAATGCTTTTGAAGAGATATTTGCTTTTTATTAAACAGGCATTTTTTCTTTGTTAAAGTACTTGTTCTCCCCACTTGTGCAATCAGTACCGCCGCAGACCAATAATGTCTTGATGAGCTCGGGCACCGATCTTTCTCATCAAGTCAGGCTATTTCTAATTTGTGGGTTTTGTGTGGTACACTAAGATTTATGGGAAAAGGTCCTTATTTAAAAATATGTGCTTTTATTTGTTTTAGTTTAATTTTCCCAAGTACCTTATGTAATGAGGAGAAAAGCAGTTAATTCATTATTCATTTTAATGTTGGAGGTTGTAATTATCTGTTTATTCACTGTAATGAGATGTGTGTGTGTGTGTGTGTGTGTGTGTCTCATTTGTGTGTTTAGAGCCCTGAGCATCAAGGCTGGTGAGTGTGATGTTCCCAGTCAACCCTTGCTGGAGTGGCTCTGTCTCAAGGTGCTGGGAGCTGCACAGCTAATGAGCTGCACATTGAATCGCTGCAGCAGAGCTTTCTTGTATCCTTTTCGGAGCACTGTTGTGAAACATGAAGAGTAATCTGAAAGATATCTCTGAAGGTCTGATATTTATTTGCAAATGCGGATATAAGTTTGACAATCTTGGCCTTCCTGATGTCACCTCGTGGTTTTGCCCTTAAGATATATTTGCTTCAGACTCTCAAAGCAGCAGATGAAATGGGAGGAGTTTGTCATCTTGAATATGGTGATAACCAGCATGCTCAGTCGTCTCTGGTGAGTGCTCTTCCTCATTGTCACATCTAAAAGGCTGAGAAATGCAAGAAGATGCAGAATTAAAATCTGAATTTGAAAAAGTTTGATTTGTGTTCGTTTGGCTTCCATCGTCTTAACCCACCTGCCTTTGTGCTCAATCAGGGTGATATGCCGTGGTATCCTGGTCAGCCTGCACCCTCTGTATCAGCAGCTCCTGGAGCTCCTTAGAGAAGTATCCAAGGCCCAGCCCATGCCTTTCCTTACAGACTTCTCCCTGCCAGCAAATATAACTGAGTTCCTGGGTCCCTCTGATGTATTTTTACTGACCAAGCGGTCAAAACACATCCCCTATACCAAAGACTGCAAGGAGCAGCAGCAGGGGAGGAAGAAATCTTCTGTTAAGGTCAAGAACCAGCGACAGACGAGGAAGGTTAAAGAAGACCTGGGTGTTGCTGTTGAAAGAGGTGTGGAGCTTTTCCATTTCATTTTATTCTCTGCCTACTTTGTCATGTTCAATGCCCTTTGATTAATACAGTACGCCAGAAAAAGTAATGTCACATGCAAAACGCTTGCATATATCTATGCCTATTTTACGTAACCTGTGTCTGAACCTTTATTTAACCCATTGACATGAAACTGACATGAGCATAGGATAGCATAGAATTTCCTGCTTGTGTCAAATTATTTTAATCTTAGAGGTTGGAATAGAACTGTAATTGTAAAGCCGTTTCTTCTTTCCAAACCTTGAATCATGCACACACATATTGGACTCAGAACAGTTGCTCAGTACTTTTTTTTTTTTTTTTTTATCTTGTGCTACATGATAGTTGTTGGCTTTCCCAGCTGCTGGTAGTTTACAAATTAATCTTCAATGTAGCTTTATTTAAAAGGCAGCAGATGATTCTGGTGAAAAGAAAAACTGTTTTAATCGAATCTAAATACCATGCACAGAGAACCACCTTACAACAGCACTGACATTACTATTGTTATTTTTTTCCAGGTATAGTTCTTGACACTGACCTGAAGCCTTTTCTCAAAGTTTTCAAGAACTTGACAGAGGTATGTGAACAAACCAGATGAAATGTTTACTAATCCTTTTTATTATTTAAGTTCAAGTTGTCACCTAATTGTCTTACCTGATGGTTACATCCTTTTGGAACCAAAGGGCAAATCCTTCCCAGGGGAAACGCACAAGGCTGACGAGAAACAGAAGTTCAAGAAACAAGTGACAGAGGCTGCTACTTTCTCAGACATGGCAACCCATCTAGAAGAATTGATTGAATGGTGCAAATCCCAGAAAATGGAAAAGGAAAAACGCTTCTTAACCTTCTTGCGTTTGAAGTGCCAAAGGATGAAAGGCCTAGAGGCAGCAGGATACAAGTAAGAGCCAGACTGTGGAATACATACTGAGTGTCCACAGACTTCACAATCTACAATTCAATACAATAGCTCTGCCAAACGTTTTACAAAGTTTATAATGTTCAGTTTTTGCTGACTTTGTTGCTGTGTGCCTTAAACAATGGACACTATGTGTAGAGTTGTTGACAGTTGCTACTAATACTAATTGTCCGTTTGTCCTCATCCCTAGTGTCCAGAAGAAGTTGCAGACCTTCAGACAGGAAGCTCGCTGGGCTTCATCTCCTCAAGGGTCAGTGCCGAGAACCTGTCAGTCTTCTGCTGCAATGAGGAGAAACGCTCGCCTGAGAACTCGTTTTCATTCACTCAGGAGTCGATTTAAGTTGACAGCCATCAGAGCTAGTGTCAAAAAGAAACAACTGAAGAGACAAAGGAAGAGGACTGAGTCATCGGTGTCTGGACTGTCAGGGGACAACCAACGAAACAGGACCACATACGAGGCAACATTTCAGACCACCGACAGTGATGACATAGATGATATATTTGCCTCTGTAGGTTTGTGACACTTTGGAAATAGACACGTCCAAAGAAACAAACTACTGAATGCTGAAAAACGTATGATTGGACAATGGATGAATGTTAAACAAATGATAAACAGCAGCAGCTGATTGCACAGTATACTACTGTATTTGACACCAAGCTGAAAAAGTCTTGTTTTACTGACCTCTTCTGGTTTAAAATGTGGAGTCTCTTGCACCTTTGACCACACAAAGCATCACAGGGGGATCTCAGGATGCACTGACTTAAGAACTGCAATTCCTAGTGGTCATTTAAAAAGATTTCAACTAGTGTGGAGTTACTTTTAAAGCAGAAAGTAACTTTAAAGGTGATGTTTAAAGGGGATTTCTTTTTTGGCATTTTAGCCGTTATTGGATAGGACAGTATAGGGTTACCAGGCAAAGACCTGTTCCATTAACACAGTTATGGATAGTTATTTAAATCATTTCAAACTTGTATCGTTCTTGCATAGTTTTATGGTGCTGAACACCAAATGAGGCTTTAGCCTCTTTCAGACACTCACTCCTCTGCTGGCTACGCACACTGTGAAATACCATTATTAGAGCTATTAAGTGCACATCTTGTTCCACCCTCTTAAGACAGCACCACATTGTAATAACATACCATTTCTTATAGACAACAAAATAAAATCTGTGCAATGAACCATGAAATACTCAGAATGAACCTATTTTAAGTGGTAAAACCCATCAATGTGACAGATTCCCTGTTCAAAAGGGGCTTTTGAGATGATGACACCAGTTGAGGAGCAGCCTATTAAAGCCCTGAAGGTATTTGTAGCTCCACCTGGTGGAGTTAATAAGTCAGTGCATTGGTGATTAGTTCCAGGTTGGTGATTGTTCTCACATTATTAAATGAATCCCTCAACCTTGTTAAATGTAAAGCCCTTGGCAGAGGCAGTGTGAAAGCAGAGATGTCATTCTTCTTTCCCGTAATTGAGTTTGTGGCTACAGAGTGCTCGTACGAACAGGGATCACACTGGCAGTAAAATGTATTAGTAAGATAGGGTGGCCTCAGCTCTAGGTCTTTCAAGTCTAGTAGGCTATAGAAACTTTGCAGGTGTCTGGCAGTCCATATAGACAAACAAAGAGTGGAGGCTGTGCACCAAATTAGAAGCTAAAGGGTTAGTTTGTTGCAGCTTGTGTTTTTGCTGCCCACTTTCTTATCCTCTGCCAAAGAAGACACAGTCCTCCCATCTGCACAAATACAACGGTGCAGTTTTCTTCCCCCTCACTGAGCCTGCCTGGGTTGAGTTATGGTCTCACATCAGCCCACCAGTTTTCTTTGTGCAAATACGTTTACAGATTCTTGATTCTTTGCTTTATCTTAAGCCAGTTAGTCAAGGTCAACTTTTGTTCTTGCCTGCAGTGAAGGAAAGGAGCTGAGGAAAAGCCTTGAATGTCTGCATTCTGCATACATGTGCACATAGGAAGTCAGACCATTTTCTTATCTGCATGTTGGAGTTGAAGTGACTGTGCCAAATGCTACGGGGGGTATTCACAACCTTAATTTAAGGACATTTTTAGACTGCATTTTTTAATGCAATGCACAAAGAATGACTTTGACCTTGCTACTTTTAAAATGAGGAAGAAGAAAAAGAAATACAAAATAAAGTGCATAAACTCAATACAGCATGAATTGGCAGCATGTGTTAGTGGTTCATTCTGTACTGACTGTATAATGTCACCAACTTCCCAATATACAGAGTGTATCTCTGAGCTGATTAGGTGATTAAGGGGTGTTTACATTTGCTGATCTTGTCCTCCTTTACCTTATCCTTAACCACTTGTTAATTGATTTGATGCTTAGGGACTACAATTTGTTGTCTGTAAACAGTAATACTATTTTAAATGTTAAAATGTAGCTGTCAGTAATTACAGAAAACTTGAGTGACTAAAAATCAGCTGGACAGTAATTTAAAATTCAACCCAGTTACAGAACTGGCAGGCCAATTTCTGCAATAGCTTCACTCTGGTTGATGTCTTTTTTCACCGGTACACCTTTAGAACCTGCATCATTATCTGGCTGGGGCAGCAACTCTTCAGCACTGTCTGCAGCCTCAGCTAAGGGTAGGGAGACCATATATTGTGGGGAAACCTGTCTGTCTAACTTTCTTAACCAATCTGTATTTAATAGCATATAATTGGAAATAGATAGTTCCACATTGTTTGGTTCAGTGCTGGAATATTGTTGTTGGAGTAGGAGGTTCTCCAGGGATTCTGCGAATGCATCATTTATGGCCTGTGGGCATAATATGACCTAAAACAGGAGAATATAAAGGTCTGCACTCCCAATATGCTGTTCTTCAATTTATTTCCCTGCCACCTTAATAGCAGCGGGGGAATAGAGCAAGTTTCAGGTCTCAGCTTTTGCATAGCATGGCACGAAGGAATTCTCAACATTTACACTCAGAGGTGTATTAAATCAATCACATCATTACGTCCACAGAGACACAAAAAGCGAAGTAGAGCCACATAGGCAACTAGTGCATCATGCTCTTTTAAGGCAGTTCATAACTCAGCCTAGTCACCAATAGCTCAGTGATGTAAAGCATAAATTTATACCAAGGCCATGAATAAAGTGGGAAAAGCAAGTAAAGCAAACGTCCAAGGTTGAAAAACTCATTAAGGCCAGAGGGGGACAGTGAATATAAACTGTGCAGCCAGTGCAATATTTTTGTAGTGTCTCCCCCTCGTCCATAGGGGCTTTCAATCCCACTGCGTTTAATGAGTTCAATATTATGATTATGTCTAGAAATAGGAAATGCAAGCATATTTTTATTTTTTGCTTACTAATCCCATTGTTAACGGAGTTCAGATTTCCTCATGAAGTGAAGTTTAATATAGGATTTTGTTTTTTATATTCACACTGGGAGGAAATATAACAGCAATTCTTTAATAACTTGGTTTCATCAAGAGAGTGGTGTATTCTCTTTTAATGTCTGTGTCCAAGAATATATGTCCTCTAGAGCATTACGTTTCCTTCATCAGTGCCAGAGGGCTGAGACCTGGAACATACTGTATGTATGTGCTCTATTCCCCTGCTGTAATTAAGATGAAAGGAAATAAAGTAAAGAAAAGGGGAATGCACACCTTTATATTTTTCATATGTGTACATATCTGTGCTAGCAAAATCTGTTGGGAGAGTATGATGAATAGGACTTTAAAAAGCCCCCAGCTGTGCCATTGCCATCCCTCCATTTACTTTATGTATTTACTTATTCTCATTCAGGGTCATAGAGGGCACTATTGTTACACAATAAAATTGCACTGCCTGTACTTTCACATTTTAGCTAAACATAAATTGTATTAGCACGTCATCTATTGTATTACCATAAAGGTGACTTTGGCTTCTTAGTTTTACTGAACTAAAAACTTAACCATTTGTTTTCTCTGTCATCTCTACAGCTATGTCAAAATAATGTCAGTGTTGAAGCCAAAAACAAATAAAATATGTTAAATTACAAATACATATATCCCATAATATGTTAGTATTCTGGAGATTTTCACAATTGTAGTACAGAGGAGTGCACACAATTTTATTGGCATATTTGAAATTGGACTCAGATGAGTGTTACAGGTTACTAGTGTTAATGTTTAGCCAACGATTGAAGTTCACTGGTTTAACCATTATTATATTGTTAAAAGCCAATAGCAGTGGTTTTACAGCCACACCATTTTACAAACTGTGGTACCGAGTTTTGGAAATGTAGTTGTATATTGTACAATTTGATCATCCGATCATTTTAATGCAGTTTTAAAATCTAGTCGCACACTCATGAAACATGCTCTAGTTAAGAAGTTAAGAGGTGCAACAATTCGCCAATTAGTTAATCGAGTGATTGACAGAAACTTGCAGCAATTTAGATTATAAATCAAGTTTTTAAGAAGAAATTGCAAAAATAAATGTGTTTTTCTTAGATTGCTCTAATAGCAACCTGAATACATTTAAGTTTTGGACTTTTGGTGAGACAGAACAAGATAATTATAAAGATCACAATGGGCTCGAGAACTTGATGAGCACTTTTTCACATTTTGATGACATTTTAAAGACCAAACAGTTAATAAATCAAGAAACAATCAGTAAATGAATACAAGATAATAAAATATAATCTAGTTCTCTGCATTCATTTCTGTCTATGTTACATTGAGCAGTCAGTGGCTGCCTGGAACTGTAGACCAAGAACATTAAAAGGAATCTGAAACAATATAAAAAGCATTAGCAAAAAAAAAAAAAACCTAATTTGTAGTCATGAGTAGTTAAGAGCTAAAACAAACTGATATTTAACTTTATTGTCATTGCACAAAGTACAAGTACTAAGACAACAAAATGTAGTTAAGCATCTAAGTGCAGAGTAATGTGCATATGTACAGGGATATTAAAAAATAACATTATATATATATATATATTTATATTTATGAATAGATATGTGCCTGTGTGTGAATTTCTGGACCTTTATTTGGTTTATTTTTTATGTTGTCTTTTTTTATCAGGAGTCAGTCTCTGCTTATAGCAAAGCTTGTATATCTGTAAATAATTTCAAAATAAAATCCACGTAAACGACGACGGGCTGAACGAGAGGCGGCGATGACGTTACATCCTGCCCTCCGTAGTTTGTACATCCGGAAGGTGGGGCTTTTGTTGCAGGAGCGGTTTCAGCGTTTGGAGAACCAATGCCTCGAAATGCTCCATTAATGCAGTCATCAAGATAGCATCAACCGAGGGGCAGAAATACAAATCCTGCTGTCGGGTAAGGCTTCACAAACGTGTTAACGGAGCGGAACAGTGGGCTGTTAGTTACCGCGGCCGTTAGAGAGTAACAAAGTACCACACCTGTTTTAAAGGACGGACGAACGACCAGTAGACCCACAACGGTGACCGCTTAACGCAAGATGCGTGCAAAATAAACTCCTGTTAATTCGTCTGAGGGGTTTTTTTTTTAACTGTCTTAACTTGTTTGAATATGTGTGTAAAAGTGTCGTTGTTTACGTGTATTTTAAAGCCCTGTGGTTAATGGTAAGCAACGATGGTTAAGTTATCTTTAGGTTAGCTTGGGCTCTTGTTGTTTGGCGTTACTGATGGGGACGGAATTAGCCTTCGTTTGTGGGCACTCCCGTTCATTTTTCTTCCCTTGTGTTTTAATGAATGATACGAGCAAATGTGTGTCGATGTGTTTGTACTCTGTTGAACTAACGTTGTGGTGCTGGAGTGCGTTGTAAAGCTTTAAAACGGTAGAGTCGTATTTACCAAAGTCCGTGTTTATGAGCTTTTGTGCCGTTAGAAACTAGCGTTAGCTTCTGGCGCTAGTGTAAACTCAACAGTTTGCTGACTTACTTTACGTGTTTATACTTGTTTATATACGTGATTCGCTACGTTGGTTAATTAAAGTGAGCTGTTGTCATTTATATACCCGTCGAGGATTACTCATAGTGGTTTGTGCTGAAAAGTTTTCCCCCTGAGGAGATGACACACCCAAAGCTGGCTCATGGTTTCTTGAGCTAAGGTTGGTGTAATCCCAACTGTCAGCAAAAAACATTTTCCACCCCACTATATTGTCATGTTTTAGGTAAATCCAGGGATCTAATTCGGGTATTATTACCCACACTTAATTACCTGTATGTCCAATTTACAAAAAAAATAAAATAAAAAGAAGAAAAAACCCGAGTTAAAGCTCTTATTTTTCTTTTGGGGGGGGTTTATTGAAGCCCTTTTAAAAGTGGACCCCCACTTTTGTGGCTGTTTACCCCTCTATTTTTTTTATTACTAATTTATTAACAATCAAATTTAAACAATAGTAACACAAACAAGTTTAAGTACCAGAAAAGGAAACCACATGCCAGGGAATTCAGGTGTGACATAATCTATTCCTCTTAAGGCAGCAAAAAAAATGTAGTCACTTGTGCCAAAATAGAAACATTAAAACCAAATTAGTACTGTATTTTAAGTTAGAAGTGACTTAGTTAAGTGCAAGCAGATAACAGTGTGTGTGTGTGTATAAAGTATACGGGTGCTGGATAAGCAGTGTGTGTTTGCTGTTGAGCAGTTACTGCTGTGTTTACTGATGCTCCAATTTGCTGATGGGGTGTAACGTTTTCAACTCTTATCAGCCTTTTTTGTTTGCAGACAAGTTTTAGAGGATTGAGGATAGTGTTGGCAAAGCAACACACACTTACTCCGTCTCATTAATAATACTAACTCTTCTTTTGGTATCAGGGGAAAGTGACAAATATAATTCATCATCCAGATTTATGTGTCTCAAGGGTGAATAAGGCCTAGTTTAAACAACCTAAAAAAATATATACTTAAACTGGCTGTTTTATATAATTTTCTCCATCGCCTCCTTTACTGAATAAATGCAGGAATTTTGTGGTTCAGAGATGCATTAGGGATGTGCTCCACTCCAGATTTGCCCAGTTATTTATTCAATACGTGCAGTGAAAGAATAATTGATCCCTCAGTCAGTGCTTGTTGGCCTTTACCTGAGGGCTATACGTTGCACGTCTTAGGCAATGTTTTCCATAACCAAAGCCAGTTTGCCGTGGAAGCAATAACTTATTCAGATTATTCCACCAGTAATCACCTCTGTCCATCAGCGAGCAAGTCTTAAGTGCAATTGGAAATGGTAGCGCCACAATGACTACATCAGTGGAAATAGCTGTTGCGTGTGAGCTCTCCCACAATCCCTGAAATTTAATCCTGCGCGTCCCCAGGTTCAGCTCGTTGATGGGTTGAACCCACGAGTTAAGTTCAAGTCAGCCGGTTTTGCTGAATATCACAGTTAACCCGTATGGAATGACACACAGTGAACCTCCTCGTAAACAACTCATGATGTGCATAATGCTGATTGCAGAACAATTGGAGCGTGTTCAAGGAAACCAATTCAGGAATTGTTTGGTAGTCTTGTTTGGCTCCACCATTATCCTCCAGGTTTAAAATCCGATACAGATGTTTGTGTTGTGGAACAGTTAGTGGGCTGATATTTTCTTACATTCACCAAGCATTTAGAGTTTTTGCCACAATAGCATATCATTATTTCTTTTAGAAAACACTGACTTTTCGGGAAAATGCCTCAAACTACATTTTAACTATCACAGGACGAGCAAACTCAAATTCAAACTAATGACATAGGTCAGTGCTTTGTTTGGCGTTAGCAACGTTGGAGCCACTTAATACAAACAACAAGATAGCTGTAATCTGATAACTCATAGCAAGAAATGACATCAGAGATGGAGAAAGGGATTGTGAATAATGATGAACTGGCCCTGCATTCATCCTTTCTCTGTCAAGACTATCTGAATGTTTTTCTCTGTTCTCCTTCCCCAACCACTTTCCTCTTCACTTGACTTTTTTTCTGAATATTAAGCCCGCTGTTTCCCGCTCTATTATTTCCTATAACACTTACGGGAAAACAAGTATTTTCTGCAAGGCTTAATTTCCTTTCATTTTGCACCAAACCCGGTTGGCTCATATCAAAGAGCTCCATCTGCTGTACCTGGATGACCTAGGTTATTTGTGTGTAATAGCACTGGAGTCAGAAAACCATCTGCTAATGATGTTGGCGGTGGAAGTGGTGGAAAAGGGTAGAACGATTGGTGCAATTTTTTTTTTTTACTGGACTTGGAAAGTGAGTGATTACGAGCAGGAGATAGTTATGTAGATAAGGGCATACCTAGCCGCCATCAATTGTCTGCTTTCCGTCGACAGGCAGGAAGGGAGGTTTATATGAACCATAACTGGTTAAAAAAAAAAACTCTTTCCCATGTGGCCACTGCAAAATATGCAGGGAGATGCCATTGCCCGGGGTCTGTACTGAAGGAAGCAGATATTTGCAGATCCCAACAGTCATCTGCCAGAATTATGCTTTAATACACATCTTCTTAGACACATGCAGAGGGTGATTCTTTTTTCCTTGTGTGTTTATTACTTATAAAAAAAAAAACTAATGACTAAAATAATTCTTACTTTTCCTATTTAAATCTGTTGTGTTTGAATACGGTTTGACAAAATTCACCCCCATTCCTTTCCAGGATATGTGACTCGGACAATTAAGCTTGTTTCCAATTACAGGGAAATGAGTTACTGTAAGAGTAGAGTGGTTTTTTTTCTGCCCCCAAGGCAACCAAGTTGACATACTGCCATACATACAGTAGCTGTGCTATGTGCGAGGGACCAGTTATGAGAAGCAATGCATCCTGTTTCCTACAACAAAGAGGAACATGTCATGCAAATATCTGTTTGAAGAACGCTATGATAATTCAACTTTTTGATGCTTCAATACCCCTTAACCCTCTGCTGGCATTCAGTGGCCATGTGCTTGTTAAGCTTAGTTAGGTTGTTGCAGAAACTTTAGGGGTAGACTTTGTTTGCTCGTTTCCTTATAAAATGAAGAACTAATATATGCCATACCAAATACGCCATGAGAGCACAAGAACTGTGTTTAGTTTTCTCACTTAGTTTGAGGCTATCTTTACTCCTACAATTTGCTGTGGTCCTAAGAATGGTGAGCAGTAGCTTATGCAGTATTGAGGTGAATTGGCACATTTTTTTTTTTTTTTTTGGCAATGTGAAGAGCATGCTAACATGACTTTAGCATCAGTTTGCTACAGATGTGCTATGCAATGTACGGTACACGATAGTTAGGCTGCCCCTGAACACTCTTTGATTTGAGTCGACCCCGACTTGACCTGCAATTTGTCAGTGAAATCTTCACTTCCTGCGTCATTGCACACAAAGCGACAGCATGGCAGGCTGTAAACTTTGCAAACCGAGTCTCAAAATGACCACAAACCACAAAACTGGTGGAAGCTGAGAAGAGTGATAGTTATCGGAGGGCAGCGTGACACCGCAAGACAGCGGCTGCTCCAGTGCTATCTGAACTGTCGGTGAAGTCGGCTAAACCACTTTTGAACCACACGGTGGTACAACCTCCTCTACTGCCGTGCACTGTGATTGCCTCTCCGACTGACAGCACTGCAGCAGCCCAGCTGCAGAGAAGCTCCGTAGTGCGTTGGGATTTCATAACCGAACTATAAACAGGATGGACACTTTCTCTGACTGTGTGTAAATCTGATGTTGTCATATCACAGATGAGGATGATGATGATGATGTAGGCTAAAACACGAGACTCATAGCTACACTTAGACATAGGTTGATTTAGTGTGGCGCTGAACTGGGAAAAAAGGAACGAATAGTCAAATCTTCGTATTGATCAGCCAAATCAAATTTGACTGATCAAATTCTCGGGTACAGCCTTAGTACACACGTTTGTAGGTGCAGTGGAGAAATTTGAGATCCCTGTCATCACTCACACCACTCTGCTCCACAGTTAATCTACCCATTGACACTCATCTGCACTCTGAATGGGCTCTGTACCCTTTCAGGCAAGGCCGTAATTACACCAACATGCAGTGAAAGGGATGTCTCAGCCCATAAATATAATGTTGTGTGCCCATTTGTGTTTAAGTTAGTGATGAAGTCAGAATGATTTCAACAGTTTACTCCACCTTCCCGCTCATTAATCCTATGTCTGTGTTTAAGATGTACTCTAGGGTATGGAAGTACTGCACGGCAGGATGAGGTTGACAGTCCAGACTTTTCAAAATGGTACAGAGATCACCAAGGAGCGAGGTTAACAGGCCCGTGAATTATGACCACAGGCCCCATGACCACATCTGTGCTGTGAAGGAGTGGGATAGTGGGGGGTTTTAGCTAGATTTTTCTGTGGTGCTGTCATGGTTTACAACTCCTCCA